GTTAAGGCCCACGGGATTAATGGGAACATATTAGCATGGATTGAAGAGTGGCTAATGGGTAGAAAACAGAGAGTAGGGATAAACGGGTCATTCTCGAATTGGCAGGAGGTGACTAGTGGAGTGCCACAAGGATCAGTGCTGGGCCTCAGCCATTTACCATTTACATCAATGATCTACAACAACAACAAGATTCCATTTATAGAGCGCCTTTCACATCAGGAGGACGTCCCAAGGCACTGTACAGTTGGGTCAGGACCCGAGCATTGGGGGGGAAATGGTCAGGGTGAGGGGAGGGAAGGAAGGGAGCGAGGAGGGGATAGAGAGTCGAGAGTGGAGCTGAAGGCACGGTCAAAGAGAAGGGTCTTGAGACCGGCCTTGAAGGAGGAAAGGTAGGAAGCGGCGAAGGCACTGGGGGATAGAGTTCCAGAGCCTTGGGGATGAGAGCCTGAAGGCCCGGCCACCGATGGTAGGGCAGTTGGGGCGGGGGATGTGGAGCAGACCGGAGCCAGAGGAACGGAGGGTACGGGCAGGTAAGTAGGGGGATAGTAGGTCAGAGAGGTAGGAGGAAACAAGGCCGTGAATGGCCTTGTAGGTGAGGATGAGGATCTTGAATTGATCTGGACGAGAACATTGAATGTAACGTATCTAAATTCGTGGACGACACTGAACTCGGTGGGAGAGTAAGCTCTGAGGATGATGCAAAAAGATTGCAACGGGATATAGATAGGGAAGTGGGCGAGTAGGTGGCAGATGGAATTTAATGTGGGTAAGTGTGAAGTTATTCACCTCGGTAGAAAAAATAGAAAAACAGATTATTTTCTAGAGGGGGAGAGATTAGATAGTGTTAGTGTTCAAAGGAATTTGGGTGTCTTTGTACACCAGTCTCAAAAAGTTAGTTTGCAGGTGCAGCAGCAACTAAGAAGGCGAACGGTATGTTAGCGTTCATTGCAAAAGGTTTAGAGTACAAGAGTAGGGAAGTCTTGCTGCAACTGTATAGGGCTTTGGTGAGACCGCACCGAGAGTATTGTGTGCAGTTTTGGTTTCCTTATTTAAAAAAGGACATACTTGCCCTGGAGGGGGTGCAGCGTAGATTCACTCGGTTAGTTCCTGGGATAAGGGGACTGACCTATGAGGATAGGCTGAATAAACTGGGGCTGTATTCTCTGGAGTACAGAAGAATTGGGGGAGATTTTATTGAAACATATAAGATTCTTAAAGGGCTGATAAAGTAGACACTGAGGGTCTGTTTCCCCGGTAGGAGAATCTATAACCAGGGGTCACAGTCTTAAAATTAAGGGTCAGCCTTTTAGAACAGAGTTGAGGAAACATTTCTTCACTCAGAGGGCAGTGAATTTATGGAATTCAATATCCCAGAAGGCTGTAGCTGCTCAGTCCTTGAACATCTTCAAGGCTGAGACTGATAGATTTTTAAAAAATAGAGGGATTAGGGGATATGGCGATAGAGCAGGTAATCAGAGTTAGGTCAGAAGATCAGCCATGATCTTATCGAATGGCGGGGCAGGGCTCGAGGGGCCGAATGGCCTACTCCTGCTCCTAATTCTTATGTTCTTATGTTCATGCGCTCCCACTCCATCTCACACTCGCAGTAAAACGTCTAAAGCATTTGAATTGTCCTCCCAACTTTATCGAATGTAAGGATTATCATTATGTGAAAGTCGCTGTATAAGTGCAACTTGTTTATCCACCACGTGACATATTCACCATTCTGTACCATATATTGACCTATTCACCATTCCTTCCTGGTCAGTATATGGTAAGGAATGGGGAATAGGTGATGTGGTGGATAAAAAAGTTGCATTGTGTTTTGGGGGTCCATTGTAACCCTGATGCCTGCACTGTGTTGTCCACATTTTGCTGTGAATGTCTGTGCTCGTCAGACTACATTCTAGAAGTTGTGATTTCATTTTAAAAAAAGGCGAGAATTCAAGTATTCGCAAGACAACAGCAACAACGTGCATGTACACAGCGCTCTTCAGGCAGGGTAGTGTCTGGGAACGCTTGAAGTGCTTTGCGCTCTGCTGTTTGTTAACTTGTGGTGTGCAGTGTGGTCGGTTTCAGCCGGTAGCGAGAGCAAGCACGTTATTTTCAAGAAGGCTGGTTGCCCCCGTGGTTCAGTTAGTGAGGTGTTCTTATTCTGTAAGCATGTGATGTGATTTGTGTTGAACAGTGTCAAGTTACTGACAGGCACTATTTTTGTCGCAGTCGGGGTTGATTTGCCCTGGGCAAAGCGTGGTGATAACCCACTTCAGTTTAACTTGAATCGCTGCCAGGAGGTGTCGCAATTGGTCTCTGCGCCCTGCAGTAAGCGCTCTGGGGCGCTACCCTGCCCGAGGGATGCTATATAAATGCAAGTTGCTGTTGTTGGGGGTGGGGGGGGTGGAGGAATTCGGTCATAGTTCTGCTCCTGATGGAAAGTGTTCTGTATGTGTAGGGATGAGCATAGGACTAGATCCGATCTCAGATGTCAAACTTCACATTCTTAGAATTTACATACATTGCAAAAAATGTGACGGCCTTAAGAACAGACACTGCTCTACTGAAAACATGTCCTGTTGTAAGAATCGGATACTGTCCCTTCGGGTGAACTGTTTTTCAACACATCTGTTCCTGTGGGTGGGGGGTTCCGAATAAACTCCTAATAACTTCCAACTCGCATTTTTTTATGTTTAATATCCCGTAAATCGTCTGTTGACTCTCTTCCCCCCCCCCACCCTCATCCAATAAAATATTTAGTAATTAAGTCATGAACTTTCCAGTCTGGTGTCACTATATCAATAAGGTTGCTGATGTCCATTAACAGCAACAGCATAATTATAAGGTGCCCAGATCTAAATAAGAGCCCACAAAATATACAGTCAATTTGCTTTACAGTTCATCCTATGAAGCACTTCGAGACATCTTGAAGACGTGATAAGGCGCTATATCAAATGCACGGATTATTATTATTATAGTACCAGGGGAACATAGAGGACCATGAAAGGGCGACTGACTGGGACCTGGAGCTCCACATCTAGGGGATCATCCACACCGCCTTTGTAAATGTGATCAAAGCTGTTCTCTCTTCACTGGAGGGTAGAGAGCAGTTGACCCACTCTACCTGTTCAGCAGTCACCACTAATATTTTCCCACCCTTTAGGGAAGGACACCAGGTTTGAACAGATACTCTCTGGCGTGAAGGGCGTTATATAAACGCAAGTTTTTGTTGTTGGAGTTGAGGGAAGGATGAGTAATGTGGGAGTCTTTTCTTCATCTTTGGGCATCAGGGAGTATGTATGCTGAGGTGAAGTAGGTGGGGTGAAATCCAAAATGCAGGGTTAGGTTTTGGGTGCTCTGCTGTATGAGAGAGCTTGATGAACCAAATGACCTTTTCTCAATCTTCTTCCCTCTGGTCCGCTAATGGCCTTTGGGCATGTTTCGACCTGTGTCCTTTTGTAAATACTCTACTCTGAAGAACTGCAGGCTTGTAACAACATTTATTTTGTGAGTCCATTACAGCGAGATAATAGTTTTACTGCTGAACGTTGCTCCATACCTGCTTGTATTTCAGATCTGAGGATTAAGGGTTTGAGTTGAATAGGCACAGTTGATTTAACACTAAATGACCGATTTGGGCATTGCCAATACGATTTGATGTACGTCTAGCATCTCTTTGTGTGACCTACAGGCCTGTATACACGGTCATGTTCCCACTCCCATCCGTCTTGACCTTCCACTAAACAATTAGGTTGGAGAATAATTGCCTAGTTATTAAGTGAGCTGCAGACATAGAGAACCCATTAATACTTAGAGGTGGGAGGGAAGTCTCTGTGGAACTGCTGGCACTTTAAGGATTAAAACGATTGAAATTTGCACCACAAACTGAAGGTGGCTCATCAATGTTCGAGTCTGCATCTGCCTATTAGGCTGTTTCCACTGTTATCTGCCAAAAATACCATATGTTCAATCTTTTATAAAATCTGTATAATCTAGCTGTAAAAGGCACAGATGTTACAGACAGGATGGGGCCTTTCTAAAATGCAAACCTTTGCAGTTTTTTTTTGTATTAAACAATTGATCACAATCTCTCCTTGGCAAGGGGGCTTCGTGTAGAGATTAACATCTATGTTGCCTTGGGAACAGTCAAATACTAGTGGTACCGCAAACACCTTTACACTGCACATCACTGGCAGGTGCTACAAGAGTGTGCTGATGCAGAAATAGACAACGTGATGGCATTTCCATTTGACGTGTTGGAACTATTTGCTGCTGTTGTTCTCTCCTTCCCCAATAACCATTGTGGGTTGCACTGTAATCAGTGAAGCGCTTTGAGACATCTTAACAATGTGATAAGGATCTATATCAAATGCCAGCATTATTATTATAACATTCAGATTGCAAGGCGATAGAAATAAAATCAGCTAAAAGTGAAATGAAGAAAACACCGATCGTGGAAAAAAACAAGTCAGTGGAAATTTAAGTGTTCGTCTCCTCAAATTTAGCATTTTTTTTGTCTGGAATCGGATTATAATGATTATTGCAGTTTACTGTGGCAATTCTGTGTGATTCTAAGTTTTGCTATAATTGTTATATTGAACCTTTTAAAAAGAGAAACGATTTTAACTTTAGCTTCAGTGCTAACCTAAAACCAGCACCTTGGGACATCCTACCAACGTGAAAGGCGCTATACAAATGTCATTTTGTATTGTATTGATAGGTACTTCATGCTTTAATGTACCTTTGCTTCACTATTGTACATGTGAGCAATGTCTGTTTTACATGTGATACAATACATGGCAATTATCAGATATTTGAAAGGTTTATATTGCACACACGTTAAGTCTATCCAGATGTGCTAAATGTACAGAGCACCTGCCTGGATGATATTAACTTTTGATTTGTGGTTTGAGAAGTTATTATCTCGATGGACTAATTAATGTGTGGAACTTTTTAGACCAAGCTTTAGTCTGGCACAAACTAAACCCGTATGTTCTCTCTCACAGGTGATACTAGCGTCCGGTTACTATGCAGTGTTTAGAGTGAAACTGACTGCAAACGAACTTGAAGGATCGTACGACGGAGCGATTCAGATCACAACAGATTATGAGGTAGTGTTACCGTGGCTTAGACAAATGGATCTTGTGTTCTGGAAGTTTGTAATGGATTGTCCTATCGGTTTAGTGTTCAGTAATTAAAATCCCAGTGTCTGCCATCGTGGGCTAAAGGTTATCAGCAAAGTTTAATCAAGCCAGGGCTCTTAAGAGAAGATGTCTCAGAGGGGACCTTATTGAGATGTACAACTTTTTAAATGGGATAAAAAAACTGGGACAGGTTGAGGCCATGATACTGGACTCGTTTTTATTAACAAAAAGTATGCTCGCTGCTCTGATGGAGGGGTGCTCAAGGATGGGTATTCTGGGGAGATGAGATTAGATAGACTGAAGAGCCTTCTTCATCCAAGTAAATCTTGTGATCCTAGTTAGCTGCTGAACCTCAATACACGTTGGGTGATTTTGAATACAGTTAATAAATTATGTAATCCAGGTGGTTCAATAATAATAATAATCCTTGCATTTGATATAGCACTTCTCGTGTCTTCTAGACGTCTAGAAGACATGAGAAGTGCTATATCAAATGCAAGGATTATACTGTGAAGTGAATTGACTGTATATTTGTGGTTCAAATAGAAGGCAGCTTCTTCCTAAAGATCCCAGTGAACACCATTTTGAGAGTAACAGGGCGGAAATGAGTTCCCAGTAACGTGGCTGAAATGGCCCAGACCTGCTTCTGTTGTGAAACCTGCTTAGAGGTCACACAAATAAATCCATTACAAAAGTAACATTTCACAGTGAACAAGTTGACATTTTGGCCTGCTCGGTGTTGGGAATTGTGTGTACGCAGTACCAGAGCAATGTGCAAGATTGCAGCAGGACTACAGCACGCTTAACCTGGGAGTGCTAATATTTTTTTTTGTCGACTTTAAAGATAAAGTTGTTTAATGTTAACTTGCCATGCTGCAAAGCCCTGCTTGTTGAATTATGCTGGGTTCATGAAAGTGCATGCATTTAATAAACAGCGTGCAGGCTTCCTTTACCCTGCAAATATTTTAGAGTTTGCATAGAATGGCACTTAGTGAGAAATTTTAATGATTTGCTGGTCATTTTCTATAATTTGAACAGCAAATTATAGAAAATTTGCACCGCATAGCTTGCCATTAATATCGCTGTCCGACAAACTTTCCCGCTGCTTGTCCAGCTGGGACCACCCTACCCATTACGGCTTTGGCTTGCAGGGTTAACGGGTACCTAAATGGGATGATTGCCTGCATCAGTGAGTGGTCTGCTCTTCCAGGTCCTGACAACGAGCCAGGCTGCCTGTGCTGTCAACAGCAGTGTCCTGGAGCAACTCACCTGGCTCAGGAACTGGACTGCCCGGATTGCCACAGTGGGCTGGCTCGATTCCAACATTTCATTGCTACGTATGTCACCTTGGAGCCAGTTCACCTCCAAGGAGATCCCTCTTACCTTCCCCCTGGTGTTCTGGCCAGCAATTCCCTGAATAAAATTGGTCATTCACTTCATGGCTGTTTGTGGGACATTGCCGTATGCAATTTGACTTACACATTTGTCCACAAAACTCAGTCACTCCACTTTACAATATATCCTATGAAGCCCTTTCGTCCATCCTCCTGACATTTAACATGTCCTTTGAGCTATTGGACACACAGCATTATATTTTAGTGAGGTTGCTGTTTGTTAATGAATTTAAATAAAACCTGTAGAAGTGTAAAGTAATGCATTCATCCTTAAAAGTGTTTTAGGATCAAATGGACTGAGGAATATTTTTGCTCAGGTAAAGCTTAATTCCAGCAAAATGTAATACAACTATGTTTGTCATGAGTTAAACTCCTCTTTGTTTTTCTTTCTACAGATTTTAACCATCCCAGTAAGGGCACTTATTGCTGTGGGCTCATTAGCTTGCTCGCCAAAGCACATTATGCTTCCACGCTCATTTCCAGTAAGAGTATTCTCATTTCTACCATTCGGTTAATACTGTATCCAAGTATTCTTGTTGCTAGTTATCTCTAGTGAATGTTTCGCTGTTGGCCAATGAAAACTGGGGGCAGTTACTAAATACAGTAAACAAGAATGCATGGCTCTGAAGCAAATGAAGCAATCTGGGGGTTTTGGGGGGAACGATCTGGGTCAAAGGCAGGTATAGCTCAGCCATGATCTAATAGAATGGCAGAACAGGCTTGAGGGGCTCAATGTCTTACTCCTGTTCCTAGGTAAATTAGTGCTGTAGGTAAGTCATTGCAACGGGGCTATACTAACAATCCAACTAGTCTTTAACTCGTCTATCCACATTTTAATATACAGTACAAGTTCTACCGGTTGTACACTAACTCTCTCTCAGTCCCTGTCTCTCTCTGCTTATAAACTGAACTCTCAACTTGTTTTTATTTATCTTACAGGGGAAAATAGTTCATCATAGTTTAAATATAATGAGTTCCTTCTCACAGAAGGTGAAATTACAGAACGTGCGTTCTCTGACAGAGGACGTGCGATTCTATTACAAGCGAATCAAAAGTAATAAGGACGATTTAGAGCCGAGAAAGAAATCCAAGGTTTGCATTTCAATTATCCTCCCTGATCGGCGCAGTTTGGGTGTGCATTTTCAAATCAGCACATCCGCTTGTACAGAGACTGAATGGGTGTATGTGGGTGTGTGTGTGACTGACTTAACCGTATACAGTGTAATTTTTTTTACTTTTGTTGCAGCGCTGATTTTAAAATGTGTGTTTTAGCTTTAGTGTAACTTCCAATTGTGTTCATGGCCTGCTTTCTTAATTATATTTTTACCTTTTTATTTTGCAGATAGCAAATATTTATTTTGATGCTGGTTTACAATGTGGGGATTATTGTTATGTGGGATTGCCTTTTTTATCTAAGTGTAAGTAATAATTATGATTCCTCTTTGCATTTGTCACATCAATATGCCCGAATGTTCCTGACTTCAGAGCATAATCGTCTCTCTTCACCTCTTTCCCTCTCCTCCCAACCTTCCCTACCTTAGTGGAGTTGAGGTTGCAGCATAGTCTCACAATGCAAGATGATGTGTGGGGTTCAGATTTGGATCTGTATAAAAATTTGTACGAAAAGTGGACGAAACTTAAAGAAAACTCAGGGCACAAGTGAGTTTCACATTTCAGTCTTGAATAAATGTAATTGTCTCACGTGTATTTTTGTTCCCCTCTTCTCTCCTAGAAGCGTTTTTTACTTTCTTTTTCAATGGAGTGTTATCAGAAGAATCCTGGGATAGGTTAGACGGAATTTCTGTACGGGGTGGGGGGGGGGCTTTGTTAGGATGTGTAGAGAAGATCAAATAGAGAATTGGATAAGCACCCAAGTCGTGAAAACATCAAGGGTCATGGGAAAAGAGCTGGAAAGTGAAATTAATTTAAAACTGTGCAATTTAGAAAACCAATAGCAATGGTACTGATACGTTTCTCTAGTTCTCTCTTCTTATTGAGAAGCAAAGATAGCGAGCGAACTTCAACTCTTATGTTAAGATGCACGCAGCCAACGGTGTTAAAAAAAGCAGTGACTATTTGCAGCTTGGAGGAGGTGGCTTAATGTTGGACACACAACCAAATTGTAATTCCAGTACTTACTGTAGAACAATATATTAATCTATTAACAATGCATTTTGTAATCTATTAAGCACTGAGAGAAGATTCGCTTCACAATTGTCTCTTGCACAGAAAATGGTACAAAGTTAAAGTTCCTCACCACGTCACATAGCTTAAACGTTATCCTGAGAGAAGGACCATTTGTTCCCATATTTTTCTTTAAGTGTGTTTGGAAATTATAAGTGTGCAATATGCATAGAGTTGCCTGTAGCGTAGTATCTGAAAATTCTGTGCCTGTTTTCTTCTTAGGATGGATGTTGTGTTTGAAGTTGACACAGATCTACAGAAAAACGTGCAAGCAGTGGCCACAGCAGAGCTGGTGTGGCCGACATTGGTCAGCGCGGCACGGCATTTAATCTTCCCTCTGACAAACACAAATAGCACTTCAGTGAGTATCTGCGATTAGCAACACGTGAGAAAAATAACGTTTTGTTTGGCGTAGACTTCTGGCGTAGGTTGCATGCATTTTACCGCAAGTTTGTCAGCTTTATATTGTCCTGCTTGTCCCTCGTCCCCTCCGCTCCACCATCGACGGTCTCGCTTTTAGCCACTACGCCCTGGAACTCTCTCCCCCAGTCCCTCTGTCCTGCCCCCTCCTTCCCCCCCTTTTAGATTACAACCGAAGACCTACCTCTTCGACCGTGCTTACAGTCACCTCCTTCCCCCCAACTCGGTGTCAGGCTCCACCACTGTTAAGTGCTCTGGGACACCACCCTACGTGAAGGGCGGTATATAAATTCAAGTTGTTGTTGTCTTGCTGTTTCATTTGTGATGACTTTACTGTCTTTCAGGAACAAGAGCTTATTTTAGAAAATCCAGCAGAAGCCCCTGTGTTTGCTCAACTTCTTCCTTTAGCATTGTATCCCAATGCTTCGCTCGTCGCAGATGTGTTAATAGAAAGGTATGCATTTACCATCCTCCAATAATTTCCCCTGCTCTCCTGAAAACTCCATATCTAGCACTCTTTTTGCCCCCCCGCTATTAACAGGCGAGCTTTCAGTCATTCTACCCCTGCTCTCTGGAACTCCATCCCTGAGTCCTTCAACTGGCACCCTCCCTCCTTCCCTCCCCATTTTCAAAGCCGACTTGGACAAGCATGCAAATATGGATACAAAGACATTTGAATTTAAGGTCTTCAGTAGTCACGTAGGTATAGAAAGTGTTTTCGTCAGTCTACACACCCTCAAGACTTGCCTTTTTGACCAGTTTTCCCTCCACACCGTCTTCAACTGGAACAATTGCTTGCAATAGAATAACTTGTGCATATAATTGCACAAGAAGCTTTGGTTTCTGATGTCATATCAGTACCAAAGCCTCGCAAGAACAGGACTGGGTTAATTTGAAAGGCACTCTCACATTTAATGCCTCTGTAAATACAAAGCTCATTAACCGCCTTTGACATTCATTAGCACTGGTAAATTCCAATCAAGACCTACTTTTAATACACAGAGGGTCATCAGTGTTAATGAGTTTGAAAATGCTTTCAATTTTGATTAATGATACTTGATTTTTGTCAAGTATTACTGTATTGCCATTAAATTTATAATCTTGGTTGTGGGGTTTAATTGGTGCTTTGCTGAAGAGTCCTACTTTAACGACAATATTCCTGACACAACCAGTGTACATAGGTAGGACAAAACCAATGTATGGACAGGGTGAAACCTAAGGCAAGTTTCCTTACTCCACACACCTTTTTACCTAGCAGTACGTAGGAACCCGGTTGTTACTTGATCGCTTTCAGGGGGCAATAATCCCTTCAAAAAAAAAAAGAAAAATGTGGTCACTCAATCCACGACTGCTTATGGGACACTGCTGTGCGCAATTGGCTGCCGTGTTTCGCCCACAAAATACACAGTCAGTTCACTTTACAATATATTCTGTGAGATACTTCAACGACATGATAAGGCGCTATATCAAATACAAGATTATACATACACGCTAAGGTGAAATCTGCAACAAGGGTTCTGCTTAATGTGCTAAGTTTGCTGCACACGTCTTATGCATGTGTTACAGTATTTGTTTTTAATTTCAGGCTCCACTTGGACAAGCATGCAAATATGGATACAAAGACATTTGAATTTAAACTGTTCAGTAATCACGTATGTATGGAAAGTGCTTTCGTCGTCTACACATTTCCTATTCATCTAGGTTTACAGATAAATATAAAGTTCTGCATATTCAAATCAATTTTTATAGCATCTCACAACATTCACCCTAGTTTTAAAAAACAAATTGCTGTCCCAGTTATATGCTGCTTTGTCTTCATTCCTCGTAGCATCCTTTTGTACAGTTCTTTGTTGCAGGAGTGACAAATTAGGAAATCTTAAAAGGAATTTATAGTCCAGTGCAGTGAATAAGAAAATTGCCCTTAAGGAACATCTCAGGTGTTGCTTGAGAAGTGAGGAAGGAGCAGATTTCTACTATCTGTAGAAAATACACTTTAGATAAAATGTCCTTTTCAGTCAAAATATTGTAAGATTGTAATTAGCTCCTGATGCAGTAGGAGTAAGCTAGTGCTGAAGTTATACTGGTTATCAACATAGTGAGAAACAGCTGATGTAGGCCATTTTGTAATAATTTAGCAAGAGTAAAGTCTTGCAGTTAAGTGCTTTTTTTGGTTTAAGTCTCTGCTATGAACTTCAGAGCTCTCATAAGACAGTCTGGGAGCAACGATTTGTAAATGCTTTACGCAGGCATATAGTTCGAAACTACAAAACACCTAAAGATGGTACGTAAGAAGACTAGCGTCTTGCACCAAATCAGGAGGGAGTGGGGGATATCAAATATTCATTTTTCGTGTACCTTTGTGCATATGAAATCCAATTCAAAACCAAACTTGTTTTGCTTCCAGACATCATCTGTTAAAACGTTTTCAGGATTTATAGAAGGTCCTACTCGGCAACCTGTTCTGAATATAATTCTGAAGCCCGGTGAAAAAAGAACTGTAACTGTGAAGTTTACACCAGTTCACAACAAAACTGTGATGTCCTTAATTATTATAAGGTGCGTGTCTCTCACTGAAAGACTTTGCTTTGTGTTATTTTCTGATGCTGCTTTTCCAAGTCTTCAAATGACATACAGCTGCATAGAAATTTACATCATGGAAACAGGCCATTCGACCCAACTAGTCTGTGCTGGTGCTTTTATGAGACTCCACCCTTACATATTTCCCTCTCCCTTAACCCCTTCCCCTCGAACACATTTAAAACTGGCATAACTTGACCTCTCGAAAAACAAATCTAGCTAAAATCTGTGATTATATGATCAGAACAAACGTATTATGTCCAGTGTTTCATTGCCATATACGTTTCAGGGCAGTTGAACATTGGAATAGAAAAGGTAATCTAACGTGTCTATTTGCTAATTGATGGAGTTGAGTCCAGGGGATTTAATCTGTGTGGTTCAGCGACTGACAAGTACTTTGTTGCCTGTAGAAATAATCTGACGGTAGTGGATGCGGCGATGGTACAAGGGCAAGGAACCACGGAGAGCTTGAAGCTTGCAGGGAAACAGCCAGGTCCAGGAAGTTCTTTGCGTTTCAAAATTACCGAAGCTTCGCTTAAAGATTGTTCAGATAGTAAGTATTTGGTGCTAATGGTCAAACATGTCTCGCGCGGGGAAAGAGTAAAGAAATCTGAACTAGAACACCGAGGTACAGTTACCATGGTTCTGTTACAGATGTCGCTAAGGCAGTGATTGATTGAATGTGTTGCATCTTACGCGGTTTCTCATGTGATGGTTTGACCACATTGCAGTCGATCTTCAAAGCGGCCAATTCCCAAGCCTGAGGTATTTTGAGAGCTTGCTTTTTCACGCTCTGTCACCTCTCCGTTCCTGAAGCTGCCATTGGAATTTAGATTCCCACAGACATTGCCTGCATATACCCGTCTTTGACCTTATGTTGTCAAGATATCAGCCACTGTAGCGCTCCATCGATGGCTCAGCAGATTTGTTCAGTGAGTAGCTGAGCCACATGGATTGGGAAGGCCCCAAGTTCAATTCCCACTCCCTGTTGGCCTGGTTGTTCTTGGCCATGGCAACTGTGGGAGCCACTGCAGTTGACCCCGACATTCTCACATCAGGAAACGTTCCCTGCTCTCGATCGCTGTCGATTAACCCACTGACACATACCCTGCTTCCCACTTCTTCACCAATGCTTGTGAATGAATAATGGCCACTTGAGCAATGTTGTGGAATAACCATGGAATCATATCCCAGTAGGAAGGAAAAGAAAGTCAAAATGTCTTCTGTAAAAGGGGGCGAACAGGCATTGGTGAGGAATAAAATGTTCCATTCAGACATTCATCTCATGGCTGTTTGTGAGACATTGCTCTGCACAATTGTGCTCCTGCATTTGCCTATAAAAAATACTCAGTCACTCTTATTTCACAGTATATCCAGTGAAGCGCTTTGAGATGTCCAGCCGACCTAATAAAGGGCTATACCAATTGCAAGGATTATATTATTATTTTAGAAACTGGTTAATTTGAGTTAAAAATGGTAAAATTGTTGGAATGGATTTACAGAATGAAACTGAGGAAAAATTGTGTTGAATTAACAGCTGTTCCTTTTCAAAAAAAAGTTATGAATGAAAGTGAACAGCTGTAACCATGCGAGAGGCAATTTGTCACGTACATTACAAACGTCTGAAGGTACAAGTACTTGGTGCAGATGAAGCATGAAAAAGAAGCATGAAACCGAAAAGACCATTTGGTCCATCAATCTTGCATTGATATAGCGCTTGTCACATGAAATAAACGTGTCAGCCTGGCTCAGTTGGAGCTCTCTCACCTCTGAGTCAGACGGTTGTGGGCACGAGCCCCACATTCAGACTCATATGATGCTCTGCATTGTCAGTGGTGCTGAACTTTGGATGCGATGTTAAACTTACTCAGATGGATATTAAAGATCCAAAAGCATTATTGGAAAAGAAAAGGGAGCTTCTCCCAGTGTTTTGGCCAACAGTTCCCCCGAGCAAAATTGGTCACTCACTCCACGGCTGTTTGTAGGACATTGCCGTGTGCAAATTCGCTGGAGCATTCGCCCACAAAATACACACATTTACAGGATACAAAAAACATCTCAACAATGTGATAAGGCGCTATATCAAATGCAAAGATTATTATTATAAACATCTCGTAGTGCTTTACATAATATAGGAGGTAACGAATGAAGTGAATGTCATGTAGGCAATTGCAGCTAATATAGCCCAGAATATCTCATAAACAGCAGTGAAATGAGTAGCCACCCAATTTGAATGGGGAGTCTATTTGGAATATAAGAAAGGTGAATCAGGAGAAAAACTGCACTTTTCTTTGAAATAGTGATGGTTGGACGGTCCCTTTACATCCATCTGAGACTCCTGAGTTACTTTAAAGTGTAGTGACTGTTTATTGTTCAACAGCAACTGATCTGACATCCACTAAGCTCAATGGAATGAAAGGCCAGCTAATCTAAGAGGTTGGGAGCGTTGGGTATGAAAGAGAGGACTATTGGCAAGGACAACATAGCAAATTACATTTGTATTAAACCTTTCACGTCAGGAGGACGTCACAAAGCGCTGAACACCAGGAGAACTCCCCACACGGCTTCATAGTATTACTGCTCATTGCCGTTGAAACATCAGCTCTGAAATAATGGGCAGGAGTCTGCGTGAGAGCAAGTAGATGAATATGTGGGGAGATGAGGCATGTTAGAAAATAAGGCCTAGCGAAGACCCAGGGTTTAAATACACAGGGAATAATTATTTGGCGTGTAATGATATACTAATCGAGTAAATCTAGACCTGGGTGGAATGTCTCACCCTGGAATTTCTCGCCGCCCCCACCACTCCATGTTGCTATCGTCAACTCATATTACTTATGATCCCAAATGGATCACCAGCATTTCAATCCATCTCAAGTCAGCTGACAATATGTTTCAATAAGGATTATAGGAAACTCAATTTGTAATCTCAAGGTTTAAAAATAAGGTGCAGATTGTTTTCCCACGATGATGAAATATCAGGAGGTACAGTCTGGCCACTTCAAGCAAGTAGTCCCATAACTTAGTGGTTAGCTCACTCACCTCGCAAGCGAGAGGACCTGGGTTTGATTCCCGGGCAGGGCAAAACTGTAGGCAAGTTTCCTTCGAACAGTGCTGTAGGAACTTTAATATCCGTCTGAGCAGGCAGCCAGGTCTTCCGTTTAACATCTCGTCTGAAAGACTACACTTGTTGCACCTCCAATAATGCATCGCACCCCAGGACTGGTTGTTGTTGCAGACTAGACTGTAATGAGTTCAGACTCCCAACTTGGGGCTTGAACCCACAGAGGCCACTGACTCAGATGTGGGAATGCTACTGACTGAGCCAGGGTGACGCATGCTGTCATCAATGACGCTGGGATCCAGCTTAGCTAAGGTGACTGAGGTCAACTAACCTACACAAGGCTCGCGGTCAAGGCTCTCAAATAAGGAATAACCATTAGGATGAGATTAACAGCAGGCTGCTCCACTGCATGTTCTACCCCACATGAGAACATTTTCAGCAAAAAGAGGGAAGAAATTTATTACTAGTACTACTACTAATAATAATCATTGCATTTGATACAGCGCCTCATCACACTATTGAGACGTTTCAAAGCCCTTCACAAAATATAATGTAAAGTGAATTGGTTGTATTTTGTTAGCGAAACGAGGCAGCCATTTGCCCACAGCAGTGTTACACAAACAGTCAGGGATTGAGTGACCAAATTGTTATTTATTTTGAAGGGATTTTTTTCTCCCAGAAAAGCGATTTGCCTAATGACTGGGTTCCTACTTATTGCTCGGTAAACAGAGGTGTGTAGTGTGGAGTAAGGAAACTTGTCTAAGATGTCGGGTAAATTTGGGTAGAAGAGAAAATATTTTCTAAGTCATCTTGTTAGTAACGCTGAAACCTCCGTTTTGTCACAAAATGCAACACACTAATTGGCATCTTAAATATAATAATCCTTGCATTTGATACAGCCCCTTATCACATCATTGAGATGTCTCAAAGCGCTTCACAGAATATATTGTAAAGTGGATTGACTATATATTTTGTGGGCAAAATATTTACACAATGTATTGAAAACTAATAAACATTTATTAATTTCAGAAATGAAAATGAAGGAGCCAAACTTCACATTGAAGAGAATTTTTAAAGTAGAAAACACAGGGCAACTCCCAGTTTTTGTCAAGTCTATGGAAATCAGTGGATATATCTGTGAAGGATATGGCTTCAAAGTTGTAAACTGTCAGGAGTTTGCACTAAAACCAAATGCCTCTAAAGACATTATTGTATTGTGAGTCTTGCATTCTTTTTATTTCAATTTTGTGTTGGAAACTTTCGTAACTTTTGTCGGAAAGTAAATACAGGTGTGGAAAAGTTCACTGGGGTCCATCGGAGTAATTCCAAAGGGCAAACATACCAAACTATATTCTGTTTCTTGCATTCCGTCAACAATTACTGTCAGCAAATTTGTCCCCAGCTCCCCTCTTGTACTTGGCGCATAGTTTCTCAAAGAAATGCGTCCCATTTATTCATCCTCTAGGTAGAAAGTGTTTGAATCAAAACAACAACAAATTACAATCGTATATAGCGTCTTTCACATCGGGAGGACGTCCCAAGGTGCTGGAAGCAAAGAAAGGCTGTAGGATGATTGAGTCAGGATAGGAGGACAGTGGGAGAGTGGACCGAGCGGGAGAGACAGGGATGGGGGCATTTGTGGCGAAATCAGGCATGGGTTGGGGGCGGCAGCCAGAATGCGCACATCAAGACTAAGGAACATTGTGTTCACCTCTGCTCTGCTGGCTTTTCTCGGGTAGCTTTGCTCTGTGCACTGGGCTTTGGCTGTGAGTTCAGATCCAGTGGGTCCATTCAACCACTCAACCCTTGACTAATTTGATGGTGGGGGTAGCATGCAAATAGAAGTGTCAGTCCTATGAGACAACACAATGCCCTGTTTAAGTAGGTACAGCAGCAGAAGCTTGCATTTAACTTAACATCCCTCGTATTAAAGATGGTTTCACAAAGCTTGACCACAAGCAGTGATGGACACCCAGCCATCTAAAGCTGAACAACGACACACTGAATAGGTTTTTGTTCAAGCAATCTTGTATGAGGGAGAACGAAGGCCACAGAGTTCTAGATTAGTTGAGCTATGGAAGCCGGTTAAAAGAACAGTGGAAAAATGCATGAGCCCCAGCAGTGATGTACATTGCGATCCTACCTTTTACCAAGATTGTTTTTAACCTGTTGCTGGTTTTATTCTGATATTTATTTGGACGTGTATTTTTATTTTCAGGTTTACACCAGATTTTACTGCCTCCAGAGTTATCCGTGAACTAAAACTTATCACCGCAGGAGGCTCTGAGTTTGTGTTTGTGTTAAATGCATCACTTCCTTATCATATGTTGGCAACGTGTGCAGAAGCCCTGCCTAGACCCAACTGGGAGCTGGGACTGTACATGATCATCTCAGGAATAATGAGGTACCTATCATCTGCTACATTATAAAACTATAGTATGTACCGTAAAACTTGAGTACAGAGGGTATTGGTAGCTTTGTGGTTATATTACTGGATTAGAATCCCAAAGGTCATGGTTTCGAATCCTGCTGTGTCAATTACTATGGAATTCCACAGTCAAATGTGGTGATTAGAGTCAGTGCCAGAAAAATAGCCGCAAAGCTTTGTTACAATCGAATTGGTTTTACTCACGCCCTCTTCAGGGAAGGAAATCTGCCATCCTTTACCCCACTCTGGCCTATATGTGACTCCAGTCCCACAACACGTGGTTGAGAAATGGCCCAGTAGGCCCCCTGGTCAGGGTAACCAGGGGTGGGTAATAAATACAGGACAAATTTACATTTATACACCCTTTCGCGTCGGGAGGATGTCCCAAGGCGCTCGACAGTCCCGGCTTGGCACCCGAGCTAGGGGTGGGAGCCAAAGGGGGCAAGGAGGGGATTGGTGACCGAAGGCACAGTCAAAGAGGTAATGGAGGGAGACGAGTCGATGGCACCAAGATGGAGTTCCAAAGAGTAGAGTCAAATGGGCTCAACCAGGCCTTTCTCGTTGAGAGAAATTCTCAAAGCGCTTCACAGGATTTACTGTGAAGTGACTGTACTTTTGGGCGAAAGCAGTAGCCCATTCACGCAAAGCAATGTCCCACAAACAGCCGTAAAAAGAATGACCAATTTAATTTGGGGGATTGTTGGTTGAGAAGCAAAGCCCCCTAACTCACTAACCTTTTCTTCTTTGACTTATATGCAAGTTGCTTTTTTCCTTCTCATAATGATCTCCCTCTTTGGGCCTCCAGTTGTACACTATACCCTGTAATGTGTGTAATTTGAATAGTGTCGTGCGCAGAAGTTCTTTGCCAGGTATAAGACACCCTAATATGTTTACAGTTGAGGCTAGATTTTATACTGAAATTACTCCCCTCTTGGATTTCTTTATCCTCTAAGGGTAAAGATTTATACAAATAACGATGTGCGACAGTAACAGCGATTGACTTCAAATTTTTGTTTTCTTTCCCAGTGTTTTGTTCCTTTTGGTGATTGGAACAGCTTATTTAGAAGCTCAAGGAATTTGGGAGCCCTTCAAAAGGCGTCTGTCTTTAGAGGGGTCCAACCCTCCCTTTGATATGGGAAGGACTTTTGATCTCAGGAGAATAGTTGGTATTTCATCAGATGGAAAGTGAGTAGAATGTTTTGGATCTAAAATGTTTGGTTTTGCACCTTTTACAAGCTGTCGGCTCTCCTAAAGCTGTGCTTATGAAACTTGATGTTTTCTGGAGTATTATTGGGGCTTTCGTAGAATTTTACACTGGGAAGCGATGTATAATAATTAAATTGGCCCAAGTTTTTTGAACTTTCAACTCTCTTCTGCATCCCTTAAAAGACCAAGTCCACTACAATGCAGATAATTTGAACAGATCCCAAGAACAAATGTTTTGCATTTTGGCTCATTGTACCTCCGCCACCAGATCAGAATTATGTAGTTGTGTTTGATGTAGCAATGAAACAACCTGCATTGGGTACTTAGAAATAGATTTATAACGCATTGGCTCGCTGAGTAGGACTCGCGATAAATATCATATTGGATACAATTCAAACAAGCCACTGTATTTCCTTCCATCACTCAAATCAGGGACTTTTTGATTACATCATTGCTTCCTGATATAAAATTGTAAATTACAACCAAATGGAAGCTTGCCAGATGTGCTCTCGATGGCATGCTATGTGGGTTTGGTTTGGCTGGCTAAATTCCAGCAGTACCCAACGCACACTGTGGGGTCCACAAGCTTAGGCACTTGCCAACCTGCACCTAATACTCTTCCTATTCTCCAGTATTAGGTAAGTAGGGTGCATCGCTCCATTCCAGACACAGAGAAATTTCCACGCATAGGTGACATACACATGTGAATTTCCCGGTAGATTTGGACGCTCCCTGAGATTGGTGACGCGATTCCACACGTATCAGACCCCTGGTGACCCCCAAAAAATAAAATTTGGTTTGCTTTTTTAAGTTACCCATTGAGACGGTCCAAAATTATGGTAATCAGTTCCCATTGGAACAATGAAGAGTTTGAATAGTTTTTTTTTTTGGTTGTCGTCATTTGATTCAGACTTTTTTAAAGAGGAAAATGTTATTGGGGGGATCTTTGATCTTTAAGTGATTTCTTAATAATAATAATCATAATCCTTGCATTTATACGCTGTGTTTCGCCCACAAAATTTACGGTCAATTCACTTCACTGCATATTCTATGAAGCGTTTTGAGATGTCTCGAAGACGTAGTAAGGCGCTATATCGAATGCAAGGATTATTATTATTATATAGCGCCGTATCACCTCGTTGAGAGGTGCTTCACGGAATATACTTTAAAGTGGATTGACTGTACATTGATGGGTGATTTCTGAATGCATGGTAAACCCCCGTTTGTTGTATTTCAGTTTAAATGCACTTGGATCGGATTCAAATCACAATTCTTCAAGAGGAGTATTTGGAGGAGGTGGTTCTTCGAGACCCAGTGTGGCCAATCACAAGCTGTTCACTGCATCACAGTTGCATAGCAACAGAAGCCCTTTTGACTTTGAAAGTCCAAAACTAAAAAACAATTTTGCAAACGTTAGCACTGGTAGAACGTCTACCCCGGCAGCGTCCGCCACCTCCGCTGCCAAAACCAGCCCCATCGGCCTCGAGCCAGGAGCCCCCAGAGCCAGACGAACAGGCGGTCGAAGACACAGAGACAGCCCCAGCAAACACACCAGCAACAGACGCAAGTCCAGCCGGATCCACAGTCATCATTACCACAATTGCCAGCAGTGCCTCAGCAACAGGAGCAGCAACATGACAACACTGTGTCCCACTTGTCAGCTCCCGCTGCGTCATGTACAGACAGTGTAAATACAAGGCACAGCTCTGAGGACTCTGATATCACCAGCCTTGGAGATACAGTGGACAAAGAATGTGAACTTCCTGAATCCCCATCCCCAGATGTTTTTACAGAACAGCCCCCATCTCCAGCCTCAAAAAATAAAGGTATGTCGATTTAACCTTTCTGCAGACATGTCTGTGGACTTAAAGAATGTACATTAAAGAGTACTTCAATTGAAAATTTGCAGGGCTATGGGGTAAGAGTGGGGGGAGTGGGTGTAGTCAGATAGCTCTTTCAAAGAGCTGGCACAGGCACGATGGGCCGAATGGCCTCCTTCTGAGCTGTAGGATTCTATGATTCTTTAATTGTTGTCCACATTTTACATAACCTGGCGGTGAGGTGGCAGAGGACATTGTATGAGAAACTTGACTTTTTCCAATTACATGAGTCAATTGTTATCTCAAAAATACAAAGAAATGCAACAGAAGGACAAATTTAATACATGGAGGGTGAGTATACCTACAATTATGTAGATTTCTTTTGTTCACGATTTGTGCTGAAAGGTGCATTGGTTCTAACTAAGACCACCGTCCCTTCCCGCCCTCACACTTCTCTATCTCTTCAGTTTCCTTCTCCTATTCCAGACCCCTCCCTGCTCGCCCCTCCGCTCAGCTAGCTCTTGCTTGCTGCGGGTTTAAGAAGCACAAAAGGAGCTGTTACTCTGCTAGGTGTAAACTACAGACCACCAAATAGTGGGAAGGAGATAGATGAGCAAACCTGCAAGCAGATTTCAGAAAAATGCAAAACCAATAGAATCATAGAACTATACTGCACAGAAGGAGGCCATTCGGCCCATTGTGTCTGTGCCGGATCGAGTAGTCATGGTAAGGGACTTCAATTATCCTAACATAGACTGGCAAAATAACAGGGAAATGATTCCTGAAATGTGTACGGGATAACTTTCTGGATCAGTATGATTCCAGCCCAACGAGGAAGGAAGCAGTGCTGGATCTAGTTCTGGGGAGTGAAGTGGGGCAAGTAGAGCAGATTTCAGTAGGAGAGCATCTGGACAACAGTGATCACAACATCATTAGGTTTAGAGCACTTATGGAAAGGGACAAAGAACAATCAAAGGTGAAGATACTCAACTGGAAGAGGGATAATTTCAGTCAGTTGAAAAGGGACTTAGCCAAGGTGGACTGGAAAGAAAGATTGACAGCTAACAAGCAATAGGAAGCCTTCAAGGAGGAGATATTTCGGGGCAGAATAAATACATTCCCACAAAGGGGAAAGGTAGGGCATCCAAACCTCGCTGGATAAATAAGGAAATTGGGATTAAAATAAAACAGAAAAAAGAGGACTATGATAAATGTAAGGTCCAAAATACAGAAGATAATCAAATAGAATATAGAAAGTACAGAGGAGAACTGAAAAGGGAAATAAGAGAGGGAAAGAGATTGTATGAGAAAAGATTAGCGGGTAACATAAAAGGGAACCCTAAGGTATTTTATAAGCATATAAAGAATAAAAGGGTAGTCAAAGGTAGGATGGGTCCAATTAAGAACCAAAGAGGAAATCTTGTTGAGGCAGAGGGCATGGCTGACGTACTGAATGAGGACTTTGCATCTGTTTTCGCCTTGCTTCCTCCCTTTCCTCCTTCAAGGCCGGTCTCAAAACCTTTCTCTTTGACCGTGCCTTCAGCTCCCCTCTCGACTCTCTTCCCCTCCTCGCTCCCTCCCTTCCCTCCCTCACCCTGACCATTTCCCCCTCCTCGCTCCCTCCCTCCCTTCCCACCCCTCACCCTGACCATTTCCCCCCTCCTCGCTCCCTCCCTCCCTTCCCACCCCTCACCCTGACCATTTCCCCCCTCCTCGCTCCCTCCCTCCCTTCCCACCCCTCACCCTGACCATTTCCCCCCTGCTCTATATATGGAATCTTGTTGTTGTTGTTGTTTTCACAAAAGAAGAGGATGCAGCCAATACCAGAATATCGGAGGAGACGGTAGAGAAATTGGATACAATAAAAATAAACCGAGAGGGGGTACTAAAAAGATTGTCGGTGTTCAAGGTAGATAAGTCACCTGGTCTAGACGGGATGCATCCAAGGTTACTGAGGGAAGTGAGGGTGGAAATAACAGAGGCTCTGGCCACAATCTCTCAATCCTCCTTGGACACCGGGATATTACCAGAGGACTGGAGGGTTGCAAATGTTACTCCCCAGTACAGAAAGGGACAGAAGAATAAACCCAAGAACTACAGGCCAGTTGGCCTAATGTTTGCAGGGCTATGGAGAGAGAGTGGGGGAGTGGGATTGATTTGGATAGCTGCTTTCAAAGAGCCTGCACAAACACGATGGGCCAAATGGCCTCCTTCTGTGTTGTATGATTCTACGATATACTTTTTCCCCTTTCATCGACCTAGCTTGTAATCTTAAAGTTTAATGCCCTGTTGTCCACACTGAAAGTGCGTGTAGAATAAGTACTCCAGCACCCTACCCCGCTTGAAGAGTGCAGTATAAATACAAGCTGTTGGTGTCCTGGATTTTCCTAACTGGGGTGAGGGATCATTCCATCACTGATATCCTTCATCATTTCATCAATGCCCTTCATCTCTTTGAACACCTCAACCAAATTGCTCCTCAAACAACAACAACTTGCATTTATAGAGCCCCCTCGTGCAGGGTAGGGCCCCGGAGCGCTTGCTCACCTCATTTGAGCGCGGATTCTCTTTTACCGCAACACGTCCTTTCGACCCATGGTTGCTGGACGGTCCCTACACTTGCAGCGTAGACCGGCCCACTGCCCATGGCTGACGTTCCGGCAATAAAGTCGCCATCAATGTTACCTCCTGCTCACGGCTGATGCGCACGTCACAGCCTCTATAGTAATAATAAATAATAATCCTCGCGTTTGATATAGCGCCTTACCACGTCATTGAGACGTCTCAAAGCGCTTTGTAAAGTGAATTGACTATATTTTGCGCGCGATATGTGGCAGCCAATTGTGCACAGCGGCGTCTCACAGACAGTCGTGGATTGAGTGACCAAATCTCTTTCTCCCCCCCCCCTTCCCATGGTAGTTAGGACTAACCCAGTTCTAATGGGGCTGAATGGCTTTGTACTGTACTCTTCCTGTGATTCTAAGACCCATTACCAGTTCAAGTGAAATCTGATGCTCCCAGTATTTAAGTTGTTAATCATGAGCTGTGAGGTTGGTTATATATTACAGGAGGAAGAACTGGCAGTCACCCACTTACTTAAGTTTCTTAATCCTCTCCTTACTGCGATACTGCAATATGATTTGTGCGAGTATCAATTTTGTTTTGATACTGACACAAATCACACTTGGGCATCAGAGCAAGGAGAGGATTAGGAACGATGCTGACCAGGCCACATCAGGCTCCAGCAATCAATACAAGTTATTCACCCACAACAAATAATTCACTGCCCTTTACAGTGTGACCGGTACAGGACAATGAGAGTTTGATGTGAGAAGCCAATTTGAGATGATTGGAATAGAAGCCTGTGTATTGTAGTGCAAAGGGACTGAGGATTCACATTTAGTTCCTCTCCTGCTGGCTAACAGAAACCTTTACACTTTCTCATTAAGTTATGTTGAGGAAGGTTTTTTTTGTTGGTGTCCTGGATTTTCCTAACTGGGATGAGGGGTGGGGGTGAGATGAGTAAGAGCCAGTCCTCAGTAGTGTTACAAATGACCAACAGCAAATGCTTATTGCACCCATTAATTGCTGCCAACTTTATTATTATTATTGTTACGCAATTGCAGTTTAGATCATTCCGTAGAGATAGTTTCTATGTGGTTTTCAGTGATGGGTCAGTCAGACCAATAACACTGCCACGTTACACTTGAATGGATGTTACTTTTCTTAGGACATTTGAACTTCCCAAAATAAATATTTCGAAGTACGCACTTAACCGTATTTATCCACACCTCCCCCACCAGCTCAGATGCCAATCCAGTACAGTTAAGTGCCTTAGGAACAGAGGTCCTCCTGATGTGAAAGTCGCTATATAAATGTAAATTTGTATTGTATTAAAAAAAACGATGTCCAGTGCAAATGTTGGAAAGCAGAAATAAAAATTGGAAACGTGTAGTGACTCAGTCAGGATCTAAAGGAGGATAGATTAAAGCTTCAGATGCAGCTTGGAAACTTCATATACGGGCAGTGTATCCTCGGCTTGTGAGTGTTCCATTCCCCTCCCCATCTTCTGTCTCCTGGAAAATAGCTCTGATTTCTTCACTGACTCCGCAATAGTTAGCAAAGGTCGTAAGCTTGTGTGGGAGAGGAATTGTAGGAGTGAGCCTGCATCCTACTATCAAAGCATTATTGTCCATCAACTGGTTTTCACTGACCCATCCACCGATTGGATACATCAATTGGAATTTGAACCAAGTTTAATGCACCTCACCTACTATGTGATTAATGTCCAGTGTACAATGTTTATTCACTTTTTAAGCAAGTATTTGTTATCTATCCGAAAGCTGCTTAATGTGAACTGTGGTTCTTAGAAACTTTCCAATAAGTTACTTAAAAACACAAAGAGAAATCGTGGCGGACGTGAGTATTCGTGCTTCACATAATAGTATGATTTAGAATTGGATACAAAGTTCAGCTGTTTTCTTTTAGATACAAACCACGCTTTGGTTTATATTCATGTTCCAGCTTAAATATAAAATAGCCACCAGCAGACCTAATAGGGAGTTTAGGAGAAACTTCTTCAAGCAGATGGTGATGAGAATGTGGAACTCGCTGATTGAAGCTGCAGAAAACATCAGGGTATTTAAGAAGAGGCTTGATACATCATAAGGAATAGAAGGCAATTGGGAGAGATGGAGGCTCATGTGGAGTATAAACACTGGCACAAACTAGTTGGACCAAATGACCTGTTTCAGTGCTATAACTTTCTATGTAATGGAATTTTTTATTCTTTCTCCCCTTTCCCATTCCCCCACCACCACCCAATACTAGACTATGCTAATGTCTTTCTCCAACTGTGAGACATAGAAACATAAACACTTACTGAACATCCCATTGAGTCCACATTGGCTCATAGATCAGCCGCTACACCATCTTATAGACTGTCATGGTTTAGACTAGAGATGGCCAACTTGTGGATCACATTATGCATGCGCAGAATAGACACGTGTGCCACAAGTTGGCCATCCCTGGTTTACACCATAGGCTGGACAAGCCACTGCGAAGTGTCTTTCCAGTTTGTGATGTTCTCAGGCAAGATTATTATAGGGCAAGATAACAAAATTGTTCTGTCCTCCTTTCCTACCTCCCAGGTAGAACAGACTAACAGGAGATGTTCTGTGTAGTCATCTTGCTGAGGGCTATCGAAGCTCCTCGGCTGATTCAAACATCAAGTTGTTCCCCCGACACAAACGCATATGTATTCCCATCTCCCAGGCTCATCCAGTCTCTTAATGATCCTTTTGGTCCATACGTGCTGCAGTTAGCTGCTAACTGGTCAGTGGGTCCCAACATTCAACACAATGAGCCTTGTTTGGCTTCTCTTCTTCACATTCTGAGCAGAGTTGCTGATTTTGTGTCGCAGGGAGAATAAAAACACAGCGCAAAACTAAAGCACAGAAAAAACGTGAGGAAAAAGATAAACGGACGAAAGGAAAGCCGCAAGAGGACGAATTGAAGGACGCAGATAACGATGACAGCTCATCAACTACCACGGAAACATCCAATCCAGATGTGGAATCATCCCTAAAGGAGGTAAGATTTTATGCACCTGGTTTATAAAATGTGGAAGTACATTTCTGGACCTAATTTTTCTACCACCTTTCGACCGGAATATAATTTGTTTGGATTTTTTTTTAAAGAAAGGTTAGAACTTTCTATTGTCGAGCTGGCAATAGAGATGCAACAAATGGCCCCAATGCCCTTGGAAAAAGAGGGAAAAATAAGTAATAAAGGGTGTTTATTCCCAGTTGCTATCCAGAGACCATCAGCCCCCCCATAGCAAAATTATTATTACTACGGTTAAGTCCAACTCACCCTCACCCATACTACTACTAATAATCCTTCTTTCACCCACAAATACATAGTCATTCCACTTCACAGTAATTCCTGTGGAGCACTTGGGGACATCCTCCCCTCATGAAAGACACTAGCAAAATGTAAGGATTATTATTATTATTTGATATGTCGCTTTTCATATTGGGAGGCTTGTTAATAACAAGACGTTTGTAATTTAGTCTTGTTGCTGGTGACACAATCTACATTGCCAAATTGTGATCTGCACAAGTGGCACCCTCCCTCTCAGCACCTTGCCTACGTTTACATTTCTACAGTTATTTCACGTCAGAAGGACATCTCAGAGTGCTTGACCATGTTGTCTGGGCACCCGAGCTGGGGGTGGGAGCTGAGGTTGTGTGGGAGGGGAAAGATGACTGAAAGCGGGGTCAAAAAGAGGTACTTTTGAGATGCATCTTGAATGAGGGGAGGGACCGAGTGAGTTAGAGGGATCCTGGGGTGAAGTTCCAGAGGGGGGGGGGGGAAGAATGGCTGAAACCCTGCCGACTGATCATGAGGCAGAAGGGAGACGTGAATGTTCTTCACCTCTGGGCCTGGGCAATGCAGTGAGTATCAGTAGGCTATTTGACGTGGCTGTCTATTGCAGTCTGCTCTGAATTCCTAACCACACAATTGTACTTCCAACAAAAGAAATCAGGTGCAGGAGCCTCGGTCAGTTTTCCCCTCAGCAGCCGTGGGATCCTGAAAGGATTTTGTAGTTTGTCAAACTCAGCATTGACCACAGGCTTGTGGTCCACACCACATGAATTAACGATATGGTTTGCCATTTTGTGTGGTCTGTGTCCTGTGTAAGTTGTTTTTGCCTTATGTCGTTTGTTACTGAGCGATTTCATTTTGGATATATATTGCAGTACGTTTGCAAAATTTCTCTTCTCAAGCGTTTACTTTCTTCCCTTTTTTTTCCTTTGCCATTTCGCAATCATAAAATTGTGAACAGTCAACAACTGCACAATAACATCTCTCAAAGACTTTTACAATATGTGGGTTAATAACACATGGAGCTAAACCCCTGAATGTGAAGGCGTTAAGTTATTGTGTGTTAATGTGGCACTTTTCTCTCTCTCTCTCTAGTCTCCAGATTCAGAGAAGAAAAAAGGGAAACCAGTTTTACCTATCAAAGAGAAGGACGACACAGATATATTTCTCACATTAAAATCTAAAGGAAAGAAACCCCAGGGAAATATCAAAAAGGAAAGTCAGAATGACATTAAGTCAAGGTAAAGCATAGTGGGCAGTAGTGGTGCCTCACACCACATCACCTGTGTCACACAAGCCATCAAAGGCTTTCTATTGATGCCACACAGCCCTGCTTCATGTTACTGTGTCAGCACACATAGACGCAAACATACATACACACATACTACGTATACACACACAAAGTATATACATACATGCACGCAGACAGTATATATAGTCACCATTTGATTTCTAATGGATGCAAACATTAGCTGACTGCTTTTTTTGAACTAAGAGTTGAGGGTTTTGCTTCTGTTTGTTTTTAAAGTTCGTTGGAGCTGCCGTACACTACTCCCCTGGAGAACAAACAGCGCAAAAACTTTCCAGCCAAAATAGTACCACAGCCCTTGACAACTGTTCCCAAACTGAGGAACATCCCCAAAAGAGGTAGGTTGTTGCATAGAGTTGCATAAACTGGAAAGCTCACGGGATGTTCCTGGTACCTACCGTCCACCTATTGACGGCTCAAATTAGTGCTTGTCGGATGTCGATCGACCATCTATCCTCCTTGGGCGGAGGTAAGCAGGGTTTCCTTGAAGTTGAACTGGCTCCAAGGTGACATGTTTAGCAACAGAATGTCGGAATTGAGCTAGCCCACTGTGGCAGTCTCGGTAGTCCGGTTCCTGAGGCAGTCGGGTCTGAAATACTCCAGGCCGCTATTAAGTTCTGGAAGCATGGAATTCTCGGTTTGGTTTGGGTGCTCTTAAGCATGGTGATGGGTTTCCACGTGTGACAGACACCCGACTGACAAAAAAAATAGAGTGGCAGGACACAGAAACTGTGCCAGTGTTTGAACTAGCTGTGCGCAGGATAAAATTAAGGAGCAAGAAAAGGAACCTGCGATCTTATAGCAACTTTCTTTGTCAAAAAGTCTCAAAATACTTTATGGTAGTTACTATCGAGTGTAGTGGCTATGTTTTTGTAGGCAGACACAGCAGTGATTTTATGCAGAGCATTGGTCCACAGATTTCTGTCAGGTGTACAATCTACTTTTTCTGGAGGTTATTTTGGCCAAGGCACCGGGAGAAATTTCCTGCCCTCAATGAATGGCGTCACAGGATTTTTTAATATGCCTATGAAGCACAGGCAAACGTGGTGTCTGTTTAACATCTAACTCAGATGATGTTAAAGATGATACTCTGCCTCCCCCAGTACTGCACTGGAGTTGTCATCTTAGACTGAGTGCAAATCCCAATGTGGGGCTTGAACCCTCACTGCTACTCAGTTAAAGGCCTTTCTTTTCGATTGTGCCTTTGGTCATCTTCCCATCTCTTTCCCCCCCCCCCCCTTTCCCCTTGGCCTCCACCCTTCTTTACGCCAGCTCCCAACTAAGATACAAACCCTCCACTATTCAGCCCCTTGGGATTTCCTCCCAACACGATGGATGCTATGTAAATGGAAGTTGTTGTTGTGCTATCTGAGCCAAGCTGACATGTAAATTATGCATGCATATGTATTACAATTAAACCCAATTTCCTTTACTTGTAGAATTTAGTTCACTTTACAGTATAATCCGTGAAGCGCTTTGAGTCGTGTCGAAGACATGATAAGGCGCTATATCAAAGGCAAGGATTATTATAGAATACTGCTAAGAGTTCTTGCTTTGTTACACATGAACAGAATAACAATGAATGTATTTATTTTGTCCTCAGTGCCTGGTAAATTAGTAGATGGGAGGCCATCTCCATTGGTAAAGTTCCTTTCAAGCAGTTCCGGCCAGGAAATGGGCAACAGTAGCAGTTCAGAGGGTGAGAAAGACTCTCCGCCACCTGAATGGGACATTGTACCCCTTTCCAAGTCCAGTAGTTGTAAGTAATTTGTATTGTTTTTCCAAAAAAAATCATTGGGTAGATTTGCTGCATTCGTCTAGTTGCTTTGTTTCCATTGAACATAATATAAAGGCCAACTTCCGGGTGATCAGGTCACTGTGATGTCCCTTCCGGTGTGCCAACCTAACGATGTGGACGTCAGCTATTTTTAACAACGGTTGGGTGGTCCTAGCTATCAATGGACAGCGCTTTCAATGGCGGGTTTTAGCTGGTTAGACTTGAGCAGTTACCCCAAAGCACACTCTGGAGTCCCCAAGCCTCGGCTCTTGGCATCTGCGCCTAATACTTTCCAGAATTAGGTAAGCATGATGTGTCCCTCCAGGGAGCGATTGTGATTCCTTTCCAACAATCTATCCCTGGGATTCCCATGTGCAGGTGGGATGCACGGAATTCTCAGTTTGCTTTGCTGCAGTTCGATGCTCTTAAGCACGGTGATGGGTTTCCACACGTGTCAGACATCCGGCTGACCCAAAAAATAGAATTAATACAGGAATCAGCTGGTGGGCAGGAGCCAAGCCAGCTGGCTGCAGCCGGTCAAAGTGAATATGGTCTGCGTGCCATCCACATCATAGGCAAATCAGCACTCTAGCAAAGTGGCGTTGTAATGGGATTGCACTGTATTTCAATAACAATTCAACTCGTCTACTCCTGTCTCACATTTTGCAGCTACAGATAGCCTTCACCAACTCTCGATGCAGACCCTCAATGCCGATGTCTTCCTGAAGAGACAGAGCTCTCCTATGCCGGGACCTCCATCTCCACCACCTGCCATGTACAACTTTAGTCCACGAGCCATCAGTTACAGCAGCATTGTCAACAATAGGTACAGCCCCTCACTCGCTGATTCAGCTGTTCAACTTTTAACTATTTGTGTTTTAATGGTCTGTACATCTGGAAACAAGTTTTTTTCCAAAGATATATAATACACACAGTATATAATAATATATAATATGCACATACAGTGTGTGTGTATATTAGCGCAATTGGCTGCTGCATTTTGCCCACAAAATATACAGTCAGTTCACTTCACAGTATATCCTGTGAAGCGCTTTGAGACATCTCAAAGATATGAAAAAGCGCTGTATCAAATGCAATTATTATTATTATATGTACACAGTGGAATCTGCTTTTGCCCGATGCAGGTTAACCCCAGACGTCATGATTCATTTTTATTCTTACCTGTTTTAAATATGCAGTGGATTGTTAAGGGGTCTTAAGGGGTTAATAGTAATTCTGTATAGGTTCCGTAACGTAGTGGTTAAGCACTCGCCTCGCAAGCAAGAGGACCCGGGTGTGATTCCCAGGCAAGGCAAAACCTTAGGCACGTTTGCTTATTTGGTTGGTCACTCACTCTATAGCTGTTTGTAGAACTATTGTGTGCACTTGGCTGACACGTTTCGCCCACAGGATGCAAAGCCAATTCACTTTACAATCTATTCCGTGAAGCGCATTGAGATGTCTCAACGACGTGATAAGGCGCTATATCAAATGCAGGGATTATTATTACGTGGGTGTGCTTTATTTGGTCAGTTGACCCATGTAGTTGATTTACACAGCCCTGACTGTTCTCTCTCTCTCTCTCTCCCCCTCCTAGTGACGTTGGCTTCAAACCAGTGAACAGCAATAAATCCAAATTTACAAAAGCACCATCTCTCCCTGGGAAAAACGGCAATCCCACCTTTGCAGCTGTCGCCGCAGGCTATGACAAGAGCCCAGGTACTCACCATCAAGCTAAACCTACAGTACTTGTGTAACTGCATATATGTGATGTGCTTGTGACGTTTCTACTGTTAAAACCTTTCAGAGCTTCCAAGAATTTTAAAAAATTAATTTGTCAGAAAAAAAAGGCTTTTTTTTAAATTAATTTGTCGAACAATTCATTTGTTCTCAAAACTGTTTTATAATGTGTTTACAGGAAGCAGCGGGCCAACAAAAGTACCTCTGAACAATGCAGAAGCTTGTGGCAACATTCCTAACTCGCTATGTAACGTGGCTTCTTTTGAGAGCGATGAGTCAGATAGCAGGTGAGGAGGGGTTGGACTCAAACAATTGTTGGCAGGGTTTTGTTTTTTCACTTTCCCCTTGCAGTTCGGCTATTTATTTTTTTCAAAGACATGACTACTTAAAGATACCCTGTTTGGCCACAAGCTTTCTCCCCCGCCCCCCCGCCTCCTCCTCCAAAAGTATGGTTTTGGTTGGATAATCTGCCATTATATATAACATCAGTAAGAATAATAACCAGCGTAAGTGGTTAGAGCGCTCACCTCATAAGCGAGAAGATCTGGGCTTGATCCCCAGCAGGGCAAAACCTGAGGCAACTTTCCTTATTCCCCACTCCTTTGTTTACCTAGCAGAAGGTAGGAACCCAGTTGTTAGTCGATTGGCAGATCACTTTTCTGGGGGTAATAATCCCTTTTTTTAAAAAAGAAAGTCACTCAATCCACAAAATATACAGTCAATTCACTTTATAGTATATTCTTATTATTATGACATATTATAATAATTATTATTATAATTATTCTGTGACGCTCTTCAATATGTCTCTACCACATGATAAGTGCTATATCAAATGCAAGCATTATTTTTATTATTATATGTTATGAACCAGTTTATCCGTTTCACTTTCAGCTCCAATTTGTTGAGCCCTTGCAGCGTCAGTGCCACCAGCAACGCTGAGTTCGTTCCTCCCAACTCGTTTTCAGCATTTGGACCCAGCAACTCCTTCAACCTGACTGGCGGTAAGTCATTGGTTTTGCTGAGTGATCAACAAATTTCGCTGCTCATGACCTGTGAGGGCCTTTGCCACAATAGGTGTCAGCTTGACTCAGTTACAGACTCAAAACATTTAATTTAAAAAAAATAATAATTTGTTCACTCACTCTACGACTGTTTGTGGGACGCTGCTGTGTGCAATTGGCTGCCGCGTTTCGCTCACAAAATACAGTCAATTAACTTCTTACAGTATATTCTGTGAAGTGCTTTGAGATGTCTTGACGAGCTGATAGGGCGCTATATCAAATGCAAGGTTTATTATTATTATTAGGGCACGAGAGAGCATTCTGGTGGCGACATCACACCTGGTGTTAAAGCTCTGATCCTTCTGCGAGGCATCTGAAGTGGGAGAGATTTTATACTCTCCTCATTTGTCCTACTAGAAGCAAAGCTATATCGCTCTCAGTAACAACAATCATTGCATTTGAAACGGTTCCTTTCATGTCGGGAGGACGTCTCAGGTGCTTTGCAGTATCTACGATCAAGTGTAGTGACTGTATTTTTATAAGGCAAACTGGGCAGCCAACTTTCCGGATAACTTTCCGGATAAAGGGTCACGTAAAGAGTAACGTGGATCAGGAAGCCTGATTCGTGCTTTCTACTGCTCATGACGTTGGTTGGTTTTTAATCTCTTTCTCGATAACATTAAAAAGAAGCAATGCCTTGAAGTCTTTTACTGCTGTCCAGCCAATAGCTAACATTTGGGGAGCACAGCTGGCCACAGTGTTTACTGTGCATCGCTGCCAATTAAAATGCTACTGAAACCACCTCGTCCAGACACTTAGGAATCAGCTGCTCAACCCCAGTTTATGTGGCACTTCCACTGTCAACTGGAATGACTGACCACAACTGGTGCCGTGTAAATAAACAGCGCTGTATTTGTGAAAATATTTGCTTCTTACACACGTGCTCAGTCGGTAAATGTATGGACCATGTGTGAACAGATTGAAAAGGGCATTTTTGGCTCATTTTAGATTCCCTGATTCAAATCTCTGGGCTGGTAGCCTAGTATTTGTTAGATATCTGACCTAATTCTCCTTCCCCCATACGTACACACACACATACTCTCCAGTTCTGACTCAGTCGGTAACACTCTCGGTCTGGAGTCGGAAGGTTGTGGGTTCAAGCCCCAATTCAGGACTTTTATTGCACAGTCTAAGCTGACACTCCAATAGAGTGCTAGGGGGAGCTCTGCATTGGGGAAGGTGCTGTCCTTCAGGTGAGATGCTAAACCAAGGTCCTGTCTGCCTGTTCAGGTAAACTGATCCAACTGACCCAATCCCCCAGATAAGCTTGATCAATCACTCATGGTTGTTTGTGGAACATTACTGTGTGCAAATTGGCTGCTGTGCTCAACTCCGAACTACTACACTTTAACATTAAATCCTGTGAAAGGATAAAAACATAAGAATTAGGAGCAGTAGTAGGCCATTCGGCCCCTCGAGCCTTCCCCGCCATTCGATAAGACCTAACTCCGATTACCTGCCCTATTCCCATATCCCCTAATCCCTCTATTTTTTTTAAAATCTATCAGTCTCAGCCTTGAAGATGTTCAAGGACTGAGCATCTACAGCCTTCTGGGGTAGTGAATTCCATAAATTCCATAAATTCACTGCCCTCTGAGTGAAGAAATGTTTCCTCAACTCTGTTCTAAAAGGCTGACCCTTAATTTTAAGACTGTGACCCCTGGTTATAGATTCTCCTACCGGGGAAACAGACTCTCAGTGTCTACTTTATCAGCCCTTTAAGAATCTTATATGTTTCAATGATGATTCAGGATTCCACAACCTGTTTTTTAAAACATATATGTTCACATATTACACGAGGAGTTGGAGTTAGTAATATTATTATTACATAGAATTCTCCTCTTCCCAGTGCCCTACCTCCATTCATAACAATTAACAGTTGCCTACATAAGAACATAAGAATTTGCAAGACAAAAGAAGACCAAGGTCATCCAGTTTGCCTTCCATTATCCTGGCAGTCGCTTAACATGTCATGTCCCAAACTATATACTGTGTCCTGCGATATTATTTTCTAGCAGAAACAAATGACAAATGACTGCCAACAAGAACAACAAATTTCATTTAAAATAATAATAATAATCCTTGCATTTGATATCTTATCATGTCATTTTGACATCTCTGAGACACTACCCTGGATGGAGGGGGCTATATAAGTGCAAGTTGTTGTTGTATGTAAATGCCTCCATAATCAAAACAAAGTCTTGTTAAAAAAAGAATTTACAGACTTCAGTCCAACTATCGTAACACATGCCTCTGGCACTGTGCCTTCATCCATCCAAAGAACACAAATCCTCAGCCCCCGCTGGAAGGAGACGTTTACTGTTCTGGAGAAATGATTGGTGTGTTAGCTCCCACCGCCAACAGATAGTTGGGCTTTATTTGAAATATATCTGATTTCTTTTTCCTGAAAGATTTTGTTTTTGTCAATTAATTAAGCAAAGCTAGTGTTTCTGTCCGGAAGGCAGCACGGCAGCCAGCTTGCACACAATTTCATCTGGGGTATTGTGTGTCAGCCTGGCTCAACCAGCAACACTCTCGCCTCCGAGCCAGAAAGTTGTGGGTTCAAGCCGCACGTCAGGATTTGAAACTCGTATAGTCTGTGCTGACATTCCCAGTCCAGTCATGGGGGGTGCTGTATTGTCGGAGGTGCCGTCCTTTGGATGAGACAATAAACCGAGGCGCCATCTGTCTGTTCAGGTGGACGTTAAAGATCCTGTGGCGCTGTTTAAAAAGAGAAGAGAGTTTTCAAATAGTGTCACGGGATCTTTAAAGGCATCCTGAAGTGGGTCAGTCAGTTTAATGCTTCATACAAAGAATGGTACCTCCAATAATACAGTGCTGCATTGAAGCACCAGACAAGACTTTGAGACCAAAGTGATTTGAATCCGCTTTCTCTGACTTTGAGCCAAGTGCTACCAAGTGAGCCAGTCTGACACCCCTCCCTGCTAGATGTTTAGTGAAGTCGAGGGTTTGAGAGAGAGAGAGAGAGAAGGGTAGGATTTCTATTCTATTTTTGGATAGCATCGGTCTTACTCCAGGCCTCTCTGTTAACTGATTATTATAACCCATTGCTGTATTCGCTTTGTATTGCAGAGGTCTTCAGCCCTCATGTGCTCTCAAGAACAACCTTTAACAATCGGGAAGTTCCACAAAATTGGACGGATTATAGTTCTGCCCCATCCACATCCATCTGGGACCCCACTTCTGCTGACACTCGCACTACCTGGCCATCGAGCACTGGCTCTCCAACTCATTCAACTTCAGTAAGTGAACAACAATATCCATGGTGAACACGCTGGCACTCAATACTGTGCAAGACATCAGGTCATTGGTACCCCCGGCAGTGGAGGGTGTGTTATGGGTGCAAAGGGGCATTCATACAAGTAATAATTCAGGGTTGATACTTGGATAGTTCCAGCAGTTACCCCAACACACACTCTGAGGTCCCCAAACCTTGCTCTCGCCAACCTGTATCGAATACTCTCCAGACTTGGGTAAGCAGAGTATGTCTCCTGGAAGAGAGTGTACATTCGATTCCATGTGAAGGGAGATATCCGTGTGGAGGTAGCAAACACACTTTAAACTGATTTGGGTTCTAACCTGTTGCTTATACTCCCATCCTCACCCCCATCCTTGCCCAGCTCCTCTGGCTCCCCATCCCGTAGAGGATAGAGTTCCAAATCCTCATCCTTGCCTTCAAACCACGCCACAGCCTTGCTCTTCCCTACCTCTGTGAAACCTGCTATTCTTGTTGTTGCTTGAGATCAGTGAACTGGGAATGAAACCTGGGATCTATCAGTCAGTATGGCTCATATGTAATCTGAGCCTTTGCTTACAAACTGTTTAATGTACCTCTGCAGTTAGATAAAAGGTGCATAGTGTATGTGGTCACGGGATGCTTCCTCCCTTAATAGGGAATTGCATCACTCAACTCAAAATGGAATTGCAGTGAAGTGGGAGCACTTAATATGGTCAAGAACAACTTGCATTTATATAGCGGCCTTCACACAGGTTAGCGTCCCAGAGTGCTTGATCAGTGCTTTACCCAGTTATCTGCCTCCTGGCTAAACCTTGCAAAACTAGACCTGCTGCTGGTTGCTGTTATGGTACCGTATTTGCATTTTTGCATTTGCTTAAAAATAATTATTCCCTTGAGTTGTACATGTGAACCAGACGCACAACAGCAGCAGAAATGGGCTGGCTTCTCCTCCCACCCTACTCTGGAAAATTAGGCATTGGTGAAACTCTGCATCTCAGAGAGCTGTAGAGGCAAAATCAAAGAGATCAACAGATACTTGGGTCGTTAGAGATATTAAAGGTTGTGGCGAAATGGCAGGGCACCAGGATTAAAAGATCTGCCAAAAACTAATAAACTGGTGGAATAGGCTGAGTGGATTTCCCCCGCCTTTGGATCCTGATTCCCCCTTTAATGGGGATATTCCATCACTCGACTCAAGTGGAGGATGAGTGATCCGAGAGAACGGACAGAAATGCTCACATGGTGACAAGGCAAACAAAGCGTTCAATTTAAACCGCAACAGTTTGGTTTACGGGAAATATAACTTGTTGTTGATCGTATTTCACGCAGCACAAGAAAAAGTGCTGTTTGTTATTCAGCATTGATCAGTGGGAGGTTTAGTTCACAACTTTTATCTATAATCGCTGGCTCAGTAACCAAAGATACTGGTCAAGTAGCAACTCATCCTGGCTCAGATGGTGGGTCTCTTGGCTCCGTATCAGAAGGCTATGGGTTCTACACCTCCATCCATACCTCACAACCAAAGCAGCCAAGACCTTCGTCCATGCCTTTGCCACTTTCCCGGCTGGACTATTCCAATGTCCTCCTCGCTGGTCTCCCCAACTCCACCATACACAAAATTCAATTAATTCAAAACTCCGCCACCTGAACACTCATGTGCACAAAACTCTGTATCCCCATCACACCAGTCCTCGCCAGACTCCAGTGGCTCCCAATTACCGAATGGATCGATTTCAATATCCTGTAACTTGTTTTCAAATTCCTTCAGGTCCTCGCATCTCCCTGTCCTATCTGATTTGCTTTCCCTACCCCACCCGCTGGCTCCGGCCTCCTGTTGGTTTCCTCACCACCTCCGCTCCACCATCGGTGGCCAAGCTTTCAGTCACTACGCCCTGAAACTCTGGAACTCTCCTTCAATCCCTCCGCTTTGCCCACTCCCTCCCCACTTTCAAGTCCCACCTAGACCTTTTTGATTGTGCTAATGATCACCTCCCCACTCCCTCTCCCCCTGGCTCAGGGTCAGACTCCACCATTGTTAAGCGCTCTGGGATCCTACCCCGTGCGAAGGGTGCAATATAAATGTAAGTTGTTGCTTATTTTCCCAAATTTTATAACTTCAGTGTTAGAGTGCAGTCATCTGGCACAAGTGCATATAGAAACATAGGAAAATAGGAACAGCAGGAGGCCATTCAGCCCATAGAGTCTGTTCCACCAATTTATTAGATGTCATCAGATCTTTTAATCCCAAGCCTCGCCCTTGCAATATACCGATTAATCCCCTTTAACAACTATCTATGGGGCGGTTTACTGTAGAGCATTGCACAATTACATCATTTGTTGATAAGCGAGGGATGACAGGAAGGAGGTCATAAAGATTATGAAGGGTAAAAAGCCAAATCAATTTCCACCCGTTAGTGAATGAGAGGTATTTAGGCCGACAGGATCTCAGTTGAACATCTCATCCAAAAGACAGAACCTTGGACAATGCACTACCCCCCAGCACTGCATTAGAGTGTCCATCTAGACTGTGTGAGTTCAAAATCCCCTTCCTGAAATAAGGAACAAAGGACCAGGGTTTAGCGAATGCCACAGATTGTACTGACGTACTTTCTGTTGTATGAAACCTTCGGGTGAGATGTCTTCCTGATGTGAAAAGCCCCCAAAAATGTTAAGTTATTGTTTTCTTTACTGATCAGGTAAAGAGTGTTAGTTCTCTGTGACATTTATATCCACTTAAAGTGTTCAACAGTCCTATAGTCCTGAATTCTTTTTGCGCTGTGCTTGTTCAGTTAGTTGGTCTAATAATTTTTTCAGTGAGTTCTCGAATGCCTATCAATGCTAAATCGATTAGTTGAACAAACAAATAGTAAATGAGTCATATCTTCACTGCAATGTCAGTGCATTTTGTTTTGATTTTAAAAAAATAGCTGTTGATGAACAGGACTGGAGTATTAAGGACATTATGTGCCTCTGATAACCATGTATTTACTGTGTAACTGATGACTTGGGTTCACAGATGGGGGTGGTGTAGGGGGGGGAACTCAGTCATCATTGACATTCACTGGACACCAGGTTAGAACAAACAGGTTCAACAACAACTTGAACTTATATAGTGCCCTCCACACAGGGCGGCGTCTCAGAGCACTTAACAGTGCTTAACCGGACACCTGACTCCGAGCTGGGCAAGCGGGATGGGGGGGGGCACGGAGATGATCGTAAGCATGGTCAAAAAGGAAGGTTTTCAAGTGGAACTTGAGGTAGGGGAGAAAGGGGACGAGGCGGAGGGATTGAGAGAGGGTTCCAGAGTTTCGGGCCATAGGTAGGGAGGTGCCAGGGAGTGAAGGGATTTGAACACGAGTGTGAGGATCTTGAAGTCGATCAGTTCGGTGATGAGGAGCCAGTGGAGCCTGGACCAGAACTGGGGAGATGTGGGGATGGAGTTTGGTCCGGGTCAGTATGTGGGCGGCAGAGTTCTGAATGAGCTGATCTTTTGAATAGTGGAGACAGTCGAGGAGTGCGTTTGAGTAATCCGGGCGAGAGATGACAAACGCACGCACGAGGGTTTCGGCTGCATTTGCGGTAAGGTACAGTCAGAGGGGGGCAATGTGGCGGAGGTGAAAGAAGGCAGTCCTGGTCAGGGACTGCATGTGGGGGCGGAAGGGCAGCTGGGGGTCAAACCGGATGCCTAGATTGTGCACTAGTTTGGTGAGTCTGAGGAAGAGCCCAGGGAGGTTGAGGAGTTCAGATTTGCAGGAATAAAGACGTTGACGGGAGCCAAGGAGTATGGCTTCCTCCTTGTCCACATTCGGAGGGTGGCGTAGGGGAGGCTAACTCGGTCGACATTTAATGGTTTAGACCAGTTACTGAGCCAAACGGGTTCACAGTCCTCCAGGCACTGTTGATGTGATGGTGAATCAGCCAATAATAATAATAGTAATTCTTGCATTAAAGATCCCATGGCACCGTTCAGAAAGAGAACTGAGTATCTCCCATTGTCCTGACCCAACAATTGCTCAAATATATTTACAACAAGGTTCTGTGTGGGACGTTGCTTTATGCGAATTGGATGCCGTGTTCGCTTACAAACAGTCACTACGCTTTTTAGTAAAATCCTGCAAAGAGCTTTGCAGAGGTCCCGATGACATGATGAGACCGTCATTAAATAATAATCCTTGCAATTGACACAGCACCTTATCACATCTTCGAGACGTCTCAAAGCGCTTCACACAATATACTGTTAAGTGAATTGACTATATTTTGTGGGCGAAACCCGGCAGCCAATTGCGCACAGCGGTGTCCCACAAACAGCCCTGGATTGCGTGATCAAGGATCACTTCCACATGGAAGTTCCCGAGTTCCATTCCAATTTCCATGTGTAGGTGGGTGGCGCGGAGCCTTGTTTGATTCGGATTCTCTTTAGGCACGGCGATGGGCTTCTACATGTCAGACACCCAGCTGACAAAATGTTTTTATTATTATTGTTGTTGTCATCTTTAATGTTAGGTCTGATTGTGCTCCATTCACATCACATGTCAGGTTTATTTAGTAGCTGTGGACAAATAGCAGTCTTTTCTTATTGTCCTTATTCCTTATTATCTTTTTATTTTTCCTTCCAGTCGATCCTTTTGGGCAACTCCACCAGCAGCTTGTGGTCGACCACTCCTTTCAGTAACCCCATCTGGTCAGCCAGCGGAGACAACAGCCTGCCCTTCACCACACCCACCAGCAACAACCCTCTGTCCACCGATCTGATGGGCGGGGAGAACCAAGCTCCCGGCCTGATCGAAGACCTGTGCAGAATATTTGACCCCTGGAAGAACCTGGACAATATCTGGCGTCCCACTCCTGGAAGGCGAAGTTCCGATCCCTGGTCGAACAACTCTAACTTTCAGCACGAGAACTGATGTGAGCTGCGCCCAGGACTCGGATCAGAAGCACAGTATGACTTAGCTTAAAGCGTGAAATATTGACGAGGATGAGCCTTTAGTCCAGAAACTCTTACTCAGGTTCCTTTGCGCAACAGAGGACCAATCTGTTCTGAGTTGCACGGAGAAACGTGTGTCCGGGTTCCTGGAACAGGCTCCAGTTCTCAGCCATAACTAATCATTATTTTCGCTTCCTGCCACACGATTATGATTCGCATCTGCTATAACACAGTTCCTCGATCCTGACTGTAATTAAGATTGTATCAGATTGCTGTTACCCAGTGTTAACAGAAAGGCTTTGTTTCGTTACGATGTACTCGAGCTTTTAAAAGAAAACACACAAAAAAAAATCACTGATTTTTTTTTATTTGGTCATCTCGTCGGTCATCTCGTCTTCAGTGAAATACATCTTTTAAAAACAAAAACTTTCAGTTGGGGAGGGGGAAAAAACAAAAGCAAACATACAAGGGAGTGAAGGCGCGAGTATTTTAAATGCATCCTTTTAATGCCACGTCCACAGGAAAGTATCATGGTATGTTTTTAAGGTAATGGAGAATAAGGTTTATATCTCTCCCTCCCCCTCCAGTATTAAGTTCAAGTTCCTCTGGGTTTTTTTGTGAGAAAATTACTGACACCCTCTTCCTCCCCCCCTCCCTGCCTCTCCGCCCCCCCCCCCCCCCTCTCTCCTTCCCTCTCTCTCTGCGTTTAAGAATTTAAAAAAAAGCGCCAAAGTGCTTGTTTTAGAAATGGGAATGTGTTGGTAAAACGCTAGGTTATAATTATGTATCCGGCATTTTTTGGCTTTCATTGTATTTTAAAAGGGCGACGAAAAACAAAAACAAAACAAGAACTCGGCACGATTGTCGGCAGTGCGGGTCGGTCGGTGAGCATCGCAGTTTCCTTTGGTTTTTCTTTTCTGTCATCGACGTGCTTCACACGGCCTTCGCTGATCTCCGTTTACTCTGCTGGAGCAGAAAACACACACACACCCACACCCACACACTGGCACATACACACACTCACATACATCCAAGGTTTATGGCGGCAACAAGGACCTACCCCTCACCACCACCTCCTCCAATTCCCCCCCTCCCCCACCCCACACATTTCCCTCCCCTCCTTGTGTTCTTTGATTTAAAACACAATTCTCTGGGTTGTACTTTTGAGATAAATAAAAGTTTTTTTCAGAAACTGAGTTTGGTTATTGATCAATCTGAGTTATTTTTCACCTCTTTTTATTTTCTTCCTCCCCTTTTCCCCACCCTCTCTGTCGCTCTCTGTCTCTCTCTCTGTCCTCCCAGACCCCCCCCACCACGTGTTGGTGCAGAAAACCGTGTGTTGTGGGTGCTGCCTGACCCGCTGTGTGTTCCTAGCGACCTCTGTGTTTATACCAGATCTCCAGCGTCTGCAGTACTTTGTCTTGTGTTACACGTTACAGGGTCACTGTTAGTCGCCCACAAATTGCTAATATCCAGCGCCATCCTGTGGTGAAATGACAGTTGTAGTCTTCCACACCACGTCACCTACATACAAATCAACCTAAATAGGCGGAAATTGCAGGGTGGTGTCGTGTGGAGGCTTACAGCAGTGCCAAGCGCCAAATCATCCACTCACATTTTCCTCCCATCGCCAACGATATATTACTGGTGTGCTCTGTTACAAAGGCTTCTCCAGACAGTGCTATCAATGGCACGCTATGCGGTTTTCGCTGGTTAAACTCCAGCAGTTACCCCAATGCACACTCTGGGGTCCCCAAGCCTTGGCTCTTGCCAACCTGCGCCTGATAATTTCTGGAGTTAGGTACGCAGGATGTGTCTCTCCAGGCAGAGAGCGCATTCCATTCCAACAATCTCTTGAGATTCCCGTGTGTAAGGGGGATGCATGGAATTCTCAGCTTGGTTTGTTCATCAAGCACGGTGATGGGTTTCCATATGTGTCAGACTAAAGAAAGGGTTTGCCAACTTCCTGTACGTTCATCCACAAATACACAGTCACTACGGTTCACAGTAAAATCTGGAGAGCACTTTGAGATGTCTTGATGATATGATAAGATGCTATATCAAATGCAAGGATTATTTCTCACACACACGCACCCCTTAATGGACACGGGCATCTTTGGGATGCATAAAACAGGAGGCTATAGATTTAAGGGTTATAAATTCAGGACAGATAGCAGGATAGCGTTTCTTTACTCTGAGGTTAATTAATGACTGGAACGGGTTCCCAGGAAGGGTGGTTGAAACCAGGACACTGGGACTCATTTTTTAAAAAAAAGCTTGATTTCTGTGATAGAGTGATGGTTGGGTGGGTGATCTGGAGAGATAGGATCAGATGGGCCAAAGGGTCTTCATCCAGACCAATCTTGTGACAGTCATGGAATGAGTGACCCAATTTATTATTTTTTGAAGGAATTATTACCCCCAGAAAAGAGACCCGCCAATCGACTAACAACTGAGTTTTTCCTTACTGCTAGGTAAACGGGGGGGTGTGGAGTGATCTGGAGAGATAGGATCAGATGGGCCAAAGGGTCTTCATCCAGACCAATCTTGTGACAGTCATGGAAATATCATGGAATATGGGGAAAAATGACAAAGGATTGAAGCTAATTGACTAGCCTGATAGACCTAATGGGCTCCTGTTTCACAACATTGTCATTTTAATAAGGTGCACGAGGACTTCCTTTCGTTCAAAGATAATATGATGTCAATATCTCGTCATATCCTCCTGAGGAGAGGCAAAGCAGGATCTCCTTGGAGGCAAACTGGCTTTAAAGTGACATGCTTGGCAATGGAATATCAGTATTCATCTCTGTGGTGGTTTCAGCAGTTCAGTTTCTGAATCAGGTGATGTGCAGTACTGAAGGGCACTGCTGACGACAGCACAGCCTGGTTCGCAGGCAGGACCTGGAAGAGCAGTCCAATCACTGGTGGCAGGGAGTCATCCCACTCAGCTCCTGTTAGCTCTCCAAGCCAAAGCCCGCAACAGTTTGGGCGGTTCTAGCTGGACAAGCAGCAGGAGGCTCGTCAGAAGTTTTTCTTCTTTGCACAGGAAGCTGAGAGTTGGGGCAAATCCCAAATTCAATTTACTATTTAAATCCAGTAAAGCAATCACCAATGAGACCAGGCCATCTCTCTGTGCCTTGTTTCTGTGGTCATTTTCAGTGGCGTCTCCAAATTACATGAATGGGAGTTCCATATGCAGTATATGGTTTATAAATATAATGAATAATAATCATTGCATTTGATATAGCTGCTGATCACGTCTTTGAGACGTCTCAATGCGCTTCACAGAATATAATGTAAAGTGAATTAACTATATTTTGTGGGTTTCCATTTGTCTGCTTGGAGTGAGTACTCTCTTCACAGAAGGATATAATACAGTACAAAATGATATTTGTATACCGCCTTTCATGTCGGGAGGATGTCCCAAAGGCCCTGGACAGTCAGGGATTTTGACCCGAGGCGGGGGTCTGAATCGGGGAGGGTGAGGGTAGGGAGGGCCTTGGAGGCTGTGCGAGGGCGGGGATTTTGAACTCTCACCTCTGCGGATGGGCAGCCAGTGGAGTTGGGCGCCGGTGGGGGTGATGGGGTCACTGAGCATGGCACGGGAGAGGACATGATGCACTCAGCTTGCCCAAAGGAGAATTTAGCTGCGAGAGGCAATGCGTGGGGAACTTAGAGTGTCCATTGGGTGGGTCCTCCTTAACCAGCGAAAACCACAGAGCAAAGCAATGGCAAACCTCCCGCTCGCGGCTTGTTCAGCGAAGACCCAATGGAGCTATAATCCCTCCAAAAGTCTAGGCAATCTGGTTTGAACAGTGCTCTGAGACGCCGCCCTGTGTGGAGGGCACTATATAAGTTCAAGTTGTTGTTGAACCTGTTTGTTCTAACCTGGTGTCCAGTGAATGTCAATGATGACTGAGTTCCCCCCCCTACACCACCCCCATCTGTGAACCCAAGTCATCAGTTACACAGTAAATACATGGTTATCAGAGGCACATAATGTCCTTAATACTCCAGTCCTGTTCATCAACAGCTATTTTTTTTAAAATCAAAACAAAATGCACTGACATTGCAGTGAAGACATGACTCATTTACTGTTTGTTTATTCAACTGATCGATTTAGCATTGACAAAGAATGCACTGAAAAAATTATTAGACCAACTAACTAAACAAGCACAGTGCAAAAAGAGGTCGGGCTTTTAGGACTGTTGAACATTTTAAATGGATATAAACAACAACAACAAAATGACATTTGTACAGCGCTTTTCTTGTGGGGAGGATATCCCAAAGCGCTGGACAATGTTTCGGACCCGAACGGGTCACAGCCTCAAAGGACAGGAAAGTTTCTACCCGGTGTCCTGGCCAACGGTAAGTCACTTTACAGCTGTGTGGGACATTGCTGTGTGCAAAATTGTCACTACACCTCACAGTATATTCTGCGAAGTGCTTTCAGATATTCTTGCAATGTGAAAGAAACTGTATCAAATGGAAGCATTGATATTAATATAGATTCCTCTTGCACGTCTACTCAATGTAGGTCTCCACAATTTATGTCCTGGCCGACAATTCCACAGTTAAACGTTTTCACGTATTTGAGATTAGCTGCGTGTTTGCTTACAAAATACAGTATTACATTTTACAGTATATCATATGAACCGCTTTGAATGTCTTCCTGAGATGGTGATGATTATTATTATGTTATGACAGTTTAAATCAGTGACGAGTCAGCAAGACCAATAACACTGCCACGTTACATATGAATGGATTGTGCTCGGGATGGACATGATAATAATAGTGGGACACTGCTGTGTGCAATTGGTCGCCAGGTTTTGCCCACAAAATATACAGTCAATTCACTTTAATAATAATAAGACTCCCTCCATTTGATATAGTGCTTTATCACGTCATCGAGACGTCTCAAAGTGATTCACAGAATACACAGTGAAGAGAGACCCGAGTTCAATTCCAGGTAGGGCGAAACCTTGGGCAAGTTTCCTTACTCCACACAGAGCCTAATAATAATCCCTCCAAAAACCAAAAACAATAATAAATTGGTCATTTTCAATCTACGACTGTTTGTGGGACATTGCTGTGCGCAATTGGCTGCCGCGTTCGCCCACAAATATACAGTCAATTCACTTTACAGTGTGTTCTGCGAAGCGCTTTGGGACGTCCTCCTGACGTGAAAAGCGCTATATCAAATGCAAGGATTATTATTATTATTATTATTATTATTATCATTAATATTATTATTATTACCGGCACCAATCTATTTCAGAATAGACACCATGAGCTGTTGAAACTTTTCTATGTTGCATTTCTTCATCAGAAAAGCTCGAGATTCTTTCTTCAGCAGGTCGAGGGTGTCCAGGACCATCATACCTCTGGTCAGCGAGCCCCGTAACTCCACACTTACTCCACACTCTTCCCACTCCGTCACCACGCTCTCGTCAATCATGGCAGCCACGGCGTAGGAGTCACAGGGCACGAAGCCGGGTGTCTGATACTGCTCTCTGAGGCCTCGCTCGCTTTTAGCAAAGGTCTCGCTGTGTGCAGTTATCCGTTTCATGAACTGAGCCTTCGCAGAGTCCTGGTTCACCCAGTCTTTAAAAAACTCCTGCAATTTTTTTAAAAAGCCCAATAAATAAACCGGTCACTGGAGGCAGAGAATCATCCCATTCAGCACAGAAAGTGACCATTTGACCCATCGAATCGGCACCAGCTTTCAGAGTAAATTCACTCAATCCCACTGCCACAGAGCCCATACCCCTTCAAGCCTCTGCCTTTCAAATACCTGACTATTTCCTTCTTGAAAGCCCAAAGCAATGCTTGAGGAACATTGACATTATTTCGCCTACAACATACACAGTCACTCCACTTTACAATATAATGCTGGGAAGCCCTTTGAGACCCTCTCAACTATTTGATAAGGCACTATATCAAATGCAACGATTATTACTATAACCGCTGTGTGCAAATTGGCTGCTGCATTCCTAGAAAACACAGACAGTACAATGTTGGAGGCACCGTCCTTTGGATGAGATGTTAAACCAAGGTCCCATCTGCCTGTTCAAGTGGACATTAAAGATCCCATGGTATTAATCAATAAGGGAAGGGAGTTTTTCCCGGTGTCCTTACCAAGAATCCCCCAGATTAAATTGGTTGATTCAATTCATGACTGTTTGTGAAATGTTGCTGTGTGCAAAACTGACTGCAATCACTACATTTCACAGTAAAATCCCTTGAAGTGTTTGAATCATTCTCCTGCCGTGAAAAGCCAGGGCGAAACCTTCGGCAGGTTTCCATACTCCACACGCCTCTGTTTACCTAGCAGTAGGTAGGAACCCGGTTGTTAGTTGGTTGGCAGATCACTTTCCGGGGGTAATAATCCCTTCAAAAATCAATAAATTAATAAATAATACTAATTTGGTCACTCAATCCACGACTGTTTGTGGGACGCTGCTGCGCGCAATTGGCTGCCGCATTTTGCCCACAAAATACACAGTCAATCCACTTTACAGGATATTCTGTGAAGCGCTTTGAGACGTGTTGAAGACGTGATTAGGCGCTATATCAAATGCAAGGATTATTATTATAATTATAATTTTAAAGGGGCTGTAAATTGCAAGGATTATTACTATTATTATTGTGAGCAGTTTACCCAGGACAGTGGATGACGGATACAGTATTCCCAGGTGGAGATGTAGGTGGGACACGTGAATTGATTCAGAACGATGTAAGCTGCTTCAGGGTCTGTTCTGAAGTTAAACTCTCCGCACACGCTCACGTTCCCTCTCCCTTGGAAGGACAAAAAAAATGCTTTGAATGAAACGCCTTCTGACAGAACTGGAAGAAAATGTAATGTTATCGATTTCTATCCAACACAGGCTCATATTTCAGGGTTCTGAGACGCTACTCCGTATGAAGGACGCAGTTGCAAATGCAAGTTGTTGATGTTGTTGAGCTACCCGCGGAGTCTGGAGACCCATTCGCGAGTCGTGCCCCGCTCCGCCCTCCCTGGCTTTTCCGCTAAAATAACATGGTTCATTAACTCATCGCTCATGTCATTTCCTCCTTGGTGCGCGAGTAGCGAACAGTGAAGCGACCCGATGACCTGGACGTCGATCATTTTTCTAGCAGGTCGACCGAGCGTGAGGGTCTGCACCGCAAGACCAGCAATCACGCCTCACGATTGGAATTTATGGACCCCCCCCCCACCCACCCACCCCAGGCGACCACATTATAACAAGGCTCTGCTGTGGTACAATTGGTCCTTTCACTCATATCAGGCAACACAAAATGATAAGCACTTCACAAGATTTTACTGGGAAGTGTAGTGACTGATTTTAACTGGAGGACTTTTGGCCCCAGCCACGGCACTACTTGGAAAGAGAAGATTCTACCGGTGCCAGTGCTCCACATAAAGCTTTTCATTCACTTCATGGACTGTTTTTTGTGGGACGCTGCAGTGCGCAAACTGATTGGTGCTTTTGTGTACAAAATACGCAGTCACTACACGCTGCAATTAAAATCAATCCTGTGAAGCTCTTTGAGATTCTTGACGATGTGGTAAAGTGCTATATCAAATACGAGAACTAGTTTATTGCTATTAACATCAAGCCCGTGTACCAGATATGAGAGCTGTGTTTGATGAGCTAAATGTGAAATAACCATTTCAAACAGAGCTGTGAGCCTCTCTCTCTCTCGCTCACTTGCTCTCTCACTCACTCGCTTTATCTCTCGCTCTTTCTCATTCACTCGCTTTCTCACTCATAAGCTCTGTCTGTCGTTCTCCCTCTCACTCTCTCTCTCTCTCTCTCTCTCTCGCGTTCTCTCTCACTCGCTCTTTCTTTCTCACTCGCTTGACCTCTCCCTCATTCACTCTGGCTCTCTCTCTCCCTCCGTCTCCCTCTCTCCTGCTGTCTGTCTCTCTCTCACTCACCTTCCATGTTTCCTCCCATGATGTACAAGTGTTTCAGTTTGGAAGGGAAGGTGGGGTCCATCTTAACAGCCAGGGCCACATTGGTCAGGGGGCCAATAGCTACAAGAGAGACCTACAAGAGGGTCAAACAACAACAATAACAACAAAATTACATGTGCAAAGCACCTTTCACGTCGAGAGGATGTTCCAAGGCGCTGGACAGTCAGTGTTTCTGATCCAAGCTGGGATTCGGGGTCGGGGAGGGTGGAGAGCGGGGGAGAAGCAGGGAGATCGAAAGCACGGTCGAAGAGGAGGGTCTTGAGGTGGGTCTTGAAGGTGGCGAGGGAGGGGGCGAGGCGGAGGGACTGCAGGATGGAGTTCTAAAGGATGGGGCAGAGTGGCAGAAGGCCTGCCTGCCAATGGTAGGGCGGGCGAGGCGGGGGACATGAAGCAGGTTGGAGCCTGCTGAGCAGAGGGACTGGGCAGGATGGTAGGGGGTTAGGAGATTGCAGAGGTAGGGGGGAGCGAGGCCATGGAGGACTTTGAAGGTGAAAACCAGTTTCTTGAACTATATCCTCTGTGTGATGGGAAGCCAATGGAGTTGAGCGAGGATGGGAGTGATAGCGTCGCGGAGCCTGGTGTGAGAGAGGATATGGGCTGCAGAGTTCTGGATGATCTGCAGCCTGTGGAGGGAGGTGTTGGGGAGGCCGACAAGCAATATTAATCCTTGCTTTTAATAATGCGCATGATTGTATTGTCAAAACATCTCAAAGCGCCCAACAACATTTTAAAGATTTTAAAGTTACACAGCGCACAGTGTGAAATGTAATCTTTGTCTCCAGGTCACAGATGGGGTTCGAGTGCTGCATTGCCAGAGGTGCCATCTGGTGGATGAGACTGTAAACCGAGGTCCTGCTGCCTGGAAATGGAGTGTGCCTCTCCCTGGAGTGACATTCCCAGCTTACCTGATCCCAGGGCACCTAACGTTTCGGCACAGAGAGCCGATGGAGCCTAGAGCGTGTGTTCGAGTCTATTCTGCTAAAAATTACTTTACTTTTCATCGCATGGTAACCTTCCCGCTAAGACCACCTTACTTGTTAGGGCTCTGGCTTGAGGGAATAGCAGGAATCCAGTGGGAAAAAAATCCAACTCACCCACATCCCAGACAACTAACAACACAACAACTTGGGTTTACAATAGTGGCCGTCACACAGGATAGCATCTCGGAGCCCATGGTGACCTGTCTGCTCTTCAACACCTTGCTGACGATGCCAGGCTGTTAAATAGACTATTTTCTGTAAATCCTGAGCAGGCTCCGGACTCCTGAGACAGCTATAAGGAATCGACTTGATCCTGAGGTTCTGTCGCCAGGTATATCGCTGTGGAGCCAACTGAGGCCCAGTGACACTCTGTTTATGGCTGTCTAGTCTAGGAGTTGTGTGGTGTCTCAGAATTGTGACGTCCCCACTGAGTGCTGCCTGTTATAATTGTCTTCCCTACACTGAGTACGTCTCACCTGCCCGGGATGCTCAGCGATGATCCTGATCATGGCATTCACAGCGTGCTCAGTCTGTACCTGCTCCAGACCCGGAGCGCTGGGATCTGGAGCATCACCCAGTCCATCCGTCCCGTGGTAAACAGCACCGGACATCTCGTCTTCGAGGAGAGGGAGACATGCACCACGGAACACAGGGATCTACATGGCAACAAACGAGGAGAGAAAGAGAAACCCACTGATACGACCGAAGAGAAACACTTTACCAATTCTACAAATGAACAATAATAATAATAATATTTATAATAATCTTTGCATTTGACACAGCACCTCGTCATGTCTTCGAGACGACTCAAAGCGCTTCACAGAATGTCCTGTAAAGTGGAGTGACTGTGTATTTTGTGGGCGAAACACGGTAGCCAATTGCCCACAGCAGCGTCCCACAAACAGTCGTGGAATAAGTGACCAATTTATTTTTTTTAAGGGTTTATTACCTCCGGAAAAGCAATCCGCCAATCAACTAACAACCGGGTTCCGACTTACTGCTGGGTAAACAGAGGTGTGTGGAGTAAGGAAACTTACATTTTGCATAGTGTCTGATCACTTCGATTGGAGGATCGCTTTTCCAGGGTAATAATCCCTTCCAAAAATAATAATAATAAGGTCACTTAATCCACGACATGTTTGTGTGATGTGCGCCATCGGTTGTCGCGTTTCATCCACAAAATATAAAACCAATTCACTTTACAGTATATTCTGTGAAATGTATTGAGACGTCTCGAAGACATGATAAGACCCTATATCAAATGAAATTACTAATTATTATTAAAATTATGAGAGTTCGATAAGATTAGCATAAATACGTTGTTACTATTGCTTAGGGAGTCCATAACCAGGGAACATAAATATGAGATAGCGACTGGAGGATAGTTAGACTGTGGACCTCACTGGCTGAGGTGGAGTTTGAATCAGATAGTGTAAACTATTTTGCAGTGTGTAAAATAATGTCAAGTGCGATATTCTATGGTAACATATTTATTGATAAGGAATTATTTCCCCTGGAAAGCGATCCGCCAATCGACTAACAACCAGGTTCCTCTTTATTGCTGTTGTCAGACTCCGCCAATGTAAAGCGCTCCGAGACGCTATCCCTCGTGAAGGGCGCTATATAAGTGCAAGTTGTTGTGGCGCTAGGTAAACCCATTTACATACCGCCCTTCTCACTGGTCAGCATCGCTGATAACAGTGCAGTAATTCCTCACCATTTCTCCTCTCCAACCCTTTTGTTGTCTTAAAAGCAGCAGCTAATCACCCACCTCCATCCTGTGACAGACTTTCAAGACCCGAAGCACGTTTTTGCACACGTTGTCAATCGGGGTATTTCCGTGGCAACAGGTAATCCCCAGGAGCTGGACGTTGGGAGCCGCCAGAGCCATCATTATAGCCTGGGCATCGTCCACCCCACAGTCAACATCCATCAGCAGCAGCTTCTTCCCCATCTCTGAGGGTCTAATATGTGGGAATAGAATATAACAACAATAATAAGTGGATTGCCTGTGTATTTTGTGGGCAAATCGCGGCAGCCAGTTGCTCATAGTTGTGTCCAACAAACAGTCGTAGCCCAATTTTCTTTTTGGAGGGAGTATTACCCCCCGGAAAGCGATCCACCAATCGACTAACAACAAGGTTCCTCCTCACTGCTGGGTAAACTGCTCGTGGAGTGAGGAAATTTGCCTACAGTTTCGCAATGCCCGGGAATCGAACCAGGTCCTCTCGCTTGTGAGGCGAGTTTCTAACCACTCAGCTTCAGGACTCCACGCTATAGAGGCATGATATCAAAGAATTACAAAGAATTCACAACACGGGTACAGGCCACTCGGTCCAACCAGTCTATGCCGGTGTTTATACTCTTCACACATTCCTCATTCCCTCCCATACTCTTCATGTGAAGGTCTAGTGTGTGCGTGTGGAGTGAGGAAACTTGCCTAAGGTTTCGCCCTGCCCGGAAGTCAAGCCCGGGTCCTCTCGCTTGCAAGGCAAGTGCTCTAACCACTACCCGACAGAACTCCGTAAGTGTCAGCCTGGCTCGGCTGGTAGCACTCTCGTCTCTGAATCAGAAGGTTGCAAGTTCAAACCTCCCCCCCAAGTTGGGACGTGGAACTCAACTAGTCAAGGTCGCCACAATTGAGGTCCCTCGGCAGAGACGATAAACCCAGGTGTTAAAGATCCCTTGACACGATAAAGAGAAAAATGGAAGTTTCTCCCGAGGTTCTGGCCAACAATCTTGTCGTTCATCTCATGACTAAATTGTGGTTCAATGGAATGAAGAAGTAAACCCAGAATAGTCATTTCTAATACAGACAGGAGAACAAGAGGACACAGCTTTAGAATTACTGTGAAGCGTTTTGAAACATTCGAACACAGCTATAATGTAAAAAGTGTAAGTATATTTTAATAATAATAATCCTTGCATTTGATATAGCGCTTTTCACGTCGGGAGGACGTCCCAAAGCGCTTCACAGAACACACTGTAAAGTGAATTGACTGTATATTTGTGGGCGAATGCGGCAGCCAATTGCGCACAGCAATGTCCCACAAACAGTCGTGGATTGAAAATGACCAATTTATTATTGTTTTTGTTTTTTTGGAGGGATTATTATTTTAGTTACTTTATTACATTTATTAGGTTATTTGTTTTAGCCACTTCTGTGTTACATTAGAGTCCCGTAGCTCAGTGGTTAGATTACTCACCTCGCAAGCAAGAGGAGCCGGCTTTGATTCCCAGGCAGGGCAAAACCTCAGACAAGTTTCCGTCATAGAATCCTAGAATTATACAGCACAGAAAGAGGCCATTCGGCCCATCGTGTCTGTGCCAGCTCTTTGAAAAGAGCTATCCAAATCAATCCCACTCTCTCGCGCTCTCCCTATAGCCCTGCTCAGCAGAGTTTCTTTACTCCACACACTCCTATTGACCTAACAGTAAGTAGGAACCTGGTGGTTAAGTCAATTGGCAGATCGCTTTCCGGGTGTAATAATCCCTTTTTAAAAAAAATTGGGTTACTCAATTCACAATTGTTTATGGGACACTGCTGTGTCCAATTGACTACCTCATTTTGCCCACAAACTAGTCAATTCTATTTACGATATAGTCTGTGAAACGCTTTGAGACATCTCAATGACATGCTAAGGTGCTGTCTGAAATGCAAGGATTATTATTATTATTGACCTGTACTTATTTTTCACATTTTGTAACACCTTCCTCAATGGCATCAAGCCCACTCACCCTCAAAGATTGAACACAGTCAAGAACCTTTGTTCCTGTTCTGTACCGAGTTATTTATGAACAGCAGAAACTGCTCAACAAAGATCAATCTCAGTTCCACCGTCGGTTCCTCAAAACTATTTTGCAGAGTGAAAAGAGAGTGTCTGATCGCTTGCTGACTGACCCTTTGAAGCCACAGTGAATAAATATCTTAGGAGCAGGCAGACATCAGCCTGGCTCAGTTGCCAGCACTCTCACTTCGAATCAGGAAACCCTTCATTCAATTTAATAATAATAATAATCCTTACATTTGATGCGGCGCCTTATCATGTCTTTGACACGTCTCAAAGCGCTTCGCAGGATATGCTGCAAAGTGAATTGACTGCATATTTTGTGGCGAAATAAAAGCCCCACATTCGGGCTTTGAACCAACATAGTCGAGGCTGACAGTCCAGTACAGTCCAGTACAGGACAGTTGTGGAGCCTGTAACGGAGTGGTTAGAGCACTCACCCTCGCGTGTGAGAGAGCCTGGGTTTGATTTCTGGACCTGGCGAAACCTTAGGCAAGTTTCCTAACTCCACGCGCCTCTGTTTCCCGAGCAGTAAGCAGGAACCTGGTTGATAGTCGATGAGCAGATCGCTTTCTGGGGCTTGAACCCACGACCGAATGACCAGATCACAGGCGAAAATGCTATCAACAGAGCCAGGCTGCGACATGAAATGGTGAACTGTCACCCTGAACCATCAGCTCAAGCTCAAGGGAGAGGTGAACCCACAACTCCAGGGGACAGAGTATCATAAACAACTGAGTCTGTGTGGAGACAGAATCAACCTCTCTCTCGCTCTCTCTCTCTCTCTGCTTTGAAAAGACGTGACATAGTCTTATGCAGATTACTCTTCCATATTTTTCTGAAAACTCACAAAAGATGACTCAAAGAGATTCCCCCTTTCCTTCAGCCCCATTCAGGAGCTCAGCAACTTCGCTCGTGATAACCTTTTAGATGCATTTAGGAAACCCTTCCCTCCCTGTCCCACAGTGGTTTATCCCAACTCCTCGGGTTACTGACCTGCAGTGCTTATATAAGATGCAGTGGCTGTGGCTGGGGTCTGTCTCTGTCTCTCGAGCCCGGGAGTAGCACACACAGAGGCAGCTGAGGGTTACTGCATCAGCACCACTTGGACTTGCACCTTCTCGGCCCTCGTCAACCTAAGCGTCAGGTTCGACCCCCAATCATCCTTCCTCCCCCACATCCGGACCCTCACCAGCACCGCCTTCTACCACCTCCGACGCATCGCCCGTCTCCACCAATACCTCTCTCCGAACGCCACTGAAACCCTGGTCCATGCCTTTGTCACCTCTCGGCTGGACTACTCTAACGCCCTCCTCGCCGGTCTCCCATCCACTACCGTCCATAAAATCCAACTCATTCAGAACTCTGCCGCCCGCATTCTCACCGCACCAAACTCCGCTCCCCGATCCCCCCAGTCCTGGCCAGACTGCACTCGCTGCCTATCCCAGAGAGGATCGACTTTAAGATCCTCACCCTCGTATTCAAATCCCTGCGCTCCTCTGCACCCCCCGACCTCTCTGACCTCCTCTCTCCTCAAAACAGTGCCCTTTGCCTTCGTTCCTCCGGGTCTGACCTCCTCCTCGTCGCCTGATCATAATCCCTCAAGAAAATAAAACAATAAAAGATCGGTCACATCAACCACGACTGTTTGTGGGACATTGCTGTGCGCAATTGGCTGCCGCGTTTCGCCCACAAATATGCAGTCAATTCACTTTACAGTATATTCTGTGAAGCGCTTTGAGACGTCTGGAAGACGTGATGAGGCGCTATATCATTTGCAAGGATTATTAATATTATTTTACGTTGTGGATCCATTTAGCATGTGGACGCGGGTGGGGGTGGGGGGGGAACCTTTTTTTTGAAAATATATATTTATTCACAAATATAACGTTTAGTACAAAAACAGGAATCCAAAAGAAACGCAACATCTTCTGTTACAATTTCTCCCTTTTCTCCCGATACAAAAAAACATTCCGTTGTTTACGGGACATTTCTTCACCGCGAATAAGTTGTGCACACGGTTTTTGTGACCCTCCCTTTAACGCAGTCGGGAGCTGCCCTGTGGACACCGTATCCATGTGCGCACCCGCACACGCCTTGATAAGGCTCACATGCCGTTTTCGGAAGGTGCCCCCATGTGTTTACCGTACATACGTTTTCGCGACGCTCTTTGGTTACATCTCGAGTGTCCTCCTGTACCCTTACTTCAGTCAGTTTTGTGTGCGCTCGTGGGCTACCCGGTGAGTGAGCCCTCAGCGGGTTGTGCCGGAGCAGCTCCTTCCGGGGTCAGACCCCATCTGGCCTTCGCCACTGTTCAGCCGAACGTCAGCCTGTCCCGGGTACATGCACGACGTGTTCCATGTGGGAACTGCAGGAGGCTTCGTGTGCCCTGGACAAACACGTGTGTAGGAAGTGCCTCCGGCTGTTCGAGGTGGAGCTCAGGGTTTCTGAGCTCGAGGAGAGGTCGGTGTCACTACATGGCATACGGGAGGCTGGAGAGTTCATAGATCGAACGTCTCAGGAGGTGGTGACCCCACAGCCAAAGAGGGTTCAGGAGGAGAGTGAGTGGGTGACCACCCGGCATTGTAGGAAGAGGACAGAGTGGTGGTGAACGGTTGTTTTTCTGACTGGAGGGAAGTGTGCAGTGGTGTCTCCCAGGGGTCAGTATTGGGACCACAGCCATTATTGATCTATATAAATGACCTGGACTTGGGTATAGGGAGTACAATTTCCAAGTTTGCAGATGATACTAAGCGAGGAAAAGCAGTAAACAGTGAGGAGGATAGCAGCAGACTGCAAATGGACATAGTATTTACTGGTAAATGGGCCGACACGTGGCAGATGAAGTTTAATGTGGATAAATGCAAAGTGATGCATTTTGGAAGGAAGTATGAGGAGAGGCCATATTAGCTGATGATACAATCTTAAAGGGAGTGAAGGAACAGAGAGACCTGGGGGTCATATAAGTACATCTTTGAAGGTGGCAGAACAGGTAGATAGAGTTGTTAAAAAAGTATACAGGATACTCGGCTTTATAAATAGGAACGTAGAGTACAAAAGAAGGACGTTATGACGAACCTTTATAAAACACTGGTTAGACCTCAGCTGGAGACTGTGTTTAGTTCTGGGTCCCACACTTTGGGAAGGATGTCAAGGCTTTGGAGAGGGTGTAAAGGAGATTTACCAGGATGGTACCAGGAATGAGGGGCTTCAGTTATGGAGCAGAGAAGGTGAAGAGGAGACTTAATAGAAGTTTTCAAGGTCTTGAGGGGATTCGATAGGGTGAACAAGGAGAAACTATTTCCACTGGCGGGTGGGTCAGTAAACCGAGGACACCGAGTTAAAATAGTTGTTAAAAGAAACAGAGGGGAGGTGAGGAGAAATGTTTTCACACAGCGAGTTGTTGGGATCTGGAATACATTGCCTGAAAGGCCGGTGGAAGCCGAATCCATAACAACTTTTAAGAGAGAAGTAGATCATTATTTGGAGAGGACAAGTTTGCAGGGCTATGGGGAGAGAGCGGGGGAGTGGGATTGATTTGGATAGCTCTTTTCAAAGTGCCAGCACAGACACGATGGGCCGAATGGCCTCCTTCTATGCTGTATAATTCTATGGTTCTATGATTGTTGGCCAGGACACCAGGAGAAACTCCTTTATCTGTTCGAATAGTGCCAAAGGATGTTTCACATCCACCTGAATAGGAACCTTGGTTTAACGCCTCATCCAAAGGATGTCACCTCCGAAAATGCAGCACACCCCCAGCACTGCATTGTCGTGTTGGCCTGGACTGTGAGCTCAAAGTCCCGACTAGTTGGGCCGAATGTCCTGTAGTCGTGCCATTCTATGTAACGTTACGGGGGGGCCTGAACCCCTAGTTATGATGAGAAAGAACATTCACAATAAGAGATTCATAAAAAGAACCTTTTAATGAGGATAAGAAACATATCAAATTACATTTTTCTAACATGTTCGAACAGATCAAAGAGATTACTAGCAATTGGGGGATTAGCGAAGTGAGCTCCAGTGGAGAAGTGACTTATAGCAGGAGGCTGGGATTTTGCACACAGCAATGACCCACAAACAGACCTGAGGTGAATGACCAATTAATCAGGAGGGTATTGTTTTGGCCAGGAGAAATGTCTCGAGAGATCTTGTCAACATAGATATTCACAGCACAGAAGGCCATTTAGCCCATCGTGTCTGTCCTGGGTCTTCTAACAATCCTTTCAATCCCATTTACCTGCTCTTTCCGCCCACACCCCTATTGTTTACTCCCTTTTAGGTGTTTATCTACAACAATCACAATAACTTGAAGTTGTTCAAGTTACCTTTTGAAAGTTCATATGGATTTAGCCTCAACTACCGTATTCCATGTCTGAACTACTGTGTGTGTGAAAAAAAATCCTCTTAACCTCCCCATTTACTAACTGTCTTAAATCAATGCCCTTTAGTCACTAACTCATTTACCGATGGAAATAATTTCTCCCCTATTGACTCCAGCAAAACCCCAACAGAGAGACAGATATGTGATCTATTTCAGAATAGACATCATGAGCTGTTGAAACTTTTCTACGTCACATTTCTTCATCAGAAAAGCTCGAGATTCTTTCTTCAGCAGGTCGAGGGTGTCCAGGACCATCATACCTCTGGTCAGCGAGCCCTGTAACTCCACACTTACTCCACACTCTTCCCACTCCGTTACTACGCTCTCGTCAATTATGGCAGCCACGGCGTAGGAGTCACAGGACACAAAGCCAGGCTTGAAATACATCTTCTTCATGCTTTGCTTGTTTTTAGCAAACGCTGTGCTCTGTGCGGTTATTTGCTTCATGAAACGAGCCTTCTGAGTGTCTTGGTTCACCAAATCTTCAAAAAACTCCTGCAAAGGGCACACACACATTCACACACATGTAAAAACTGCGGCTCGCATTTGCCTGTCGTGTTTCGCCCACAAAATATACAGTCAGTTCACTTTACAGTACATTCCGTGAAGCGCTTTGAGACGTCTCAACGAAGGGATAAGGCGCTATATCAAATGTAAGGATTATTATTATTAAAACGTTACCTACATTACTCCACATGCCTAATAATAATCCCTCCAAAAAACAAAAACAATAATAAATTGGTCATTTTCAATCCACGACTGTTTGTGGGACATTGCTGTGCGCAATTGGCTGCCGCGTTCGCCCACAAATATACAGTCAATTCACTTTACAGTATATTCTGTGAAGCGCTTTGGGACGTCCTCCCGACGTGAAAAGCGCTATATCAAATGCAAGGATTATTATTATTATTGAGTTGGGAGTCTGAGCACATGTAGTCTCGACTGGTACAATGCAGCCCTGGGGGTAGTTCTGCTTTGTCAGAGGTGCCATCCTTGGAATGAGCCATTAAACTGAGTCCTGTCTACATGTGCAAGTGGACGTTAAAGATGCTATTGCACTATTCAACACAGCTTCCTTCCGCACACGTATGTCACACACAATATGTGACTCTGGATCAGCAGGAACTCAACTGTGTCACGATCCACATCCATACCAGAGTTCCTCATTAAGAAACCTCATCAATTAATAGACCTCCAAATAGAGCTTTATGATAAGTAACTAAAATACACTGTATAAAATTCTATATTTTTCAGTAAATGGAAGAGAGAAAAAAATGTAATGTATTGTTTAAAATATTGTGTGCGCGTGTGTGGGCGGGTGGTTACACACCGAGGTGGGTTTGTTTTCTAACTAACGCACGTGAAATAATTCCAATTAGGGTTAATTGGTACAATGTGCCACGTTCTCACTCTCTGCATCACTATAGTTCACTGTGAGTCACTTACCCAAGGAAGGGAATGCTGGAGGCAGAATTCCCAGGTGGCGATGTAGGTGGGACATTTGAACTGTTTCAGGACCACATAAGCAGCTTCGGGGTCTGTGACGAAGTTAAACTCCCCGCACACGCTCACGTTCCCTCTGGCTGGAAAGAGAAATAAAAACAAAAGGCTGGAAGAGTCGACAGGCTTCCTGCAAACACAGAAGCATTCAGAATACAGTCAAACCCCCCTTAACAATAATAATAATCCTTGCATTTGATATAGCACCTTATCACGTCTTCGAGACGTCTCAAAGCGCTTCACAGGATGCTCTGTAAAGTGGAGTGACTGTGTATTTTGTGGGTGAAACACCTTAGGACGACGTGAAAGGCACTATGCAAATGTAATTTTGCATTGTGTTGGTATTGAAACGTAACAGCCAATGGTGCACAGCAGTGTCTCCAAACAGTCATGGGCTGAAGTGAGCAATTTTTTCGACGGGATTATTTCCCCCAGAAAGTGATCCACCAAGAAACTAACACCCGGGTTCCTACTTATTGCTAAGCTTCGGTCTTCATAAATCGTAAAATCTCCTAAGTCGTACACTTACCCGAACTCATTCAGTTTCCTATCAAAACCATTTAGATATCTTTGCACTACTCGTATTCATAACCTCCTAACTCGTAATGCCGTTACCTTACCCTCCATTACTCCCGCACGTACCGGCTGCATCGAAGTGAGCAAGGTCCAGCAAGGGAGCAGGAGAGGGTGGGGGTGGGACGGGGGATGTGACCATAGGCGCAGTCGAAGTATTTTTCAAATCTCTTCACGCACCTCCCTTCCTTTCCGCCTTGCTCCACCCACCCACCCCCCCACTCCACCACCCGCTGCCTCCGCTCGGCTAGCTCCGGCCTCCTGTTTGTCCCTCATCCCCTCCACCATCGGTGGCCGTGCTTTCAGCCACTACGCCCTGAAACACTTGAACTCCATCCCTCAATCCCCCCCACTTTCCCTTCCCACCTAAAGAGCTTTTTTTGATCGTGTTTACGGTCACCTCTTCCCTCGCCATCCCCCTGGCTCGGGGTCATACTCCACCACTGTCAAACACTCCAGGACGCTACCCTCGTGAAGGGCGCTACATGAATGCAAGTTGTTGTAGGTTTTAAAAGTAGATTTGAAGACAGGTAGAGAAGGTGCGAGACAGAACGGTGGAGGCAGTGAGTTCCATAGGTTAGGAGCAATAATGACTGAAATCTCGGCCACCGATAGGAACAGGCCTGTGGTAGCTGAACGGAGTGGGTGAGCAGAGGAGAGAGTCCAAGAAGAAGTAAAGTGTTGAGAATGATACCAATAACAATAATCCTTGCAATTGATACTACGCCTAATCAGGTCTTCAAGACGTCTCAAAATGCTTCACAGAATACACTGTAAAGTGACTTGACTGAAGATTTTGTGACAGCCAATTGCGCACAGCAGTGCCCCACAAACAGTCGTGGATTGAAGTGTCCAATTTATTATTATTATTATTATTTTTGAAGGAATTATTACCCCCGGAAAAGCGATCCGCCAATCAACTAGTAACTGAGTTCTTACTTATCGCTCGGTAAACAGAGGCGTGTGGAATAAGAAAACTATTGCAGCTCAAATGATAGTAATATGTGCATTTCATACAGAGGCTTTGGCATCAGGAGGAAGTCTTCAACGGTTAGTGACTGTATTTTGGCAGCCAATTTTGCACACAGCAGTCTTCCACAAACAGCAATGAAGTTAATGACCAATTTTATTTGGGAGATTGTTGGCCAGGACAGAAAGAGAAACTCCCTTTCTCTTTTTCAATCGTGCTCTGGGATCTATAACATCCACCTGAACAGGTATACAGGACCTCGACTTAATGTCTCATCTGAAGGACACAATACAATTCACATTTATATAGCACCTTTCACATTAGCGGGGCATCTCAAAGCATTTAATGGAAAGAGGAAGTACGTTCTTGTAGAATTTCAGACAGAATACAGGACACCTTCGATACTTATTCACGTTCCGAGCTATGTTTGATGAGCTAAACCCGAAATAACCGGCTCAAATAGTGCTGTAAGTTCTCAGTCTCTCTCTTTCATAAACTTCCTTCCATGTTTCTCCCTTCTTGCCCTTTCTCTCACCTGTGCTCTCTCTCTCTCTCTCTTTCCCACTCTTTCACTCTCTCTCATTCTCTCTCACTTTCCATGTTTGCTCCCTCTTGCTATCTCTCTCTCTCTCTCTCTCTCTCACTCACCTTGCATGTTTCCTCCCATGATGTACAAGTGTTTCAGTTTGGAAGGGAAGGTGGGGTCCATCTCAACAGCCAGAGCCACATTGGTCAGGGGGCCAATAGCTACAAGAGAGACCTACAAGAGGGTCAAAATATGTCATTAGTAGAGTGTCAGGGAGATGATAATAATTGATAATAATAATTATTAACATTAATCCTTGTATTTACTATTGCACCTTATCAAAGCGTTTCGCAGGATTTTAAAGATGTTAAAGTTGCAGAGAGAAAAGCTGAAATGTTATGTTTGTTTACATTCTCTATGTTACGGGGTGGGGGTGAGGGTGGGGGAGTGGGTGGGGGGGAGCGCTGCCTTCTCAAAGGTTCCATCCTGCGGTCACTGCACTTTACAGTAAAGCGCTTTCACAAGATCAGTTCAGATGAAGAAGGCCTTTTAGCCCATCTGATCTCGTCCTTCCAGAATATTTGGTCGTTAATTACCCTCTGTGTTAAGAAATAATTCCTGGGGTCTGCCCTGAAATTGTTCTTTGTAACTTGAAACAACGTCCTCTTGTTCAACTGTCTTGTGGGGGAACTGTTGTGTGCAAATTGGCTGTTGCGTTCTCTTACAAATCATACAGTCACGACACTTCACAGTAAATGCTGTGAAGCACCTTGAGACTTCCCCCTGATGCCATATCAACAACAACAGCAATGTGCCCTTTGGTAGCACCCTTCACGTATGGTAGTGTCTCGGAACGCTTCCAAATACAAGATCTATTGCATGTCAAATGCTCGGTTATTTTTCCTAAACATTATCGGCTGACATGAGACCTGGATTCTGATGTGCCTTTGAGCAACCTTCTGCTGGACACATTTGGATATTTGTTTGGGACAAGGTTTCCGCTGAGCACTGCCTGTTTTCATTGTCTTAGAATAATAATTATAATGGAGTCCTGTAGCTCAGTGGTTAGAGCACTCGCTTTGCAAGTGAGAGACCTGAGTTCAATTCCAGGCAGAGGGCGAAACCTTGGGCAAGTTTCCTTACTCCACACAGAGCCTAATAATAATCCCTCCAAAACCAAAGACAATAATAAATTGGTCATTTTCAATCCACGACTGTTTGTGGGACATTGCTTATTATAAAAGGAACAAAAGGCAAACCCTAATCCTGGAAATTAGAAGGTTTATTAGATAGAAGCACTGAAGGAATGTTTTTGGATGTTGTTTGCGGCTATCTGATACATGCAAAAACCCATCACCGTGGTTAAGAGTCTCCAAACCTGAGAGTTTTCCATATGTATGGTTTCTGTTTTGTGGGATGTAGTGCATGTGCTTGCTCTCCCAGAAAGGTACACTGTATTTATCTTATTGATGTGATCTTAAATTAGAATTAAAATAGTTAGAAGTGAGACTAGCAGACATTTCTTCACACAGAGTTATGAAGCGTAGTATGCACTTCCTCAGATGCAGAATCATTGCTTTGGTTAACCTGTGAACATAACATGAGTAGCAATGTTTAAACCAATTTAGGAGAAAAAAACTCACCTTATATTCTGAAGAAATACAATATTTCTGGAATCCTGTAGCTCAGTGGTTAGAGCACTCTCTTTGCAAGCGAGAGACCTGAGTTCAATTCCCGGCGAAACCTTGGGCAAGTTTCCTTACTCCACACAGAGCCTAATAATATTCCCTCCAAAACAAAAAACAATAATAAATTGGTCATTTTCAATCTACGACTGTTTGTGGGACATTGCTGTGCGCAATTGGCTGCCGCGTTCGCCCACAAATATACAGTCAATTCACTTTACAGTGTGTTCTGTGAAGCTCTTTGGGACGTCCTCCCGACGTGAAAAGCGCTATCTCAAATGCAAGATATTATATATAATAATAAAAATATAATATACTTGCATTTGATATAGCGCTTTTCACGTCAGGAGGACGTCCCAAAGCGCTTCACAGAATATACTGTAAAGTGAATTGATAATAAGCCTTGCATTTGATATGGCGCCTCATCACATCTTTCAGACGTCTCAAAGGGCTTCACAGAATATATTGTAAAGTGGAGTGACTGTGTATTTTGTGGACGGAAATTGGCAGCCAATTGCATGCAACTGTGTCCCACAAACAGTCCCATGAACAGTCATGGATTGAGTGACCAAATTATTATTTTATGGCGGTATTATTACCTGTGGAAAGGGATCTGCCAATCGACTAACAACTGGGTTCCCATTTACTGCTCGACGTGTAGAATAAGGAAACTTTCCTAAGAATTTGTCCGCAGGGAATCAAACCCGGGACCACTCGCTTGCGAGGCGAGCGTGCTAACCACTGTGATCTTCCCAACAGCTGAGGTTCTCACCTGCCCGGGATGCTCAGCGACGATCCTGATCATGGCATTCACAGCGTGCTCAGTCTGTACCTGCTCCAGACCCGGAGCGCTGGGATCCGGAACATCACCCAACCCATCCTTCCCGTGGTAAACACTGGCGTGAAGATTGTCACCCAGGAGAGAGAGACACGCACCTCGGAACACGGGGATCTGCAGAGCAGTGGAGCAGGGGGAGAAGAGAGAAAATAAGCTTGAATAACACAACATGCCAATCAGATTGCGTTAAACTATAATAAAAAGTAATCATTGATACTTAACCAGAGGCGGCTTGGCTGTACGCGAAATTGGGAAATTTCCCCAAGTATTTCCGCGATTGGCTCCTGGTTTACCGTAGAGATAAATATTACCATATGATTTCCTCCCCCGGGCTCGGGCTCAGGCTCCGGCATTGTTAAGCGCTCCGAGGTGCTGCCCCCCCCCCCCCCCCACAGTGTGAAGGAGATATATAAGTGCAAGTTGTCGTTGTTGTTGTTGTGGAGCCTGGACCAGCCAATCATCGCCTAGGGCCCGCCCTCCCTGAGGAGTGGCAGGTACAATAGCCAATCGCTGCCTGGAATGCATTGCCTGAAAGGATGGTGGAAGCCGACTCGATACCAACTTTTAAGAGCGAAGTAGATAATTATTCGGGGAGGACATGTTTGCAGGGCTACGGGGAGAGAGCGGGGGAGCGGGATTGAATTGGTTAGCTCTTTTCAAAGCATTGGCACAGACACGATGGCACAGACACGATGGGCCGAATGGCCTCCTTCGGTGCTGTATGATTCTATGATTCTAATCCGCCCTCCTGTTTAATGACGGAGTTTTTAAATACGCTGAGAAGTTTTATGCTGAATCCACGCTCCTCGTGAATTATTCCCCCTAATTTCCCCGCCCAAAGTCCTGAGCTGTTTCGGGGAGCCAGACCGTCACTGCACTTAACTACATTTTGCATCACCCACCTCCATCCTGTGACAGACTTTCAAGACCCGAAGCACATTTTTGCACACGTTGTCAATTGAGGTATTTCCGTGGCAACAGGTAATCCCCAGGAGCTGGACGTTGGGAGCCGCCAGAGCCATCATTATAGCCTGGGCATCGTCCACCCCACAGTCAACATCCATCAGCAGCAGCTTCTTTCCCATCTCTGAGGGTCAAAACAATAAGAAATCAGAACCAATATAGTCTGGGCTGACACTCCAATGCAGTGCTGGGGGCTCGCTCTGTTGTCGGAGGTGCCGTCCTTCGAGTGAGACGTTAAATCAAGTTTGCCTGTTCACGTGGACGTTAAAGATGCAATGCCGCTATTCGAAAAGAGAAGGGAGTTTCTCCCGATGTCCGGCATCAACAATCCCACTGATAAAATTGGTCACTCACGTCACGGCCGTTCGTGAAACTCTCTGCTCTGCGAATGGTGATTTGAATGGGATCTTCACAGGACACTTTATTCTCCCAAGATAACACATGTACAGGAATGTGCTGTACATTTACATCACCTTTGATGTTAAGTAATAGTGGAACTACAGTAGGTGGAGGAATGTCAATATGATCATTGCCTAGGAGGAGGAACAATCTGCTATAGTTTTTAATCCGCATTGTTCTAACAGTGAAGCTAATCATTCAAGACCCCTTGAATATGCAACTTTGTATAATATTATGATCATTCCAGTGGACTTCCAGTATGAAAGAGTATTGCTTCCTATCCGTGTGGAAATACCTTGAACAAAATCTATGGTGATAGATTTCTCCAAATGACACAACATTATGGAAAGGTTCTTAACAGAGGTTCTTAAAACTAACTTAATTTCCACTTTTTCTACAGCTTTTAACGTATTCTAATATTTTCCCTGTCAATTTCAGATTCAAACCTGGTTGCCTTAAGAACGTAAATGTTAATATGCAACACTAAATAGTTAGTACTCTGGAATAATGGGTATAAAATACTTAAAGAAATTCACATGGGAGGGAGCAGATTCTAAAATAGGAAAACCTATTGAAACCCTAGCTCAGGGAATGTTGTAGCTCCACACACCTGTGTGATCATTCCAACTCGCTAGACCTGCTCATAAATGAGCTGTTTGAGATTTTAAGCTAAGAGTTAGTCATAGTTATCAACAGCATTATAAACCCTGTGAATCAACTGAATGACAGATAAGAGCCGAGGCAAAATAATTCTTTCCGCTAAACATTGAATCAGATTATCTCGTTTTCATTCTTTCCATTATTAGTAAATGCACAAGCATCCAGGTACTGTTTCTTCAATAGGAATGAAAGAAATGGACTGCGTTTTGTAAAAGCAGTTTACATGAGTGAGCTAGTTTTGTACATTTTAAATTACCATAGTCTTGATTGTTTTCTTGCCTGTTTTGTTATGCAATTCAGGTCCCAGTATTTGCTGAAGATTAAGAATTGCGATTTGCTTTTATTTCTCTAAATCAGGCAGCTTCTTCAAACCCGGAGTTGTATTGTGGATATTTATTGATGGCATTAAGTGGTCTCTAAAGTTATAAGCCAGTATATCCTGTATGTTTTCCAATTTGGAAACATTGTGTGTATCCAAATTTCTCATGTAAATAATTTCTCATGTAAATAATAAATAATAGGTCAGGGCGAAACCTTGGGCAAGTTTCCTTACTCCACACAGAGCCTAATAATAATCCCTCCAAAACCAAAAACAATAATAAATTGGTCATTTTCAATCTACGACTGTTTGTGGGACATTGCTGTGCGCAATTGGCTGCCGCGTTCGCCCACAAATATACAGTCAATTCACTTTACAGTGTGTTCTGTGAAGCGCTTTGGGACGTCCTCCCGACGTGAAAAGCGCTATATCAAATGCAAGGATTATTATTATTATTATTACATGAGGTTTGGAGAACGAAAGGCCAAGGCGGAGGGATAGAGGAAGGGTGTTCCAGAGTTTCGGGGCGTAGTGGCTGAAAGCACGGCCACCAGTTGTGGAACGAGGAGCACAAGCAACATGCAGGAAGCCGGAGCCAGGCGAGCGGAGGCAGTGGGGTATGGGTTGGGGGGTAAGCAGGTTGGAGAGGTAGGGAGGTGCCAGGGCTGACGAGTGACAGGTTGATGGAAGCTGGAGCCCTTCTCTTAAGCATGTATGAGCAAATGTATATATATGTCTGTAAGTGTATCATTGTTTATGTACATGTGTAAAATGTCTGGGTGTGCAAGTAAGTGTGTCTGTGTGTGGGTGCAACTGTTTGCCTACAAAAATACACAGTCACTACCAGTGGCAGCTCAGGTGAGGCAAGTGAGTCCTAGAATTTCCACGTTTCGCAGCGAGGATTGTGAGAGGAGCAAGCAGGAACTGAGCACGTTAGATGAAACATGAGTAAAGGGTCCGTTATCATGGTAACAAGATAACTTAAGAGCTCTGAGTGGCTACCCCACGTAAAGGATGCTATAGAAATGCAAGTTGTTATTGTTGATTAGGCAAACTCATAGACTCCCTGAGGCAACATGCCATCACTAGCCATTACACTTTACTCTGAGACATCTTCCTGACAGGAAAGGTGCCACGTGGACTGCAAGGATTATTATTACTATGCGAGTGGTGGTGTTTTTGCGCGAGTCGATGTGGTTGGTTGTGATTGAGTTTATTGTGGATAAGTGTATGGGTGAGAGTGTGTTTGCGTGTGCATGAGTGTGCGCTTGTGTATGCATGCGTGAGTGAGTGAGTGAGTGGGTCAGTGAGTGAGTGAGTGAGTGAGTGAGTGGGTCAGTCAGTGAGCGAGCGTGATTGCCTACTGTCCACGCTCAGTTAGCATTCTACCTGCGAATGGCTGGTTAATGAGTAACAGTGGTTCTGTAGTCGATCACAACAGGACCTGCGAGAACGAGGAGTGCAACTGGTGAATTGGAAGGAACAGTGAGAGACGCCGCTTTTATAAGAACTATAACCGAACTCCCTTCTCCTCCCACTGCCTGACTTCCTTTCTCCATTCATTCATTTCATTCTCCCTCTCCTCCCCTCAATGTCCCCCGTGATCTCTAGACCAGAGATTGTTTCGGTCAATTTGGTAAACAACGTTGCCTTCATATGGAAGCAGTTTCTTCTCGAAAAGAGACCAGGGAAATGTGAAGTTGACAGACATTAAAGGCTTTAAACACACACACACACACACCACACACAATTAAGGTGTCCTGGTTTCATTACTGCATTAAGAGGCAAGCGTGGCAACACATCTTCAAAGGTCTCTTACTTGAAAGTCTCTTACTTAAAAGTCTGAAATGCTGTACACTGTCCAGTGCCTTGGGACGTTCTCCCGACGTGAAAGGCGCTATACAAATGTAATCTTGTTGTTGTTACTTGCCTGTCAGCCTGGCTGTATTGCTCGCACTCGCTCTCCTCTTGAGCCACGTGAATGTGCGTTCAAGTCCAACGTCGGAACTTTCAACTCACTCAGATTTAGGCTGAACTCTAATAGCAGCACTAATTAGAAAGAGACGGGAGTGATTTGGCCAAAAATCCCCCAAATAAAATAAATCATTCACTTCATGCTGCTCTCTGCAAATTGGCTGCCGCGTTTGCCTACAAAATGCAGAGTCACTGCACTAACTTACTGCTGACTTTTCCTTCCAGTAATATGCTGTTGTGGTCTGGTTTGTACTGCCTGAATTTAAGAGTTCAGCTTCAATTTTGAGCTGCTTGCATTCCTCGGTGCATGCGGTGCATGCGGTGCAGGGTTAGGGCTTGATGGAGCGATAAGGCAGATTGATCGATCCTTGGGGGGAAAAGGGGAGGAAGTTTCTCCTGGTGCCCTGGTCAACAATCCCCCAGATAAAATAGGTCATTCACTTCACGGTTGTTTGTGGGTCACTGCTGTGCGCAAATTGGCTGCCGCGTTTGCCTACAAATATACAGCTACTTTACAGTGTATAATAATCCTTCCTTTTGACATAGCGCCTCATCACGTTGTTGAGACGTCTCAAAGCTCTTCACACAATATATTGTAAAGTGAATTGACTGTATTTTGTGGGCAAAACACAGCAGCGAATTGCACACAGCAGTGTCTCACAAACAGTCGTGGATTGAGAGGCCAACTTATTATTATTACTATTTACTTTTTAAGCACGGTGATGGATTCTCATATGTGTCACGCACCCTGCGCGACCATGATAAATTGCAGGGATATTTAACCATTTGTGGCATCCACTCCTTAACAGCTCTCGGTGGGTGTAAAAAAAAATCCAGCTCTCTGCTGAGCCAGCATTGCGAGGCTGTGGAAATCTGCTGTGCCCAAGTCCAAGTTGTGCCAAGTCTTCCTGCACTGCAGCGAGCTTGCAGAAAATAAAGGAAGGTAAAGTGCTCTGTGTGAAAAACAGTACTATGAACAACCTGACCAAATGGCGATCAATAATAAGACCTGGCTGGCTGGGACAGGGGGTACGCACATCAAAGCACTAGCCCTATTAATCCATCATTGACTGCAATAACTTATGTTCGCATCCCAAACAAATGTTCCAGACTGTCATTAATGGTATAAGTGTCCCAGGGTTGGGTGTTCCAGCTGTGCAGTGTGTTGATCTGTTGGCGAGCTGCATATAGATTGTGTTAAGCTTCGTGTTCAGTCTTGCCATTCATCACATCTGGCTGACTCTTCAGAGTGGGTGAAGCAATAGTAGTAATAATAATCCTTGCATTTGATACAACACCTTCTCACGTCATTGAGATGTCTCAAAGCGTTTCACAGAATATGCTGTAAAGTGGATTGACTGTATATGTTTGTGGGCAAAACACAGCAGCCAATTGCGCACAGCAGCGTCCCACAAACAGTCGTGGATTGAGTGACCAAATTATTATTTGGTTTCAGCCCTCGCTCATTCCCAGGTACAAGCAGGTTCCAGGAACTCCTTTCAGGCCACTTGATGAGCAACACAAATTGCATGAGAGTACTGCCACCATTCTTTAGCCCTCTCGACGAATGGCTTCTCCTCCACCCCCCGTACTGTCTCATGTGGAGTCCCTCAGGGCTCTGTCCTCGGTCCCCTCCTCTTCACCCTCTATATGCTCCCCTTTGGTGACATCATCCGCAGACATGGAGTTAACTTCCACATGTATGCGGATGACACCCAACTCTACCTTTCCTCCTCTACCCTCAACTCTACGACCACCGATGTCCTGACAGCTGCCTGTCCGACATCGAGTCCTGGACGAGAGACAACTTTCTTCAGCTCAACGTGCGAAAAACCGAGGCCCTCCTGATTGGCTCACGTCAGCGCCTCCGCACCTCAGGCGCCGACACCATCAGCATCCAAGGCTGCACTCTCCACCTCTCAAAGCCAGTCAGGAACCTCGGCGTTTTGTTCGACCCTGAGCTGTCCTTTCTCCCTCACATCCGCACCACAACTGGCACCGCCTTCCATCACCTCCGGAACATCGCCAAACTACGGCACTACCTCACCCCTCACGCTGCTGAAACCCTGGTTCACGCCTTATCACCTCAAGGCTGGACTATGGGAACTCTCTCCTCTCTGGCCTTCCCGCCACCTCCCTCCACAAGCTGCAGGTCATTCAGAACTCTGCAGCTCGTGTACTGTCCCGCACCAGGCTTCGGGACCACATCACTCCCACCCTCGCTCGCCTCCACTGGCTCCCCATCCCCCAGAGGATTGATTTCAAGATCCTCATCCTCACCTACAAGGCCATTCACGGCCTTGCTCCCTCCTACCTCTCCGACCTACTATCCCCCTACCTACCTGCCCGTACCCTCCGTTCCTCTGGCTCCGGTCTGCTCCACGTCCCCCGCCCCAACCGCCCTACCATTGGTGGTCGGGCCTTCAGCCTCTCAGCCCCGAGGCTCTGGAACTCTATCCCCCAGTGCCTTCGCCGCTTCCTCCCTCTCCTCCTTCAAGGCCGGTCTCAAAACCTTTCTCTTTGACCGTGCCTTCAGCTCCCCTCTCGACTCTCTTCCCCCTCCTCGCTCCCTCCCATCCCTCCCCTCACCCTGACCATTTCCCCCCTCCTCACTCCCTCCCCTCCCCTCACCCTGACCATTTCCCCCCTCCTCGCTCCCTCCCCTCCCCTCACCCTGACCATTTCCCCCTCCTCGCTCCCTCCCCTCCCCTCCCCTCACCCTGACCATTTCCCCCCTCCTCGCTCCCTCCCCTCCCCTCCCCTCACCCTGACCATTTCCCCCCTCCTCGCTCCCTCCCTTCCCTCCCCTCACCCTGACCATTTCCCCCCTGCTCGGGTCATGACCCAACTGTGCAGCACCTTGGGACGTCCTCCTGACGTGAAAGGCGCTTTATAAATGGAATCTTGTTGTTGTTGAGCCCAGACACACACCGCTACCCATTGACTCCAACCAGTTGGAAGTGCGGAGTGTTCAGTAGCAGTTACCTCTCGGCACTTCGATGATTTAAAAAGGAAATGGACCCAAAAATGCTGACACCTTTTTTCGGTATGGAAATCAAGACAATTCATCGATTGTGGTCGGTTGCTTGCAATTTCTATTCTCTTTCGTCATTTATTTTAGCATTGGCAATGGATACATTTTTGTATGTACTTTTGAAATCAGAGTTAATACGCTGAGTTTCTGTACAACGTCAATCCTGTTTTGCAAAGGAGTTAATCCTATATATTGGATTAAAACACGCGCACACCCGCACAGTTGCTTCTCCTTTACCCGAAGCTTACATTAAAGCTGATACTTTAGAAGAAAGAAGGACTAAACTGTAGGTTACAAAGGTGTAACAAGTCTTGAGCCTTCAAAATGCCTATTTATGTTGAAAAAAGGACACAAATGACAGTATTTAAGTTTGGGAAGAAATAGGCTAAGTCTTGAGGGTTAATAGGATAGAATGCAGAGTTTGACAGATAGCTGAGATTACCTCTCTCTCTCTTTTTAAACCCAAAGCTACCACCACCTAAAGCAGAGTTTGCATTCCACCATTGGTAACACTGCTTAAGACAACTCACCCTCACTTGTCAACATTGCTCACCCTCATGCGTCAATAGCACTCACCTCTACTCTCACGACTGTTCACTCCCACTGTCCATATCTCTCACCCCCATTACCAATATCAATATCAGTCACCGCCCCCCCCCCGCCCATCCCAATGTCCATATCACTCACCTGGTAAAAAATCCTAACCATCTACTGGAATCTGTGCCAATTGGTATTCATTTCATTCTTGCTTACTTTCTCCCTGCCAGTAACATCTGTCCTGAAGGAGACTTTGGATGATTTTGTTGTTCCTTTTTTTGAACCATAGAAATTTACAGCACAGAAGAAAGCCATTTGGCCCTTCATGTCAAACAGTCTATGTTTCCAGAGGCTCCCACCCCACCTCCAGTGCCTCACCCAAATGGCCCTTATTCACATGAGTGACAGCAGAATGTCTGACCTGATGGCCTGTGCTGTTCTTATCCCAAGTCCACCCATGCGTCCCAGTAACAGGGGCATAAGGGAATGATCAGGAACTGTGCCTAACGGAGACTGAAGACAACTGTAAGCTCCTGCCCCAGTTGAGATCAGGAAATTCAGCACAGATCAGGGATCAAACCTCCAACCATCACAGTCTGAATGGCTCGGCTACCCACTGCGTAAACCCATTTGATTCTGCCTACCTGCGACTGAGGAGAGTTGTGACCTGGTGGTCAATTAGGTAAGGTCAGAGACCTCAGTGCAGACCAAGCTACTCACTGTAAACACAAGCTATTACAGTCAGGGTTTGGAGGGTAGAGTGGGGGGAGGGAGGAAAAGGAAGACAAAGCTACCTCCATCTTTATTTCAACAGATGTATGTTACACGTCGGGAGGACGTCCCGAGGCGCTGAAAGTAGCCTCGATAAACATGTTAGTATTTCATATGATTTCTCGGTGCTTGTAAAGTGATTTGTTTATTTAGTGAGGAGTGCAACCCAGCCAGCCAGCCATAGTGAAATAGCAATAGTGCATGGGAAAGTGAGCAAACAATGTTTAGCTTAAAGCCGCACTAAAACTACGCCATTCGTGACAACCTCTGCCCCCGAGATGGAGAAACCCCTGCCCTGCCCTACTTCAGAGACGCGATCAGCAGCTGCTTATATTTCTCCATGTCGCATTTCATCATGACAAAGGCCCGGTTCTTTATCTTCAGCAAGTCGAGGGTATCGAGGATCATCATCCCCCTGGTCAGAGAGCCGTGCAGCTCCACGGTGACCCCGAGCTGGGAGTATTCGGTCACCACGCTCTCATCGATGGCTGCAGCCATGGCGAAGGAATCGCAGGACACAAAACCCGGGCCGAAGAACAGCTCTTTGCTTCCAGCCTCGCTCTTGGCGCGCTCAGCAGTGTGAGCGCTTATCCGTTTCATGAAGCGGGCTTTCTCGGTGTCTTGGTTCACCCATTCCTTGTAAAACTCCTGTAAATAACATCAAGGAACAGGTCAGAGCTGAACATGGTTAAGTGCTCCGAGACGCTGCCCTGCAGGAAGGGCGTAATATATAAATGCAAGCTATAATTGTTGTTTTTTGATAATAATCCCTCAAGAAAAAAAAGAATAAATTGGTCACTTCAACCCACGACTCTTTGTGGGACACTGCTGTGCGCAATTGGCTGCCGCGTTTCGCCCACAAAATATACAATCAATTGACTTTGCAGTATATTCTGTGAAGCGCTTTGAGACGTCTAGAAGATATGATAAGGCGCTATATCAAATGCAAGGATTATTATTATTATTGTTTTCCATTGGAAAAAGAATATTGGGTCTCAGCCTGACTCAGTCTAGCACTCTGGACCTCCAAGACAGAAGGTGCTGGGTTCAAGCCCTCAAGTCAGGACTTTGAACTCATATAGTCTGTGCTGCCTCTCCAGTACAATGCTGGGTGAGGTGCTGCAGTGTAGGAGGTGCCGTTCTTCGAATGAGATATTCAGCCGAGGTTCCGGCCACATGTTCAACCTTCAGGTTGGAAGGACGTCTCAAAACACTTCACGGGATTTACCATAAAGAGTAGTGACGGCAGCCAATTTGCTCACGGCAATGAAGAGCATTGGGGCTGGAGAGATGATCGATAGCACAGTCACTACAGGTAAGTCTTAATGCTTTGAAAGTGGGGAGGGAGGGGGCGAGTCAGAGGGACTCAGAGATGGAGTGTCAGCAACGGGGGCAGAATGCTGAAAGCCCAGACGCCAATAGTGGGGAAAGTAGGGTGGGGGACGTGTAGCAAAACCAATCCAATTATTGCTCACAGGCTCGCTCATTCCACTAATAATGGATATCATCCTCGTTCCTATGCTCGCTGAGCAGAGTCAGCTGGGTCAGTAGGGACACAGGAGATCACAGAGGGAGAGTGGGGTGAGGCCACAGACGGACCTGGCTGTGAATATTACTTGTTATTTATATTCAAGTGTCTATAAAAAGGGGAGTGGGCGAGTAGGTGGCAGATGGAATTTAATGTGGGGAAGCGTGAAGTTTTTCATCTCGGTAGAAAAAATAGAAAAACAGATTATTTTCTAGAGGGGGAGAGATAATAATAATAACAATAATAATAATAATAATCCTTGCATTTGATATAGCGCTTTTCACATCGGGAGGACGTCCCAAAGCGCTTCACAGAATACACTGTAAAGTGAATTGACTGTATATGTGTGGGCGAACGCGGCAGCCAATTCCACACAGCAATGTCCCACAAACAGTCGTAGATTGAAAATGACCAATTTATTAGTGTTTTTGGTTTTGGAGGGATTATTATTAGGTGTGTGGAGTAAGGAAACTTGCCCAAGGTTTCGCCCTCTGCCTGGAATTGAACTTAGGTCTCTCACTTGCAATGCGAGTGCTCTAACCACTGAGCTACAGGACTCCACAATAGTGGAGAAAGTAGATAGTGTTAGTGTTCAGAGGGATTTGGGTGTCCTTGTAAACCAGTCTCAAAAAGTTAGTTTGCAGGTGCAGCAGCAACTAAGAAGGCGAACAGTATGTTAGCATTCATTGCAAAAGGTTTAGAGTACAAGAGTAGGGAAGTCTTGCTGCAACTGTATAGGGCTTTAGTGAGACCGCACCGAGAGTATTGTGTACAGTTTTGGTCTCCTTATTTAAAAAGGACATACTTGTCCTGGAGGGGGTGCAGCGTAGATTCACTCGGTTAGTTCGTGAAATGAGGGGACTGACCTATGAGGATAGACTGAATAAACTGGGGCTGTATTCTCTGGAGTACAGAAGAATTAGGGGGGATCTTATTGAAACATATAAGATTCTTAAAGGGCTGATAAAGTAGACACTGAGGGTCTGTTTCCCCGGTAGGAGAATCTATAACCAGGGGTCACAGTCTTAAAATTAAGGGTCAGCCTTTTAGAACAGAGTTGAGGAAACATTTCTTCACTCAGAGGGTAGTGAATTTATGGAATTTATGGAATTCACTACCCCAGAAGGCTGTATATGTCAGTCCTTGAACATCTTCAAGGCTGAGATTGATAGATTTTTTAAAAAATAGAGGGATTAGGGGATATGGCGATAGAGCAGGTAATTAGAGTTAGGTCAGAAGATCAGCCATGATCTTATCGAATGGCGGGGCAGGGCTCGAGGGGCCGAATGGCCTACTCCTGCTCCTAATTCTTATGTTCTTCTGTTCTTATGTTCATAAGGAATTACAGTAACCTCCCCCGATTATTGTAGCATCATATTTCACACAAACAAGCTCAGGGAGTGGAACACACTTTTTTGCTAACAGATTTGAAGTGATAATAATAATATTAATCCCTGCATTTCATATAGAGCCTTATCACATTGTTGAGACGTCTCAAAGCGCTTCATAGAACATATTGTAGAGTGGATTGACTGTGTATTTTGTGGGTGAAATGCAGCAGCTAATTGCGTACAGCAGTGCCCCACAGACAGTTATAGACTGAGTGACAAATGCTTTTTTGGGAGGGATTCCTGTAGCTCAGTGGTTAGAGCACTCGCTTTGCAAGTGAGAGACCTGAGTTCAATTCCAGGCAGAGGGCGAAACCTTGGGCAAGTTTCCTTACTCCACACAGAGCCTAATAATAATCCCTCCAAAAAAAAAACAATAATTAAATTGGTCATTTTCAATCTACGACTGTTTGTGGGACATTGCTGTGCGCAATTGGCTGCCGCGTTCGCCCACAAATATACAGTCAATTCACTTTACAATGTGCTCTGTGAAGCGCTTTGGGACGTCCTCCTGACGTGAAAAGCGCTATATCAAATGCAAGGATTATTATTATTATTACCCCCGAAAACGGATCTGCAAAATGACTAACAACCAGGTCCCTACTTACTCCTCGGTAAACAATGCCGTGTGGAGTAAGGAAACTTGCCTAGGTTTTCGCCCTGTCTGGAAATCGAACTCAGGTCCTCTCGCTTGCGAGGAGAGTTCTCTAACCAATATGCTACAGGACTCCACAAGTGTTAATCATCACATCGAACGGGGGTATCACAGACTGCATGAATCTGCCTCTCGTGGTCTCTGAGTGCGATGTTCTCTGTACCCTGTGAGCAGCTTACCCAAGGCAGGCGATGGCGGAGGCAGTATTCCCAGGTGGCGATGTAGGTGGGACATGTGAACTGGCTCAGGACCACATAAGCAGCTTCTGCGTCTGTAACAAAGTTAAACTCGCTGGCCACCTTCACGTTCCCTCTGCCTGGAAAGATAAAAAATGCATAGGTATAATTATAGTGCTATCAATGGCAAGCCATGAGGTTTTAGCTGGTCAGACTCCAGCAGTACCCAACACACACTGTCCCCAAGCCTTGGCTATTACTAACCTGCGCCTAATACTTTCTGGAATTAAGTAAACAGATTGTGTCCCTCCAGGGACAGACTGCGGTTTCCATTCCAACAATCTCTCTCTGGGATTTCCATGGGTAGGTGGGATGCATGGAATTCTCAACTTGGCTTGGATGCTCTTCAGCATTAAAGAAACTCATCTCGGCGCAGATATAAAATAATAATCCTTTCATTTAATGAGCACCTTTTAATGTCCCGCAGTGTCTCGAAATGCTTCACAGTAGTTAAAAATAATAACGGTAATCCTTTAATTTGATATAGTGTCTCACATATCAGTGAAATGTCTTAAAACTCTTCCCAGGATGTACTGCAATCCCATCCTGGACATTGTTATGCACATTTGGCTGCCGTATTTTGCCCACAAATTACACATTCAATTCACCTTCGATATATCCTGTGAAATTCTTTGAGATGTCTCAACGAAGTGATAAAGTGCTATATCAAATGCAAGGATTATTATTATTATTATTATTATAATCCTTTCAGGGCACACAGCCTATCTTTCCCATCAGTACATTAAGCTACTTTTTAAATGAGTCGAGTGTCCTGGCCTCTACCACCAGTTAACCCACCTCTACCTGGCCTCTGGCAACCTGTTGCAGTAGTTGATTAACCTCTTCCTGGTGTCTGTCCTGAAACGGCCTTTTACAACACTAAACCAATGTCCTCTTGTTCTACTATCTCGAAGCATCCTAAACTATTGATCTGCGTTGAGTTTTTCAGTCCCATTTAAAGTTTTATACACCTCTATAAGGTCCTGTCTGAGTCACCTTCTCTCAAGATTGAAGAGCCCAATCTTGTCTTATTACGACAACAACTTGCATTTATACAGCACCCCTCACACAGGATAGCGTCCCAGAGAGCTTAAATTAATGCTCGTACCTGGTTGCTAACGGTTTTTTCCGACAGCTCTTGAAAGAACGTACAGAAAAGTAAAACTGAACTGAAGAAGCTGTCAAATTCTGGATCATGCAAAATGCTAAGAAAATAGAATAAATCTTAGACTCGGATGAAATGTAAAAGCCGAAGGTAAAAATTGTGGCATTTCAAAAGGATTTCTACTGTTACCATTGCCCACTAGGTGGAGGCGTACCACTCTATATATAATGTGGTAGGCATTTTCTCTTTAGATCCAATAGTTATTTTTTTATTTATAGTAATCCTTGCATTTGATACAGCGTCTTATCATGTTGTTGAGACTCTTAGAACTCTTCACAGGATATACTGTAAAATGCAATGTGTTTGGAGGCCATTGCAGCAGTCAATTTGCACACAGCAATGTCCGAAGCTCAGTTTAATGTCTTATATAATAATAACATAATAATCATCGCATTTGATATAGCCCCTTGTCATGTCTTCAATACGTCTCAAAGCGCTTCACAGAATAGACTGTAAAGTGAATTGACTGTAGATTTGTGGGCGAAACGCGGCAGCCAATTGCGCACAGCAGTGCCCCACAGAAAGTTGTGGACTGAGTGACCGAATTATTACTTTTATTTATTTTGAAGGGGTTATTACTCCTGAAAAAGCCATCCGACAAACGGCTAACGAGCAGGTTCCTACGCACTGCTGGGTAAACAGAGGCGTGTGGAGTAAGGAAACTTGGCCAACGTTTCCCCCTGCCGGGAGTGGAACCCAACCCAGCTCTCTCACTTGCGAGGCGAGCGCTCTAACCTCTGAGCTACAGGATTCCATTGGCCACACATTTTACAGCGATTCACTTTGATTCATTTCAGCGGGGAGGGTGGTTGGGGGGGGGGGGTGGATGCTAGAATTCCTCTTCCCATCAGTTCAGAGTTTTACCATCAAAAAAGAAAGCTAAAAGCTGCAGTCACAGTGGATGAGGAACACGTGGACTTTCCAACCGGTTCGGAAATATTAAGAAAGAAACTGTTAACTCGAAAGGATGATTTGGTCCTTGTGAACAATAGTTAACACACTGCAATAGTTTTGAAGCATCATAAGCTTTATCCTATATGATTGTGTATACCGGGGACGGACACTTTGACAGGGAGAGGGGAGAATATAGAATTGAATATAGAATTTGGGGTCAGTTCACCAGATACAGTGTCCCATCTGCCTGTTCGGATGGATGTTAAAGATTCTATGGCGCTATTCGATTAAGAGAAAGGAGTTTCTCCCGGTGTCCTGGCCAATAATTCCCCAGATTAAATTGGTCATTCACTCCATGGCAACTTGTGGGGTTGCAAATTGGCTGCTACATTCACCCATGAAAATACATCGTCGCTACATTACACAGTAAATCCTGCGAAGCTATCTCAGGGACGTGATAAGGGGCTGTATCAAATGCAAGCATTATGATATTATTACGGCATTGTGTTAATCTTGGAGAATGGGTTATAGGATATAATAATAATAATAATATGTGGGAGTTGAGGTAAGGAAAAGAGCAAAATGAACATTAGAAAAATAAAAAGCAGGAACCCCAACTGAGCAGAATTGGACCAATTTAAAATGTATTTTAAGTGAAAGGTTTAATATTGCAGAGATAAAATCATTCCTGAAATTACAGAAACATTAAATTAAAGCAGTAATAATAAGTGGACAGGAAAGATCATGTGGCACTATTAGAAAAGAGAAGGGATGTTCTCCCCCAGTTTCCTGGTCAACAATCATCCAGAGATAAAAACTAATTTCCTGAGGTTTGTGGGCCAAATTCGCTGTCGTGTTTGCCAATACACAGCCAATAATAGTCCTTTCATTTGATATAGCGCTTTATTACTTCGTCTCAAAACTCTTCACAGAATATATTGTAAAGTGGATTGACTGTATATTTGTGGATGAAATGCAATATAATAATAAGCATTATATTTATTATATTAATATAATAAAATTATTATATTAGTATTATAAATATAATATAAATTATTGTATTAATATTATAAGTACAATGTTTAATACATTTATTATATTAATTAATATTTAATATAATTTATCATCATTATATATTGTATTAAATATATTACCCACAATAATAAAATTCCTACTAATACACTCCACCAATATTCCACTTGGCACCTAGTAGACATTATATCGAATGCAAAGATGATTATCATTATTATTGTTTGCTTTAGCATTACAGAGTGTGAACACTTGCCAAACTTTCAGAACTGCCCAGTCCAGGACGACAGATGATTCCGTGGGTTTGTGTGACGTCGATGCGTCAATAAGCGAAATGCGAAATGGCATCTCAATCGATGATCTCATCTCGGATTGACATCAAGGTCCTCACCCTCACACATAAACCCCTTCACACCCGAGGATCTCCCTGTCTCTCCGAGCTGTTCGTACCCTACGTTTAGCTAACAAAGCCCTGCAGCGTATCTCCTGTGACCATTGATGACCACCCTCTGGGACACCCTGTCTGGCCTCAATCCCTCTGTCTTGCCCCACTTTATCTATTGCCTGCAAAATACACTTTACAGTATATCCTGTGATGCTCTTTGAGACGTCTCAATGATGTGATAAGGCACTATATCAAATGCAAAGATCATTATTATTATTATTTCACCTTAAATCCTACATCTTTTATTGCGGCTTGATCACCTCCCCCTCCCCCTCTTCTCCCTTGCTCTGCGTCCGATCCTGCCACCCTGCAGCTCTCCGAGGTGCTATCCCGCGTGAAGCTCTCTGTATAAATGTTCACGACATGAGCCATCTCTCTCTCGCTCTCTCTGTCACTTACCTTCCATGTTTCCTCCCATGATGTACAAGCGTTTGAGCTTGGAAGGGAAGGTGGCGTCCATTTTCACAGCCAGAGCCACGTTGGTTAAGGGACCAACAGCAACAAGACTGATCTAGGGGATGATAAGAGAGAAAAAGGAAAATCTTACGTTTAAAACACGAATTATCCAAACTTGCTGTTAACTATCATCGTGTTTGGGAGTGTATACCCATCCACCCATTCAAATTTAGGACATAGATAGTCCAGACAAACCACTAAAGTGCTCACTCCACTTTACAGTGTATCCCGTGAAGCGATTCGAGAAGACTTACTTCCTGACAAGAAAGCTGCTGTACTAAATGCAAGGAATATTGTTGTTATTACATTCCACGGAAGTAGGTAAAGCAGAGTGCTTTCCAGGGAGAGAGAATGTGCATTCCATTCTGCACGTGGGGAAGTTTCCACCTCTAAGTGGATCTCCTCGTCTGGTTTGGATACTCTTAAGTACGGTGATGGTTCTCTGCGTGTGTCAGACACCCAGCTGGTCAAAAAATAAACACATGAGGCTTTATTTACAGATAGTTGCAATTTATTCGGGCTCCTGAAATGGATCTGAAAGCTGAGCTATTGTTAGGCACAAGAGCGATCTGGGACGCTGGCCTGAGTGAGGGGCGCTATATGAATGCAAGTTGCTGCTGTTATTGTTGTTGTTGTTGTTGTATCTCACCTGCCCGGGATGTTCAGAGACGATCCTTATCATGGCGTTCACGGCGTGCTCCATTTGCAAGTGTTCCAGTCCTGGAGCGTTGGGGTCGGGGACATCTCCCAGTCCGTCCTTCCCATGATAGACAGGGTCATGCAAACGCTCCCCAAGGATAGACGCTGCAGAGCCTCGATACACAGGGATCTTCACAAACAAGGGTGGGGGAGAGGGGGAAATATAAGAGTGTTCAATTGGGCTACATTTCCCGAATAATCACAAGATCGGTCTCGATGAAGAAGGCCCTCAGGTTCATTCAGTCTCATCTCTACAGAACACCCACCCTACCTACCATTCACTCAGAGCTCTGCATGAAGCTGCTTTTTAAATGAATTCCAGTGTCCTGGCCTCAACCCCCCACCCTTCCTTTCCTGACAACCTGTTCCAGTCATTGATTACCCTCTGGTAAAGAAAAACCTCCTGGTGTCGGTCTGGATTCTGCCTCAACCATATTCTATATTCCATATTCTAACAACTTGGTGTGTGCAAAAAAAAAACTCCTAATTTCCCCATTTGCTAACTGTCTCAAACTAATGCCCTCAAGTCGCTGACTTACAGAGCGAGTCACTGTTACACCGATCAATTTTAGACACTGAAAAGTGTACACAGGAATTGTATGCTCTGATTCTGTGTGTCGGCCTGGCTCAGTTGACAGCACTCTGGCCTCTGAGTCAGAAGGTTGTGAGTTCAAGCCCCACGTCAGGACTTGAAATTCATAAAGTCTAGACTGACACTCCAATGCAGTTCTGAATGTGCGCTGCATTGTCGGAGGTTCCATCCTTCAGAAGAGACGTTAAACTGAGGCTCCATCTGCCTTTCAGACAGACGGTAAAGATCCCACAGCACTATTTGAAAAGAGAAGGGAGTTTCTCCCGGTATCCTGGCCAACAATCTGCCCAAATAAAAGTGGACATTCACTTCATGGCTGTTTGCGAATTGGCTGCTGTGTTCGCCCAGAAATACAGTTACTCTACTTTACAGTTCTTCCCCTTCCTTTCCTCCTTATTCTTCCTCTATCCCTCCACGTTGGCTTTTCCTTACCCATTTTCAGGTCATGCATGAAGCCCTTCCAATTCGACCGTGCTTAGGGTCACCATCCCCTCCTCCTCCCCCTGGCTCGGAGTCATGCTCTGCCAGTGTCAAGCGCTCTAGGACGCTACATAAATACAAGTTGTTGTTGGGATGTCGTCCTGACCTGAAAGGTGCCATACCAAACCCGAGGAATATTATTATTCTCGGCTGGACTCAATGAAGTGCCATTTGGAAGGAAGGGTTATTAAGTGGGGACTCAGTGTAGGGATGTGAGCCACACTCACCTCCATCCTCCCGCACAGCTTCAGGACCCGGAGCACATTTCGGCAAACGTTTTCGATCCCGGTGTTTCCGTGGCAACAGGTAATCCCCATGATCTGGATATTGGGAACCGCCAAGACCATCAGTAATGCCTGGGCATCATCAACCCCAGGGTCAACGTCCAGCAGCAGCATATTCTTCCCCATCTTGGAAGCTAAAGGACAGAAAGTTATCTCTTTATTTGTTTATTTGCCTCGCACGCAAGAGACCTTGGGCACGTTTCCTTACACCACTCGCCTCTGTTTAGTCGATTGTTAGTCGATTGATGGATCGCTTTTCCGGGGTAACAATTCCTTCAAAAAGAAAAATAATAATTGGTCACTCAATCCACGACTGTTTGTGGGCCACTGCTGCGCGCAATTGGCTTCTGATTTTCGCTCACAAAGTATACAGTCAATTCACTTTACAGTATATTCTGTGAAGCGATTTGAGACGTCTCGAAGATGTGATAAGGCGCTATATCAAATGGAAGGTTTATTATTGTTATAACATTCAGGAAAGGAAAGTTCCCAACAATTTTCATCCAGACACTTTATTTTCGTAAACTTATGGCAAGGACTTGATAATTACTGAGGGTTTGTAATAGTTTACCAAGAAAAACTAAAGCCACATACACGCGCCATAATACATTAGCACCCTTTCTCCCTATACCATTGACTGGCGCTGTACAATCCAAGGACACATCATTTTTTGTAATAAGTTGTCCTAACTTTAATTTAGGACAACTAAATCTCCTTCCCTTAGCCTAGACCTTGGACAGCAATCACAGCACGGGTGTGGAGTTAGGGACAGGATAGAAAGATACACTTAGACCTGAAAAAGGGAGCGCAAGAAAGAGAAACTAATGTGTGCGCACTCGGAGACAGAGGGATAAAAGAGATAGGCAGAGAAAGGAGGACAATGGCTGAGACAGATACGGAGAGGAGATTGCAAGAGAAACACAGAGCAGGGAGAACACATGCCTAAAGAAGAGAGAAACATTTCCAAAGAGAAGAAGGGAGACTGAGAGACAGGGACAAGGACAGAGAGGGAGGGAGGGAGGGAGGGAGGGAGAGTGAGATACGCAAACACAGACAAATAAAACTTATTAATGGCACAATGGCTGTAAAATTAAAAATAAAATCATCCTTGCTTTTGATATAGTGTCTTTCACGTTGGAAGGATGTCTCAAAAGCGCTTCAGGATTCAGCGACAAAGTGTAGTGACCATTTTTTGTAGGTTTATGTTCTCAAGACGATACAAGTTCCTTTTCTAACAGAACCGTACTATTGTAAAGCAAATGTGGCTCAGAAACAAACCCGATTCACAACAAACAATATCAAAATCATATTTAAACAATACTGTACTTAATAATAATCCTTACAATAATATTTTCATTTCATATAGGACTTCATCACGTCGTTGAGACGTCTCAAAGCGCTTCACAGAATATACTGTAAAGTAAATTGACCGTATATTTTGTGGGCAAAATGCGGCAGCCAATTGCGCACAGCACTGTCCCACAAACAGTTGTGGATTGAGTGACCAAATTATTATTCTTTTTTTTTCTTGAGGGATTATTATCAGGCGTGTGGAGTAAGGAAACTTGCCCAACATTTCAAGCTGCTGGGCATCAAGCCCAGGTCGCTCGCTTGCCAGGCGAGTGCTCTAACCACTGAGCTACAGGATTCCATAGGTTGCGATCATTCCACATCTACAAGAAAACCGCTTCTAAAATAAAGCAACCGAAACTGGAGGATTCGCACTGAGATATCAGTATCAATTCCACTCACCAGATTTCTTGTACATCCACCTGTTTGTTTGAGGGATTCGAAGAGATTTATCAGCCTCGCTTCAGGGTTCAATGATTCACTCTGCTCGCTGTGCTGCAATAACCTGCACAGGATAGAAACAGCTCTGAACCGTCCTACTTTATATGCTGCTGGGACTTTGAAGGGTTTAATTGCCTGCTTGAGAAAGCCACTCCCACAACAGATAGGTCCAGACAAACATCCCTTTTTGTTTCGCTCAAATCTGATATTTAAAGATCCCGTGGCAACTATTAGAGGAAAATAAGGGAATTTTTTCTCTCATCAGATGAAGCGGTAATTTACTCCTCCATGATTATTTGAGGGACTTTGCTGGGGCCATACGACTGACACGTTATATGATTTTTTTGGGGTCAGCCGGGTGTCTGACACATGCGGAAACCCATCCCCGTGTTTAAGAGTCTCCAAACCAAGCTGAGAATTCCATGCATCCCACCTACACATGGAAATCCCAGAGATAGATTGTTGGAATGGAGTGCACATTCTGTTGGATACCCTTTAAGAAAATAAGGACCAATTAACTGGGATCTTTTCGGAAGACCCTCCTCTTCGACCGTGCCTTTGGTCACCCTCCTTCTCCCCCTGCCCTCCACCCTCCACAATCCCGACCCCCAGCTCAGGTCCGAAGCACTGATTGTACATACATCTTCCCGACATGAAAAGGACTATAATTTTGCTGTTGTTGTTGTTGAAAGGGCATCAGAAAGTAGAAAGCAGGACGCAGGTAGACTGAAGGGTTTTTGGTTGAATTGTATGATTTTTAATGTGTGAGCTGAGAATAAAAGTTTTCTGCACCGAGAGTTTTGAGAACATAACATGGTGTCAGAAGTAAAACTGAACTGAATTGGAAAAGACTACGAGACTGAACAGGAAAATTAAGAGACAAAATGAGTGTTGGAGAAGCAAAAACGGATGATATGGCAAAATATGTACAAATACCTCAAATGTTGATGCTAAAAGGTTAAAAGACATAACTCTCAAAGATTTGAGCGGGATTTTGAAATATTTGCGCTAGCTTCAAACGTAAAGAAATTGCCACAAATACAGCAGTCGGCTATTTTCCTAAATGTGGCAGGAGAAGAAGCAAGGGATTACTTTGCCACTACGGAGAAAAATGTGGAATTATCATGCCATTAGATGCGATGATAGAGGTCATGCAGGAAAGATGTTATGGACACAGAAATGTCACAGTAGATAGATACAAATTTGAAATAAGGGAACAAGGGCCGACAGAGTCATTTCATCAATACTGTGCGGTGTTACGATCCCTAAGTAATTATGGAACTTTAAGAGAAGAGATGATCAATTGTAATAGGATTGAACGATAATAAAATACGCAGCAAGCTCTTGAAAGAGGGGACTTTAATGCTCAAAAAAACTCTGCAAACAGAAGAAATGACCGAAGCACATATAAGGGATATTGATAGAAATGCAGGAGAAGATGTCAATTGATAAATTAGCTCAAAGAAGAAACTGGATTAATTCAGATGAGGAATATGGAGGATACCCAGGCCTAAAGGCAAACAATATAGGGGAAACACGAGAGAAGTGTGGATTAGTGCATCCTTTTCGGAGATGTTCAACAGAAGGAAAACAGTGTTATGTTTGTCATCGGTCTGGGCATTGCAATGTAAACTTGTGAGCTGAGACTGAAATTGTTTTCTATTTGAGAACAGAACACATCGTCTCCCTGCTTACATAATTACCTAATTCCGCAAAGTACACAGACAATACTCACTCCACTTCACAGCAAAACTTTAAGATGTCCTCCCGACATGGAAGGTGTTACACCCAATGGAAGAATAACAATTATAATTACATGTCAAAATAAGTGATTTTTATAAGTGGAGACTGTATTTTCCTAAGAGCCATTTGACAACATCGTAACTGCTGCAGGATTGACTAACACACACACTGATGCGTTTAAACATGTTTCATTCTGGGAATTAGTAAGGTCAAAACACAAAACAATGGACAGAGGATGCAAACCCGTGGATTGGAGGTTATCTATGATAATAATAACACTTGCATTTGTTTTAGTGCCTTACCACGTTTGGTGAGATGTCTCAAAGCGCTTCACGGAATACACTGTAAAGCTAATTGACTGGAAACTTTGTGGGAGAAACTCTGCAGTGACCCACAAACAGTCACGAATTGAGTGACCAAATTATTATTATTAATTTATCTATACTTTCCCCTCACGACATAAGGAATCAAATGGAGGGGTGCGGAGAAAGAAATTTGCGGTACTCCTAAATTCAATGATTAATTCTATCCTAGTCAATGTGAACCTTTAATAATTAAGTAAATTGACCCAGATTTTATCAAACATTTTAATATCTCTCCACCTGCTCCTGACAAATTTCATCCAGCCGCTTTATTTTCGTAAACTTATACCAAGGACTTGACAATTACTGAGAGATTGTAATATAACCAAGAAAAACTAAAGCAACACACACAGCCAGACACACCATAATGCAATAGCACCCTATCTCCCTACATCATTGACTGGCGCTGTACAATCCAAGAACACATAATTTTTTGTATGCATCAATAAGTGGAGTCCTGTAGTTCAGTGGTTAAGAGCACTCGCTTTGCAAGTGAGAGACCTGAGTTCAATTCCAGGCAGAGGGCGAAACCTTGGACAAGTTTCCTTACTCCACACAGAGCCTAATAATAATCCCTCCAAAAAAACAAAAACAATAATAAATTGGTCATTTTCAATCCACGACTATTTGTGGGACATTGCTGTGTGCAATTGGCTGCCACGTTCTCCCACAAATACACAGTCAATTCACTTTACAGCATATTCTGTGAAGCGCTTCGAGACACCGAGAAGACATGAAAAGCGCTATATCAAATGCAAGGATTATTATTATTATTATAAGATAAAAGCGTGCTGCACTTCACACTGGTGTTCTTCCAGCCCCCCCACACCCATTCCTACCAGGTCGCTGTATCACATGTAAAAATAAGAGTTGGACTTCAACTTAGGACAATTAAATCTCATTCCGTTAGTCTTGCCCTTGGACAGCAATCACAGCAGTAGTATGGAGTTAGAGACAGGATAGAAAGATACTCTTAGACCTGAGAAAGGGAAAGGCGTGGTAGCTAAGATAGAGGACAGAGCGAGGCCATGCAGAGGGAGAGGAAGGGAGCGCAAGAAAGAGAAACAAATGTTGTGCACCAGGAAATAGAGAGATAAACGAGATGGGCAGAGAAAGGAGAACAGTGGCTGAAGCGGATGCGGGAGATTGCAAAGAAACACAGATAACGGTGAACACATTTTTAAAGAGGAAACAAACATTTTGAAAAAGAAGGGAGACCGAGGCCAGGGTCAAGGACAGAGGGAGCGACATAAAGAGAGAGTGGGAGAGACAGAGAGAGAGAGAGAGAGAGAGAGGGGATGGGAGAGACAGAGAGAGAGAGAGATCAGCGAATACGCACAAACAAAACTTATTAATTGCACAGTGGCTGTAAGATTAAAAATTAAATAATCCTTGGATTTGATATAGCGTCTTTCACATTGGGAGGATGTCTCAAAGAGCTTCAGGATTCAGCGACAAAGTGCAGTGACCCTTTTTTGTAGGTTTATGTTCTCGAAACGATACTAGTTCCTTTTCTAACAGAACCGTACTAGTTGTAAAGCAAATTTGCTTCAGAAACAAACCCGATTCACCTCAAACAAAAAATATATATTTAAATACTGTACTTAATACTCCTTAATAATAATACTTTCAATTGATATAGGGCCTTATCATGTCGTTGAGACATCTCAAGGCTCTTCACAGAATATACAGTAAAGTGAATTGACTGCGAAACACAGAAGCCAATTGCGCAATCCATATTTGTCATATCCTCACCTGATCCCACAAACAGTTTGGATTGCGTATGGAAAGATCCCCTAGGGTAGACGGTGGAATCAGATAGTGTTGATTCTTTCAAGAACAAATTAGATAATTACAGATGGAAAATAATATTGTGGGATTCAGTGTATAGTTTGGAACATGACATGTGCATTCAACTACCAGGATGGTGGAAGGCAAACTGGATAGACCTTGGTCTTATTTCGTCTAGAAATTCTTAAGAGTCCATGGCTTTAGGGGTCCCGGTTTAAAAATAACCGCAATATGTGAAGTGACAGAGCTGTAAATTCAGTTCCCTCATCATCGGTTTAGATCAGCAAATATCCTCATCTAAACCAGAGTCAGCAACAAATCAGATGACAATATTTCTACGAAGCAATGAAGGAGCAAATGCTAAATTCAGGTTACAAAACTATGTAAAAAAAAAGACTTGTGTCCACAATTAGGCACACCAAATCCACATTCCACTTCCACAGTCTAATTTCTGTTTAAATCTATTTTTAGTGTTTGGTTGTGTAACAGGAGGGAGATGGCTTCCTTTTATGAGTACTTTAGTGCCAAGAATTAATCTTTTCCTTATTGGTATGGCCATTCCCCAAATTCTCTCCAAATCAAGAAAATCTGGATTGATAGCCAAGCAGTGTGAATTTTGTTAATCCTACATAAGAATTTTCCAGGCCAAATAAGACCAAGGTCCATCTTCTTCACCTTCCACCATCCTGAGTCACTTGACATGTCATGTCCCAAACTATATACTGTTTCCTGACATATTATTTTCTAGCAGAAATCTAATTTGTTCTTGAAACAAATGACATTTTCTCCTTCAATCATCTCCCTCGGGTGACAGTTCCGTAAGTTTACTACTCGCTCACCGAAGTAGTAATTTTGCAATTTGTTCTGAATTTCCCCCCCTCCACCCCAGCCCCCCCCTCCACCCCCGCCCCCCCACACCCTCAATCGCAGGCCATGTCCTTTGGTTCTACTGTTCAGTACAAGATAAAACAGCTTATCATGGTCTACATTATTTAGTCCCTTCAGAATCTTAAAGACCGAAATCATATCGCCCTTCAAAATCCTCTTCTCCAGCCTGAACATGCCCAGTTAATCTAATTGCTCCTTGTAGTCCAGTTCCTCCATCCCTTCAAACATTTTAGTTGCCCTTCTCTGTATTCTCTCAATCGTTTTATATTGCGGTGACCAGAACTCCACACAGTCCTCCCAAGTGCGGTTGCACCAGTGATTTATAAAGTGACAGGATTACCCCTCTATTTCGGTTCAATATTGCCCTTTTAATACAGCCTAGGATCTTGTTTGCCTTACTCACTGCTACCGAGCACTGTTGGGATACAACCAATTCATTATTAATCAGGATCCCCAAGCCCTTTTCATTTTCCGTACAGATTACTTTCTTACCATTTAAATTATAGTCCCTTCCTGGATTTTTTTTTGGTCCCCATGTGAAGCACTTCGCATTTCCCTGCATTAAATTTCATCTGCCATCGATCTGCCCAATTCCCATAGAAGGTTCGATTCCTCCTGTAACCTATCCTCTTCATCTTTACACTATACTACCTTCAGTAGCTTTGTGTCATCTGCAAATTTAGCCACTGTGTTTGCGACTCCTCGCTCCAGGTCATTTATAAAGATGTTAAATAAAAGAGGTCCCAAAACAGACCCCTGGAGAATTCCACTGGTAACATCATTTGTCATATCCTCACTTGATCCCACCTTCAATGGCCCTATTCCATCGTTTTGTTTTCTCTCTTCCTCTGCTGTCTCCCAATGGATCGCCTTCAAGGTTCTGTTGCCTGACCTACAAATCCCTTAAAAACTTAGCACTTCCCCATCTCTCTGACCTTCTTGTACCCAACTCTTTGGATTGCTCACTCACCCAACTCAGACTTGGTGCCTGTCCCCTGGACTCTCTGTGTCACCCTCTGTAGCCAAACTTTAACCTCTAGAACTCCTTACCTCTCCCCCTCCCACCCAGCCCCGCAATGTCTCATCTCCCTATAATTGTCAATATATATAATCCTTGCATTTCATATAGCACCTCATCATGTTGTTAAGACATCTCAAAGCGCTTCACACAATATACTGTTAATTGACTGCATATTATGTGGGCGAAACCCGGCAGCCAATTGCGCACAGCAGTGTCCCACAAACAGTGGATTGAGTGACCAAATTTTTTTTTTTTTAAGGGATTATTACCCCGGGAAAGCAATCCGACAATCGCCTAACCACCGGATTCCTACTTACTGCTGGGTAAACAGAGGTGTGTAGAGTAAGGAAACTTGCCTAAGGTTTCACCCTGTCCGGGAATCGAACCCGGGTCCTCTTGCTTGCGAGGCGGTTGCTCTAACCAACACGCTACTGGACTCCACAAATCCCGCATAAAACCTACCTCTTTGTCCGTGCTTATGGTCACCTCCCCCCCACTTTCTGCTTACCCTCTATTAAAGGAGGTGCTGTGTAAGTGTCAGATTTTCTCCATCCCATAGTATTGTGAGTGATGAATGATGATGAGAGTATGGAACTCACTCACTCACGCAGTGATTGAAGCAAAACACCATAAATGTGTTTAAATAGTATCTTTAAGTGAGAGAGATAGCCAATTTGCACGGAGCACTGTTCCACAGGTAACCAGGAGGTGAAGAACAAAACCACCAAACAACTTCTTGTCAGTTTCCTTTTTAATATTTCATACCATAGATGAGCGCTAGGAAAGCACATTGTACAAGCGTACGTGAACCTAATGTGATTAATTGGTGTGGGGGTGGGGTGGGGGGCGGGTTGGGGGGTTGGAGGGAAGGAAAGGGAGAGGAAGAGCGGGTGAAGGGAAAAGGGAGTATGATGATGAAGAAAAGAAAAATGATTAAAAAAAATGAAAACAGTTCAAATGCTGCCAAAACCATCAATAAATAAAGTTCGTGAAAAGGTTACATTAAAATATGAACTGTTCTGGATCAAATGGCGTTTTCATATACATTATATACATTTAAAAAAAACCTCTAGCTTGCACCTCAAGTCCACATGGTTAATATAAGTGTCACACTACCTTTTAAATTTACAGCCTTTGGCAGTATAATACAACATAAATGTGTGTGCGTGAACAATACAAGAACAAAGACAAATAGTTTTTTTCTAAGTTAATATTCTCTCACACAAAGGGCACCTTTTCTTCTCCATGTGCATTTGTTTTCTTTGCAAGCAGGTCGTGTCCCATTCATTGCATAACATTGCCTTTATGGTTGAGAAATGAGACTGGGAACCAGATAGGTCAATCTTACACATGTCGCTGGTAAATAGATCAACCACCAGGCTATTGTGAATTGGGGTGGGTGGGGGAGAGGGGGGGGGAATATGTATGTATGTGTGTGAGTGTGTGGGGGGGGGGGGGGTGGGGGGGTGGGAAGGGGGGGAAACGGGAGCGGAAAAGTCCTTGGATCAGTCACTTTGTGTTACACATTTGACCTTGACGAAACAGTGATGCAAAATCATGAACGATTTGAAAGCCAAGAGGTCTCTCTGGCTATCTACAGCTTCGCTGAGTGATTGCATGTTCCTTCTGGTTACGTTTGCAGCTCGGTGCCTCTGCTCACTGTCTTCCCGTGTCCTTGGCGGAGCAGGGCATAAGTAACCGTCGCCCATGCTGGGGGGGGGGGGGGGGGGCAACGGCGATGTCCTTCAGCTGCGACTCCCACCTGCCGAATGTCACCAGGGTTTTCCCACGGAAACACCCGACGCACGTTCCACGTGAATAACAAGATATTAGACTGCGTAATCATTACAAGGAAAACTCGTGTGACAGAACTTGAAACATTCACTCAACTGAACAGTGCAATAATAAAATGCAGTTTTTGTTCAGGAGGGCGGGTGGGGGGGGGGGGGGAGGGCGAGGGGCACGGGAAAGGGGGAAACGGACTTGCATACGGGATCAGGAAAACCGTGCGTCTCGCTGCCTAAAAGCCAAATTGGCACGTTAGTCTTACTCACTGGGATGACAAAGTTGCTAGGTCAATGTGGTGCTAGTGGGAACAATTCATCCCGTGCGTACGGGAGCCCTGGTTAAGGGACCGTCTTAAAGAAAACACAATTTAGAACACCCCCTCTCCCCCCCCACACCTGTCGTCTAACTGCATCCGATACACAGACATGTGCACAGCACACGAATCACCACGTGGCAGATAAGTACTCTATCCTTGGCTGCCAACCACTGAGCTCTACTGCAACAGTTCTGTTGACCGATCTCTCCTTCAACCCCCACGCCCCGCGCCTCCCTCCCCGCCCCCACTTTCTCCCCCTTCCAAAATCCGCAACCGCTGCAATGCTGGTCCGACCAATCCCGCTTTCTAAATAAATAGTTCAGCGCAGTCGGCCCGTTGATTCGTGCAGGGAGGTGAAGGTCACGTGCAGAGGGACACTGGTTCATGCAGGGTTGAGAGAGGGACCAAGACTGCACCGGAGAGTAAAGAGTCTGACCGCATGGATGTAACTCAGCGGGCGCAAACCCAAACCTACGAGCTGCAATTTTGTTGTTGTTGTTGTTGTCCTCGTGAGTCACGAGTCGATGGGTTAAGGCAGGGTGGCCCAACCTTTTGGCTGCTGAGGGCCGGATGCCCTATTTGAGAAACGGGGGGGCCGCATGAGCAACATTTTTGTGTTTCCCTTCCAGAAACATGACAACATTTACGGGTTACGGAGGGAGAGGGTGGACAAAATCGTCACGCGGGCCGGGTGCGGCCCGTGGGCCGGCAGTTGGACCAGCCTGGGTTAAGGTTAAAGTTCACAGCAACAAGAATAGGACGAGAATATTGCAAAAGCAATAAGCCGTGGGTGGGTGGCGGGGGGGGGGGCGGAGGGTGGTATCTTTTAATACAAGTGCATACGTAAGAGGACCAGGACAACTGGTAGACATTATACTACTGCAATGTTGTGCAATGCAGATTGAAATATGATTATGGGCAAGAGTTATTGAGCAGCGAGGATCCATGGAGCTGGTTGCAGTAACAGATGATGGCAGGAAATTCAAAGCAAAATTATATTTGCCGAATGTTGGGGTGGGGGAGAGGAGGGGGAAATGGAGGATAGAGGGGATAGGAAGGAGCAGGTCATCTGTGATAACAGGATGGAATCTTTTCAGCTTTCTTCTCTCTCCGTCTCTCTCTCTCTCTCTCTCTCTCTCTCTGTCTCTTGCTCTGGAGACCCAATTGGCCTTGAAATTCCACCTGGTCTTAGACTGTGACTCTCTATTTGATCTTTAAAAGTCAAGGCTGTGTTGAATTGTTTACATTTTTTTAAAAAATCTTATAATTTAGAATTTCAATTTGGGATTTAAGATTTGCTTGAAGAACCGCAACACCTCCCTACCCCACCACCCCAACCCACCCCACCCACAAATCTCCAAGTAGAGATTAAAGTTTAAGGACTTTTCACAATTCTGCACCGACTTAAAATTTTAAATACAACATTTTGCTGCGGGTAGAATATCAGGGCTTGTCTTGCTCTTGTAAACTCCCCCTCGGAGGTGTGACACTAACACGTTTACTAGAAAATGTGTCTAAAGCCTGCCTGTACTTTGCACTGACGGGTAAAGAAGCCTAATATTGACTATAACCAGAGCCTTAATATCAACGTCATAAAGGTTTAAGATTTGGTAATGTGATGATTTGGAAAGGCTGCATTATAAGAGGAGCTGGCTAACCACATTTTTCCTCTAAGAATTTCTGCAAATGTTAAGGCAACAAAGCCTTAAACGGCTGTGGCAATGTGAACCCACACCTCTGTGTGGCTTGGAGTGTGGGCTGGAGAGGGGAATCTTCACTGCCAAACCCTCACCTTGGCTTGGATAAAGTAGAAAAAGGTCAATTGAGGGAAACACTCAATCAATTGGGGGAATTTGCTCCTTCCCAATGATGAAATGGCCAGCGGTTGGGGGGAGGGAGGATTTAAGGAAAGACTTCCACTCAACAACCCCTCTCAGGTTATTCTCCATCCCATCCTCAACAATGGGGGGAAATAAAATCTCGAAAACCAGGTCCGCTAACTCTTAGTCCAAGAACTTCTGACAGAACGTGAAATGGAATTTACACAGCTAGAGAAGGGATTCAAATGAGACACTTCTACCTAGACTGACACTACACATCATACCAAAACCCAATTCTCCAGGCTGAACTCTCTATTGTCTTTAACCAAGCATTGGGCAGTGTGCTAAAGAGGCCATCCCTTCACTCAGGTCTTGATTGTTAAACCTCACGGTCTACTCTACACCGTATTACATAGTGACCCAAACTAGTTAAACAATGCATGCTCTAAATATACAGAGATGGAGTGGATGGGCATGGGGAGAGGAGATGGGGAGGGGACGGTTAATTCAGATGATTTAGTGAGACATTTACACCTCCGCAAAACATTTAGCATTGTTGAATTGAACGAGCTACGTGTGTTTTAGTTTAGTTTTGTGTTTTGGTTGAAAGCTACTGTATTTTCAACTATATACGTTTCACTGGAGGAGGGAGGGTGAGGCAGGGAGAAAATGCCCACGTCTAAATCACTAGAGCAAGCAGTCATCGACATGGCAAGACGCATTTGGTTAAGTTTTCCTATCAGGTCTCAACTTTTCCAAACGTCCCCTCCGGGGGCCTGTAATGTTTGGGGAAGGCCTTCAACTGGAGAGTGTTAAATGCGTACTTGCGACAGCCAACGTTCTTCATGGTGTTTTCACGCCGGCATCCCTCGCTGGGGGAAGAAACAAGCACAGATAATGATAGCAGTGAAGAAGGGAAACCCAAAATAGAAATAAAAAGAAAAATAAATATATATATATATATAAATTAAACAAACAAAATAAAGGTAATAGACTCGGAAGGACAACAGTGAGATGAGAGTTTGGTTCATCGTACAAAGAGACAATTGAATGGCAAGCAGTGATTATGTGCTACTTAAGTAACATGTGCTTTGCAGCCTGTGATTTGGATGTTGACTGTTTTATGCAACTTTTGTAAACATTTCCATTCCATCTAAAAAAAAGTTAGTTTTTTTTGAATAAATTCTTGTTAACGACACATCCCAAATACTGTTCCCAATCTTTTTGGGGTGGGGGCTAAGGTGGAGGGTTGGAGGGAGGATGGGGCAGTGTCCAATGCATGTGGAAACACAACAATCGTCATGCTTAAGAGTATCCACCTTCTAGGCAAGGAAATTTCCCTGTGTATGGAATGGAACCCACCCTCTCTCTCTCTCTCTCCTTGGAGGGATCATAATAATAATAATAAGAGTTGTTGTGTACAGGAAAAACACTTCATCATGTTCCTATTCCACTTTAATAATAATAATCCTCGCATTTGATATAGCGCTTTTCACGTCTTCTCGACGTCTTAAAGCGCTTCACAGAATATACTGTAAAGTGAATCGCCTGTATATTCGTGGGCGAAACTCAGCAGCCAATTGCGCACAGCGGCGTCCCACAAACAGTCGTGGATTGAAAAAAACTTTATTTATTATTTTTTGTTTTGGAGAGATTATGATGAGGCGTGTGGAGTAAGGAAACTTGCCTGAGGTTTCGCCCCCCCGCCTGGAATTGAACCCAGCGGTCTCGCTTGCAAGACGAGTGCTCTAACCCCTGAGCTACGGGACTCCACCCTCCACGATGCACCCTGCTTACCTAACTCCAGAGAGCAGTGGGTGCAGGGTTTGAGAGCCAAAGCTTGGGGACCCAGAGTGTGTGCTGGGGAAACTGCTGGAGTCTAACCAGCTAAAACCATCCACTACACACGGAAATTTCCTGTGTTTGGAAAGGAAATTTCCCCTGTGTTTGAAATTCACACTCTCTCCCCCGCTTTATCACACCCCAATTTTATCGATTGGATCTCAACATTCAGTTTATACATAAAAACCCACACACGTACGTACACACACACACACACGTACACACACACACAGAGTTCGCCAAATCAGCATCAGAAATTGCGCAAGAGGGCTGGAGAGGGAACAGAAACCAAATTGCCAGCTCATAAATAACAGTTATTAAAACACCGGCAGCTCACTTATTTACTTTCTTACTGACTGTCGCAGATATGATGAGAGACAGAAGTTCTGGCAGGAAACAGAAGAACAACAGACAAGCAGTACTCGCACACACACACAAAACCTGCATTCGTATCGCGCCCCTGATGCAGGGTAGCACACCGAGCACTTAAACACACACCCACGCACGCACGCACGCACATGCACACCACAGACAGTCCCGTACCTCGGAGAATAATTGCATTTTAAAAAAATATAGAACACACTAGAAAGTGGCAGTAAGTTACGACACTGGAGCAAATTCGGTAGCTGCGTAAACGGAACCAGTGCAGGATTTAATGATTGCTACAAACCAGAGGCGTCTGTGCTGCTACAACAATGGAGCAAAATGCAGTACAGCAAATGCTATTCCATTTACACGGTCAAATCAGTCGCCTTTAAAGTGCCACCCACCCAGACGTGAGAACAGGTCCAGCGTTGTTTTTTTTTAAAAAAAAAGTGCAGGAAGCAAGTTAATTCGAGAAAGCTATAATGTTCTACTTCAACGCGCTTTCGGGGTTATAGAAATTCTCCCTGGGTCTGGAAGTTTACGATTTATTTTTCCTGTAAATTTCTTTTCTAAGAACTCACAGAAAACCAGCTTTAAGTTGAGACTCGATTCAAATCATTTGTCAAAAATTCTAGCAAATCCTCAATCGCGAGTCTTAATATTTTGATGCCGTTTTCCCTGTCAGTGTAAGTCACCTTTAAGAAACTTACAGAAAACCCACTTAGAAGTTAAGACAACTTGCCAACATTCTGGTATAACAAAATGTTCCATCAGAATAATAATCTTTGCAGTTGACATAGCGTAGCGCCTCATCACGTGTTTGAGATGTCTCAAAGTGTGAGAATATACTGAATGTACTGTGAAATTAATTGATATTTTATGGGCGAAACATGGCAGCCGATTGCGCACAGCAGTGTCCCGCAAACAGTCGTGGATGTTTTTGACCAAATTATTATTATTATTATCTTATTTTTTTTGCAGGGATCCACCAATCAACTAACAACTGGATACCTGCTTACTGCTTGTTGAACAGATTCGTGTGGAGTAGGGAAACTTGCTGAAGGTTTCGCCCTGCCCGGGAATCGAACCTGGGACATCTCGCTTGCGAGGCGAGTGCTCTAACCAATACACTGCAGGACTCCACATAAATAAGAAGGATAAATCCAGACTCAGAGGAAATTTCTCCCCCATTTCAAAAGAATTTTAAGTGCAAAGCTTTTTTTTTTGTCTTCGGTTAAATGCAGAGAGAAGCGTATTTTGGAGTAGGTTTTACCACTTATTATTATTGTTTTTTTTTTTCCTTTCTCCCTTTCCTGAAAAAAGTGCTGCAGTTTCAGAGCTCGGAACAGAAAAGAACATTACAATAGAACAGTCACACACAACAGCTAACAGAAAGGTAGAGACTCCACTCCAAAGGCATAGAAAGAAAGGGTTTTGAAATAAAATTCGTGAAAATAAATACATTTTCTTTTCCAAAAGGAAAGAGAGAGAAAAAACACTCTGGGAGGTAATGGCAATACTTTGCGGTCATATTATATTACAAGTGTTTAAATGTATACAGTAGATAAGCTCTCTTTCATACACCCCTTTATATTAAGCTTTGATAAAATGATATATACATAAAGTACAGTATAAAGTTCGGACATTTGTAAGGCATATTTTATGGCTGACAATTGTATTGCACAATCTTCTGTTCAGTGGTTGTTGAGCATTAAGTATTTGAGCTCGAGTTATTTTTAATAACTTGGCATTTATTTTTAATAACTTGGCTTGGCATTTTTAAATTTGCGTCTTCATTGGCATCGAAATCTGGCCAGCAGATAGGCTAGGCTAAGAAAGACCCAGACGACCATTAAATTGGGACTAAGAGCGAGCAGAGGGATGGAATAGAGAAGGCTGGGGTCAAGCCTGTAATCGCGGATAGGCGCCAGGCCACTCAAATTCTTCTGCGTCACTATCTCGCGGGTTCCAATGCTGTGAAAAGGAGAATGGAGAAGATGGCGGGGAGGGGAGAGGGAGAACGGGGACATGCAGCAAATATAGCATAAAAAATAGCCAAGAATAGTCCAAAGGGAAACAAAGGGGGAGATAGAGGAAGGAGGTAAGAGGAATTTTGTGGGGAGGGAAGGAAAAGGGGAAAAAAAATCAAGAGATTCCACACAAAGATTTACAAAGAAAACAAACACAACATTATATTTATCCCCCCCCACACCCACCGCCCGACCCCCAAAAAAAAACCCCAACAACGCACAACACAGCAAATCGAGAAAGAAAAGTGGCCCAAAACAAAAAACGACGACGACGACACATTAGAAAGAGAAAGAGTGAAAAAAGAGAAAAAAAGAGAAAAGTTGAAACTTTCGAAAGAATGGCAAAAAAATGGTTTTTCGTGTTCAGTCTGCGTGCGCCGGTACTGCGCGACATGCTGTAAAATACCCTCCACCGCCACACCCCCCCCCGCCGCCCCTCCGCCCGCCCACCCCCCCAGAGTGACATGTTCCCGACTCCGCAAGCAAACTGAACGTGAACAACCATCCTCGTAGTTAACCCTTGCTCACCCTCCTCAAAGAAAAGAGTGGGACTAACACCACCCGTCCCCCCCTCCGCATAACCCCATGATCCATGTAATGTTCCCGCAAAGATTGAGCCGGTGTTTTCAACGGATTGACCGCAAAAATAGAGGAGGCCAAAAATAATTGCATCTGCCTCCGGCTGTGCGAGTGTAGGAATGACAAAGGCAATATATGTGAGACTACTTTAAACTGATCCCTGCAGGTGTTTGAATGATTTGTAGCACAATGTCATTTTTAAAATATCTGGGATCAGATAAAATGCTCAAATGTGCTGCGTACAATGTATTTGAGTAAATGGTGTGGTGCATTTCATCTGGTGGTCATTGAACGCAAAATTATGTTTTTTTTTAATTGAAATGATTCCAAACTAAGCCTCTGCCCTTTTTTTCATTGCAAACGAGCAGTATTGTGAAACGCTAACGTTGACCATCATTGTATAGTGTACACACTTCAAGATTCCACCCCTGCCAAAAATTGGCCTTATACTTGATGCAGCTCCTTTCATGTCGGGAGGATGTCTCAGAGACCTTCACAGGATACATTGTAAAGTACAGTCACTGTTGGGTTTTGTGGATGAAAGCGACAGCCAATTTGCACATGGGAATGTCTCATGGACAAGAGGGGATCAATTTGAGGTAACTAACAAACACACAAATGGGAAGGTTAGGAGAATGTTTTGTGATGGATGGAGCAGTTGGTTGAGGCAACTTTCAATAGGCAACTAGATAAATATCTAACAAGAAGTATCTACAGGGGTATGGGGAAAAGGACAGGTAAATGAGACTGAAATGATTGCTCTTTAAAGAGCTGGCACAGACAGGATGGACTGAGTGGCCTTCTTCTGCGCTGTAAATGTTCTTTGTGGCATGTTTTTGGAGGACACCTTTCACCCCATTTTCCTGCCAGTTCCTGGGAACTATTCCTTGGAACTATCCTAGGAATAATCCTTGCATTTGATATAGCGCTTTTCACGTCTTCTAAACGTCTCAAAGCGCTTCACAGAATAGACTGTAAAGTAAATTGACTGTGTATTTGTGGGCGAAACGCGGCAGCCAATTGCGCACAACAGTGACCCACAAACAGTCGTGGATTGAAGTGACCAATTTATTATTGTTTTTTTTTCTCTTGGGGGGTTATTATTATGCGTGTGGCGTAAGGAAACTTGCCTAAGGTTTTGCCCTGCCGGGAATTGAACCCAGCTCTCTTGCTTGCGAGGTGAGTGCTCTAACCACTGAGCTACAATACCGTGATGATATACTGCCTCATCACATCATTGAGGTGTCTCAAAGCGTCTCCACTTGGGAAGTGCGTACAATACAATGACTTTATCGCTTTAAAATATTGTCCGTTCGTAATAAAAAGTTGTTTGTTGAAATAATTGTAATGACCGGCATATGTATTTGTTTAGAAAAAGAAACCCACTCCTTTGAAATATTTGGGAGAGACAGGGTTAAGTAACGGGTAAACACAGAAATAAAGGATAAGAGAGTTGAAAACTACAAAGAACTTTGAGACAAGGTACACAACAAACTATTTCAACCTCAGCGAGTCTAACACAGGGTTTACATCTCCCCTTTTTCAGTGGTGTACAAATTCGTATCCTTTCTTCTGAATCTTGTCAGTTCAGAACAAGCTCGAAAAATCAGCGATGAAATTTCTTTGTGCTATTTCCTCTCCCAACCCCCCCCCCACCCCACAGGAAAGCGATTTAATAAAGGATTTATTTTCTCGTGTTCGTGACACTTAATCGAACAGGCAAAGCAAAAGACGACGGGATGAACAAACAATGAAGACCATTGAAGAAGAAAAGAAAGCTTACGGCTGTTCATAAATGGAGTTTAATAAGAAAAACAACATTTAAAGCTCTGCTCTGGGTGGTGGTGGGTTTAGTGCAGCTTGGCAACAAGGCTTTATTGTGGCATTTCCTTGTTATTTGGTCCGGCTGTTTGACACATGCGGAAACCCACCACTATGCTTAAAAGTATCCAAACCAAACTGAAATTTCCATGCATCCCATTTACGCATGGAAATCCCAGAGATAGATTGTTGGAGTGGAATGTGCACTCTCTCCCTGGAGGGATGCATCCTACTTGCCTAATTCCGGAAAGTATTAGGCGAAGGTTGGCGAGAGCCAAGGCTTGGTGACCCCAGAGTGTGCATGCATTGGGGTAACTCCTGGAGTCTAACCATTTCCCATTATACCCACCCATCACGATCGACGGGCTTTCACATAGACTCAGTGGCATAACAAGGCTCTAGGGCGGCCTGGTGGTGCAAGGCTCTAAACTTTCACTTACCTTTACCATCTCAGTCTCCTCGTGTTCTCTCTCTCCTCCCCTGGTGAAGCGCAGGTGTGATGCGGAAACGGGGAGTGAGAGAACACGAGTGGTTCTGCTGCACAACTTAATACCGCTCAAGCTATTGCCCCCACCCCCCCACCACCGCCTCTCTCTTGTCCACACAGGAGCATTTTTGCAGAAAGCATGGTTGCGGGCTGAGCGATGGGAACGGATGCAAACTGCAGAGTGTCATTTGTTCAGTGGCTCTGGGCAAGTATAGAATCATAGGATCTTACGTCACAGAAGGAGGCCCATCACGGCTGTGCTGACTTTTTGAAAGACCTATTCAACTAGTCCTACCCACTCTCATGCTCTTACCACAAAGCCCTACAAGTTGTTTCCTTTTCAAGTACATATCCAATTCCCCTTGGGAAGATAATATCGAATGGGTTTTTTTTGGGTCAGAGGGGAAGAGAGGTCTTTCGACCCGTTATATTGAGATCGGTCTTTGCCACCTCCAATGAAGGATAATGTCCCGATTCCCTGCTCTTTTCCCGGCGTTACTGCACTTGCTCAACGACCGCAGGCCTGCTTCACGTCGTCAGGGTGGGCCATTCCATCCCCATCTCTGGAATCTCATTGCGGGTCCCTCCACCCCACCCTCTCCCTTCCCACTTGAAAAGCCCTCTTTGAGACTTAACGCTTTCACAGTGCTATCAGTCATCTCTCCCGCCCTCGCACTCCCCAACGTCCTTCATCTCCCCTCCAGGGCTCGAGTGCTCACCCAACTGCGTAAGGCACTTTGGGACGTTCTCCCAATGTGAAAGGTGATAAAAATGTAAATTGTACTGTATGAATCCCGATCCAAAATTAACATTCAGACCCCAAAATGCAAACACAACTTGCATTTGCTGGTCTAAGTGTTCATCTCGACTTGGCAACCAGGTCTGGTCTGAGCTACGCCATGTAATTCCTGCCAACTGAGTCAGTCATTTGGTTAATAAATAATATCCCAAAGAAACTGCAAAAATCATCAGTTTGCCACAATCTCACGCTTAAGAATTCTGTGTACAAATTTTTCGCTCACAAAATACACAGAGCCACAAATTTAAAAAATTATCCTTACATTTGGTATTCACGTCAGGAGTATATCCAAAGTGCCTTACAGAATAAACTGTAAAGTGACTGGATGTTTTGTAGGAAAACACGGGAGCAAATTTGCACACTGATTGTCCCACAAATAGTGAAGTGAACGACCATTTTTATTTTGGGGGATTGATGACTAGGGCATCAGGAGGAATTCCCTTTTCTTTTCTTTCAAATGGTTGCTAACTCTTTCTCGATGCACCAATACAGTCTGATCTTATGATGCAAATTAACACACGCACTTCAGTTGTATTGATCTGGGTGTACGAAAAGTGCCATTTTTGCTGGCAGGATGTCTCAAAGTGCTTCATAGAACTTTCAATCTAAAGTGTAGCGGCTGTGTATTTTGTAGTAGGCGAACACGACTTTAATGATGATATCAGCTTCTTGGGATGTCCTCCCAATGTGAAAGTCAATATATTGACACAATTGTTGTCTGCTGTTGTTGTTGATATCTGTCCAATTCCCTTTGAAACAATATTATATACTTTGCTTCAACTGCTGTTGTTGGTCTAGTGTTACCATGTCCCAATACCCCTGTGTAAAAGAACTCTATCCTCACCTTTATATATTTTTGTTTAGTAACTCATGCCCTCTAGTCACTGACTCAACGATTAGTGGAAACAGCTTCCTGCCTATATTTACTCGATCGTAACTTATGAAAAACCTCCAGCATGACCTCTCTAAATGTGAGACAGGGTTATGGTTCCAGAGTTACATTGGTAAGACTGTACTGAGGAATAATTGCAATAAGTCAGGACCCCTCACTCCGCCTCACCAAAACTGGCTTAAGAAACAAATGGGAATAACTCAGTGGCAAGAGATGGGAGTGTTGGCTTTTCTCACTCTGGCTGCTGTGTAGACTTTGATGGTGTTGAAAATGAGACAGTCAGTACTTTAATCAACTGCACGTAAAGCTATTAAAGAATAGCCACAAGTTTAAATGTGGCTGTAAAAGTCATGCTAGGCTGTCACTGAGATAGTCATTTTGTTATTAGATCAGCCAGGTGTCTAAAACACATAGAAACCATCACCGTGCTTAAGAGAGTCCAAGACTGAGTTCAGCATCTACACATGAGAAAGTCCCTGTGTCTGGAGTGGAATGCACGCTCTCTCCCCAGAGAGATGCACTCTGCTTACCTAATTCCAGACAGTTTGAGGGGTAATTTGGCGAGAGCTAAGGAGTAGTGACTAGTAGATTAGCAGGATACATGCCTCCAGAGAGAGAGTGCGAAATCTATTCGAATAAATAGCTCATGAATGTGTAGGTGGGACGTATGGAATTCTCAGTTTGATTTGGATACCCTTAAGCATCGTGATGGGTTTGTGCAGGTGTCAGACACTCGACTGACCCAAAAAAATATTGTCCTGCTAGGACCACCCAATCCATTGGGGCTTTGGCTTGCAGGGCTAACAGTAAGTGGGAAGAGTCCCTGACCTTGGTCTGCCCAACAGCTGCTGCCGACTAGTAAGACTTATCTTACTTTGGTAAGAGCAGTTACCATTATTACTGATTGCTGCCACATTTACAGTCATGCTTCTGAATACAACACCTCTCACTGAAGCAGAATTGAGTCACATTTTGCCTGCCTGATGGAGCTCCATCACGGGGGGGAGGGGGAGAAGAAGTGGAGGAGTGGGCGTGGGGGGGGGGGGTCAATAGACTGGTCACTGAAGTACTACTCCGTCTGCAGTTTGCAACACCCCAAAGTCAAAGCGCTGGGTTTCAGGTCAAGCAGCTCGCGGGCAGGCCAGCCATTCAAGCCGGTGGGGGTGAAGCTTACCTCCTCATGCAGTCCAAGGCCTGTGTGAAGACCTGTGGGGCCATCCCATGCTCATGTTGGAGAATCAGGCACTGCTCCAAGGTGATGGACATCGCTGTCCTGTCCTTGGCACTTTTACAGCTCGTGAATCGAACACCATTCAATCGACGGCAAATCTGAGAAAACGTAAATAATAAGAATAATCCTCGCATTTGATATAGCGCTTTGTCAGGTCATTGAACCGTCTCAAAGCGATTCACAGAGTATAGTGTAAAGTGAATTGACTGTGTATTTTGTGGTCAAAACGGAGCAGCCAATTGCTCACAGCAGCGTCCAACAAAGTCGTGGATTGAGCAGCCTAATTTTTTCAATAATGTCACATTGGAAAGATTTGTAGATAAACACAGGAATTTGTACACAGCAAAGCCTGACAAACAGCCTCGGAGCCAGCCACCAACTCCATCTTGTGCGACTGTTGGCCAAAACACTGGGAAGGAACTCCCTTTACTTTCCAAATAGTGAGGGGAGCTGAGGAAGATGGTTGAGGAGGAAGGTGTTTGATCTTAAGGTCTTAAGGTGGATGTTAAATATGTGGTGGGAGCTGGTCAGGATGGAATTCCAGAGAGTGGGGCAGAATGTCTGAGAGCTCGTGGGGCTGGTCAGGCGAGGGACGTGATGATGGGTGAGCGGAGGGAACAGTTGGGGAGGTAGAAGTCAGGTGGGGATGAGGTCGTGGAGGGATGTGCACCACAAGTGATCGACAAGATGTTGAATAGGCCATTCACAATGGGACGGAGTTAGAAGGTGGTTAAGTGGCTGCGAGAGGTAAAACAGCCGCCTCCACTGCAAACAGAGGGGGTTTACCTCAGCAGCTTGCCAAAGGATATCAACATTCTTGTTTTTTCGTGCGTGGACGTTTTGCCCGAGAAATCTCAGCAGCTCCGGCAGACACGTCTGACTGCGGGATCGAGGCAGACCTGAAGAAAATCAGCGAACGACTTGCATTTACATATAATAATTCTTGCATTTGATATAGTGCCTTAACACATCGTCTATTGAGACATCTCAAAGCGCTTCACAGATTATACTGTAAAGTAAATTGACTGTATATTTTGTGGGTGAAACCCGGCTGCCAATTGCGCACAGCAGTGGCCCACAAACAGTAGTGGATCGATCGACCAAATTATTATTATTTGTTCATTTATTTATTTTTGAAGGCATTATTACCCCCAGAAAGTGATCCGCCAATCGACTAACACCCGGATTCCTACTCACTGCCAGGTAAACAGAGGCACATGGAGCAAGGAAACTTGCCTAAAGGTTTGCCTGACCGGGAATCGAACCTGAGTCCTCTCGTCTGCGAGGCGAGTGCTCTAACCAATATGCTGTGGGATATAGTGTCCTTCACGCGGGGTAGTGCTTAACAATGGTGTAGTTTGACTCCGAGCCCAGGAGAAAGGCGAGGTGACCGTAGGCACAGTGAAAGAGGAAGAAGAGAGACCCTAACCGAAAGGGCTTTAGCACACCAGCCGTGGTAACCTGTTCATGGATGTGGTCGAGTGTGAGTTTCTACTGAAGGCTCATTCATGTTCACGGAGATTAGTGTGAACAAAGTAACCAAACAAAGGGGACTTTTGAGCTGTAATTGATACCCACATTAAATCTAACAATTTTATGGCACTTAACACACCGATTATAATAATCCTTCATTTGGACATCTAGAAGCGCATCACAGAATTTACTGCAAAGTGAAGTAACTGTGTAGTTTGCAGGCAAACACGGCGGCCAATCTGCACACTGCAATTTCCTACCAATAGCCATGACACTGGGAAAAACTCCCTTCTTTTTCTGAATAACCTCAAGGGGATCTTTAATGTCCACCTGAATAGGCAGATGGGACCTCAGTTTTAACATCTCATCTGGAGGGTGGCACCTCCGACAATACAGCACACCCCCAGCACTGCACTAGAATGTCAGCCTAGACTACAAGCTCAAAGTCCGACGTGGGGCTTGAACCACTCAGAGCCGAGAGTGCTACCAACCGAGACAGGCTGACACATGATTAAGTCCCCTGGTGTGGTGGAGATTGATGTGCATTGCAACCCACTTTCTTAATGTCCCTACCAAAGAGCTGGCTGCATTGGACTTCCAGCTCACTGACCAAGACCTGGGTTCAGCTTCTGAACTGAAGGACGGCAGCTCTGTCAATGAAGAGCTCTCCCAGCACTGCGCTAATAACATTCTCAACCAAGCCCCGAATTCTGCAGGAGAAACCCATTGGTAATGATCAAAACGTGGCTTTCTGTGCAGCTGCTCTGGCTTACGAGTCAAAGGAAAGCCTGGCAGCTATGATTTCTGAGGAAGTATCTCGTGGATATTGAACCACAAACAGTGCAGTTATTTTCCTCAGGAACTCAAGACGTTTAGCAATTAAGTCCATACGCACGCACAGATTGAATTAGGCTGCTCTCAGTTCACGTAACAGTGATCTTTATGTCTCAAATCTCAAACCAATCCATGAACAGGCTCTGTATCGTTACAAAGATTCAAATAATAATAATAATCCTTGCATTTGATATAGCGCCTTATCGCGTCTTCTAGATGTCTCAAAGCACTTCACAGGATATACTGTAAAATGAATTGACTGTATGTTTTGTGGGTGAAGCACAGCAACCAATTTGCCCAACATTTAGCTTATAGCGTTCTATCCCGGCTTCGAGACATTTAAAAACGCTGCACGGAATATACTGTAAATTGTAGAGACTGTGTATTTTGTGGTGAAACGCGGCAGCCAATTGCGCACAGCAGTGTCCCACACGTTTGCTGACGCAGCTGGGTGTTCGTTGGTGGCGACAAGGTGTCAATATTGCAAACCATATTTTCGTGTACTTACAGTCATCCGGCAAAACCTCCTTGAACTGTTCGTAGTAGGAGTTGAGGCGACCCAGACTCTCTGTGTTAATGATCTCTTGTAAGGACGTGTCTCCAAACCTGGTCCGTACAGAGCACAAAGAACCTCACAGTTACTTGCATGATATTAAACGATCAAAACTTAGCCACTGGGGGAGTGGGACAGGAATTCTTCCCACTCGACTTTTGTTAATTCTGCAAGTGAAAGCCTTAATGATTGCCTAAAGTGTTGTCAGACAAGCAGTGGGACACTTTATAAAGCAATATTTATTTGACTGAATTCCAGAAGTACTTCAAAAAACTCTTTGCTGTCCCCAAGTCTTGACAACTACCAATTAATACCCAATATTTATGCAGGATGTGTCCTTCTATATATATGTATATATTTAGAGAGAGAGAGTGAGCTCTCAGTTCCAGAGGTAATTTTATCTCTGAAAAAATGGCTTACTGGAGATCATGATCAAAACTCAGAACTTTTTCAGAGAGGTAAATGTTCTTTCTCTCATGTTTCCTTACAGTTGGGGCCAGATGGTTTGGGATAAAACCAACAAATACAAAACAAGTTTACGTTTACAAAGCGCCTTTCATGTCAGAAGGACATCCTAAGGTGCTTAACGGTCTGCGGGGGGAAGGGAAGGGGAACGATCACCAAAAGCGCAGTCAAAGATCTTGGTCTTAAGACGGACCTTGAACAAGGTGGGGGAGGGAGCGAGTCGGAGGGACTCTGGGGTGGTGTTCCAGAAAGTGAGGGCAGGAAGCCTGACTGTTGGTGGTGGGACAAGTAGGGTAGGTGGACATGTAGCAGGCCGGTGCCCTCTGAGTACTAGGAACTTCAGGAACGGTAATAATAATCCTTGTATTTGATATAACACCTTACCACGTCTTCGAGATGTCTCAAAATAACTGTATATTTTGTGGGCAAAATGCCACAGCCAATTGTGCACAGCAGTGTCCCACAAACAGTCATGGATTCAGTGACCAAATTATTATTTCGTTTCATTTATCTATCTTTTTTTGAAGGGATTATTAACTTCAGAAAAGCGATCCCCCAACTGACCAAAAATGGGTTCCTACTTACTGCTAGGTTAGCAAAGACAGGCATGTGCAGTAAGGAAACTTCTAACCCAGGCAAGTGTTGTAATCAACATGCTACAGGACTCAACAGGCAGTGTTTGAGAAGGTCACAGAGGTAGGTTGAGTCAAGGCAAAGCCTTGAGCTGCAAGAACTGGTTTAAGGAAAAAAAGAAAAAGCTCAGTGGCAGGAGATATGGGTGTGGTGTTTTCTCAGCCTGGTTGCTGTACAGACTTTGAAGGAGGGTGTTGGTTTTGAGACAATTAGTATGTTAATGTTACTGCTGTTCAAAGCATGCTTTAACTGTGGCTGTAAAAGTTATTTTTCTGGCATATGCAGAAACCTATCGCCATGCTCAAGAGTATCCAAATCAGACAGAATGCCGAGGATGTATGATACCTTCTAGTAGACTTTCCCTGTATTTGGAATGGAATGCAAACTCTCTCTTCCTGGACTGACACAGCTTGCTTACCCAATTCTGCATAGTATTGGGTTCAAGTTGGTGAGAGTCAAGGCTTGGAGACCCCAGAGTAAACGTTCCACTGGAGTTTAACCACTAAAACCGCATAGTTTGCCATTGTCTGATAAGATTTCCGCTGTTTATCCACATGGGACCACCCTGTCCGTTAAGGTTTTGGCTTGCGGGGATAACAGGAGCTGAGTGGGAAGAATCTTTGCCTCCAGTAAATTGGGATACAAAGGGCATTGAAAAAAAACTAAAGAGTAATTGAAGCATTGCAGCGATAGCATTACAATTATTCCTCCCCTCCCCCACAACCCCACCCCAGCGTCTGCAAGTAGTACATACTTCTCAGCGAGGGTCTGCTGTTCATTGATGCCCACATTGAACAGCACAGGCTGCACTCGCAGTAACATGCCGCTCTGGATCTCCCTGGGTAAGGCCTCAAACATGGCACTTGGCAGTGGGATTCGTACATTAAACCCATCTCTGTGAAAACCAGACATTACGTGAGAATCTAGTGCCTCTTCGGCGGTGCCTAATGCCACCTCCCCCTCCACTCAGCAACGGCTCGCTCGGCATCCAACCCTACCACTGTGAAGAGCTCCAAGATGTTGTAACACAAAGTTACAGGCTCTGTCCAAATACATGTTGTTGTGGCCAGTCAGTATTAACATTTGATTCCAATTGAGAAGCCAATATTCGCATGCAAAATCATAAGGGTGAGGGGAGGGGCAGGGGAGCGCTGTAGGGGAGATGTCATGGCGGAGGTGAGGATGGCTGAATGGGTCAAGGGACGGATGTGGGATTTAAAGGACAGTTGTGGGTCAAACAGGACATTGAGGTTCCAAACTGGCTCAGTGAGGTGAAGAGTGCATCTGTGAATAGAGATGCTGTCAGCGCCTGAGGTTAGGAGGTGCTGACGGGAGCCAAGCAGGAGGGCCTTGGCCTTCCACGTTTGCGATCCAACCCCAACTAGGTCAGTGGCCTTTACTCTTCACCACATGTACCTAAAAACAATAACAAATTTTGCCAGAGAGGCAATAATCAAAGAGCACTTACCGGTTCCCGGTGATAACGGGCAGCATGTCAACGGATGACGTAGACATAGCCTGGATCACCTTGAAAGTTACGTTCCGTAAATCCGTAATTCCCGTGTTCATATCTTCAAGCATCGCAAGTTCTTCTCCTGCACAAAACACACATTCATTTTCATTATTATTATTTACAATATTATTTATAATAATCCTTGAATTTGACATAGCGCCTTATCACGTTGTTAAGATGTCTCAAAGCGCTTCACAGAATAAATTGTAAAGTGAATTGACTGTATTTGTGAATTGTGGGCAGAACGCGGCAGCCAATTGCGCACAGCAGTGTCCCACGAACAGTCCTGGATTGAATGACCAAATTATTATTATATATAATATTTTTTTAGAAGGGTTTATTACCCCCGGAAAGCGATCTGCCAATTGACTAACAACCAGGTTCATACTTACTACTAAGTAAACAGAGGCGTGTGGATAAGAAAACTTACCTAAGGTTTCACCCTGCCTGGAATCGAACCCGGACCCTCTCGCTTGTGAGGCGCAAGCTCTAACCAATACGCTATAGGACTCCACAGAATCCACATATTGATAATAATGTCACTGTTCTTTACACTAACTGGAATATCAGCCCATAGTGGAGCAGTATCTCACCACTACTCCCCCAACAACAACAACTTGTGCCCTCCACGCAGGGCAGTGTCTCAGAACGCTTAACAAGTGGCGGAGCCTGACTCCAAGCCGGGGGGGAAGGGGGAGGTGGCCGTAAGCACGGTCGAAAAGGAAATTTTTCAGGCCGGATTTGAAAGAGGGGAGAGAGGGGGCAAGGTGGAGAGATTGAGGGAGAGAGTTCCAGAGTTTTGGGGCTTAGTGGCTGAAAGCACGACCTCCGATGGTGGGGCGGAGGGTGTGAGGGATGAGCAGGAAGCGCCGGCTGGTGGATTGGGGAGTGAGGAGATCGGAGAGAGAGGGAGGTGCCAGGGAGTGAATGGATTTGAACACGCTCGTGGAGCCAGTGTAACAAACAGATGCAGTGTTACAACCAAAGCAAAGATGTTCATCAAACGCCTTACCATATGTGCTTAAAAGGCCTTCAAACTGTGCCAGCAAACCAATGGTGTAAAGCTGCCTCAGAAATCCGTCATCACGAAGGCAGTTCCTCAGCTTGATGATGAAGCCACAGATCAGTGCGGTGAGCTGCGGCGAAGTCAAAGAAAAACATAACGTTGAATCCCACCAATAAAATCACACGTCACCAGCATATGTCATCACTCGGCAATAATAATACTAGTAATCCTTGCATATGATATAGCGCCTGATCACGTCTTCAAGACGTCTCAAAGCGTTTTACAGAATATATTAAAGCAAATTTACTGTGTATTGTGTGGATGAAATGTGGCAGCCATTTACACGCAGCAGTGGATTGAATGACCAAATTTGTTTTTGAGGAATTTTTAACCCCCGGTAAGCAATTCACCAATTGACTATCAACCGGCTTCCGACTTACCCACTAGGTAAACAGAGGTGTGTGGAGTAAGGAAACTTGTCTAAGGTTTTGCCCTGTCCGGGAATCGAACCCAGGTCCTCTCGCTTACGAGGCGAGTGATCTAACCACTAAGCTACAGGACTTCACTCCAGGCAACAAAGAGCATTTTATTCAAAATGTGTTATAACAAGGCTCTACCTTAGCCAAACAACCCCCGAAGAGAAAGAACACGAAAGGGCCCATGGAGAAAGTCCAAGCCTCCCTCAGAAATAAAGGCACAAAGAACACATGTCTGTGCCCCTGTCTGCCATCAATGACTGTTTACATCATTCATCCTGCCTGCCAGGCATGTGACAAAACCAACTGACCGGCACAGTGGAAACGTATCATGTGCTCTGGGCTTGTCTGGTCTGTTACCTCAGATATTTATAGTCGTTGATGGCAAGGACATATGCGAGAAGCATTCAAAGCAAAATTATTAGAAACATCTTGGGAAAGAAAGTTTTGGCAATAATGTTCTTTGACACAAGACTTGATTTCAATGTTTGTCTGAAGTTCTGCCAAACTAGAAACTAGAGCTGTGGTTCCCATGGCTTCTTCGGATATTCTTCCCACTCGGGTCCTCTTAACCCTGCGAGCTAAAGCCCCAACAGGTAGAGTCGGGTGGCTTTAGCCAACCAAGCAGCAGGAACCCTATCAGACAGTTATCTGAATGGCAAGCAATGCACACCCAACAGTACCTCAATGCACACTCTGGGGTCATTAAGCCTTAGCTCTCGCCAATCTGCATCTAATACTCTGCTAAATAAGGCAGGGGGTGTCCCTCCAGGGAGAGTGCGCAGATTCCATTCCAGACACATGGAAATGTGAAGGTGGCAAACATATGTGGGAACTCAGTTTGCTTTGGACGTTCTGAAATGTGGCATTGGATTTCTGCATCTGTCAGACACCTGGTTGACCAAAAACAATCTGGAGTTTCAGCCAGGAACTCAAATGAACGTACATACAGGCTGATCCTGTTATAAATCAGTGGTTTAGATATGTATACAAATAAATATATATATATAAAAATATATATACTGTGCGTCACAACAGAGCAAGCTATCAAAATGGCCATTGGTTGTTGGACGCTTGCAGGTCTATGTTCAATGTTGAGGAAGCTGGACAGTCTACAGTAAAAGCTGTAGGTATTCCACATTTTCCGTATACTATGGGTCCGATACCACAATGCTGGGAGCACACCCGTTCCATGGTGGATCCACTGTAATGGTAGGCTGAAAGCCCGCCTATCTGCCCCCACTCTCTGGAACGCCATCCCAGAGTCCCTCTGACTTGTTCCCTCCCTCACATCATTCAAAGGTTCATCTCAAACCCCACCTCTTTACAATGCTTTCGGTCATCTTTCCCCTCCCCATCCTCTTCGGCTCCCACCCCCAGTTCTGGTGCCCAGCCAGTTCTGTGAAGCACTTTAGAACATCCTCCTGATATGAAAAGCACTGTATAAATGTAAAATTGTATTGTAACAATAGGCTGAATTGCATTATAATGGGGTCAGCCTATACTCTCGACTATCACCACACAAATTTCCCCATAAATTCTGCACAGTATTAAACTTTAGAGGCAGAAGCCTTAAGACCAAGTCTATGAGAAGTGTTGGACTTCAGATGTTCCACTTTTAGTGAAAGAGGGAAGATCTGGCCAAGCCAGGACATTCTCTGTATGGCTTAAAACCTGGGGACCATTGCAATTTACAGCACAGAAGTCCATCATGTCTGTACTGGTTCTTTGAAAGAGCAATCTATTCATCCCTGCCTTGTCCTCCACACCTCTGCAGGTTATTCATCTAGTTCCCACTTTAAAGCCAATATGTGGAGTCCTGTAGCTCAGTGGTTAGAGCACTCACTTCCCAAGCGAGAGCCCTGGGTTTGATTCCCCAGCTGGGCAAAACATTGGCAAATTTCCTTACTCCACATGTCCTTACTCCACACGCCTCTGTTTACCTTGCAGTAAGTACGAACCCAGTTGTTAGTCAATTGGCGGATCACTTTTCCCGGGGTAATAATCCTTCCAAAAAAAAAAAAAATTGGTCACCCAATCCACGACTATTTGTGGGACACTGCTGTGCGCAATTGGCAGCTGCGTTTCAACAACAACAACAACAACAATTTGGATTTATACAGCGCCCTCCACGCTGGATGGCGTCTCAGAGCAAATCACAGTAACGGATCCCAGGGCCGAGCCGGGAGGACGGGGAGGAAGGTGACCAAAGGCGCGGTCGAAAAGAAAGGTCTTCAGCAGAGACCTAAAAATAGGAAGGGAGAGAGCGAGGTGAAGGGAGTGAGGAAGGGAGTTCCAGAGCCTCGGGGCATAGTGGCTGAAGGCACGGCCACCAAGGGTGGAGCAGAGCACTCAGGGGACGAGGAGGAGGCCAGACCCGGACGAACGAAGGCAACGGGCACTGTTTTGAGGAGAGAGGAGGTCAAAGAGGTCGGTGAGTGCTGAGGAGTGCAGAGATTTGAATACAAGGGTGAGGATCTTGAAATCGATCCTCTCTGGGATAGGCAGCGAGTGCAGTCTGGCCAGGACTGGGGTGATCAGGGAGCGGAGTTTCGTGCGGGTGAGAATGCGGATGGTAGAGTTCTGAATGATTTGGATTTTATGGATGGTAGTGGATGGGAGACCGGCGAGGAGGGCGTTGGCGTAGTCCAGCCGAGAGGTGACAAAGGCATGGACCAGGGTTTCAGCGGCTTTTGGGGAGAAGTATTCGCGGAGACGGACGATGTGTCGGAGGTGGTAGAAGGCGGTGCTGGTGAGGGACCGTATGTGGGGGAGGAAGGATAATTGGGGGTCAAACCTGATGCCTAGATTGTGTGTGGGTTCGGAGAGTTTTAGGGGGAGGTCGGGTAGGTGGAGAAGGTGAGAGCCGTGAGATTTTAGACGTTGACGAGAGCCAAAGAGTATGGCTTCCGTCTTGTCAACGTTCAGCTGAAGGAAGTTTGTGTTCATCCAGCCCCTGAGATCTGACAGGCAGCTGACAGAACATCAGGGGACTGTGGGTCGCAAAGAGAGGAGGAAAAATAGAGTTGGGTGTCGTCTGCATACATGTGGAAGTTTACCCCATGTCTGCGGATGACATCCCTAAGAGGGAGCATATAGATCAGAAAGAGGAGGGGGCCAAGGATGGATCCTTGGGGTACCCCACAGGTGACCGGGTGAGAGCGGGAGGAGAAGCCGTTTGTGCAGATGTACTGCTGGCGGTTTGTGAGGTAGGACTCGAACCGGGCGAGTGCGGTCCCACTGAGGTGGATGATGGAGGAAAGGCGGTGGAGGAGGATGGCGTGATCGACTGTGTCGAATGCGGCGGAGAGGTCCAGGAGGACAAGGAGGCAGAGGGAGCCCTGGTCACAGATAGAGAGGATGTCATTTGTGACTTTCACAAGCCCACAAAATATAGTCAAATTCACTTTACAGTATATTCTGTGAAGCTCTTTAAGACATCTTGAAGACGTGATAAGGCGCTATATCAAATGCAAGGACTATTATTATATTATTATATGGATTCAGCCTCGACCACAGCACCAGGCAGGGCATTCCACATCCTAAGAAATCTCTGTGTAAAAAAATTCTCTCCATCTCTCCCTTTGCAAGTTTCCTTACTCCACACAGAGCCTAATAATAATCCCTCCAAAACCAAAAACAATAATAAATTGGTCATTTTCAATCCACAACTGTTTGTGGGACATTGCTGTGCGCAATTGGCTGCCGCGTTCGCCCACAAATATACAGTCAATTCACTTTACAGTGTGTTCTGTGAAGCGCTTTGGGACGTCCTCCCGACGTGAAAAGCGCTATATCAAATGCAAGGATTATTATTATTATTTGCTCTCTTTAAAGTCCTCACAAGCTCAATTTGGATGAAGCAGATCCTTTGGTCCATCGAGTCTTATCTTTCCAGAACACCCACCCTATTATTTTGCCATCACAACATTGACCTGTTTTTAAAATGAGTCCGGTGTCCTGACTTCAACCACCCTTCCTGGTAACCTGTTTGTCATTAATTATTTTTTGAATAAAGACAAACTTCCTGGTGCCTGTTGCCCTTTTCAACCCTAAACCTGTATCCTTTTGTTCTGCTGCCTTGGTGTGTCCTAAGATATTGTTCTGGGTTTACTTTTTCAATCCCATTTAAAATCTTATACATCTCTATAGGCCCCATGTGAGACATCTTCTGCTAAACCTGAAGAGCCCTGGTTTGTCTATCGCTGCTTGTTCCCAGTTAACCTTTTGTATTCCAATGATAAGTGCTCTGAGACGCTGTCCGGGGTGGAGGGCGCTATATAAATCCAAGTTGTTGTTGTTGATAATATGCTCAGTTCCTCTAGTCTCTACTCGTAGGCTTGTATATTCAGAAAGGTGGTCCATCCTGTTGGCTTGCAAAGTGAGCACCAAACTGGGAGACTTCAACAACAACAACAACAAGCATATATATAATAGCTCCTTTCATGTTGGGAGGACTTCCCAAGGAGCTGAAGGAAACGCTTGAGAAATAAGAGAAACAGTTCATTAGTGGGTTTCTGAAACAGCAGCAATGATAATTAATCACATTGGAATTTTGTACTTACAGTCTGGCAAAACACCACATCTCTGCGATACTGGATAGTCAGGTCCATGGTTATTGTAGGTGCACTGTCTTGCATTAGCAGAAAGACCATGGCTTTCCTTGATTTGTCACTCATCATGGCAACGCAGTCAGTGAGTGTGGTCAGCAGGGGATATAGTGCTTCGCTCCACTCGCCTGCCAAACAGCAAGGGAAGAATTACTTTCCACGTCGGGAGCTTTACACGCAAACAACAGGGATACGCAATCACGTGGCTGGAAACAGCAGGATCCGGCCACTGACACTTTTCCTTCCATCTAAATGTGAGACTGTCGGAATCCAAAGCCTAACAAATTAAGAATCGATGATCCACACACACACACCCTTCCCCCCCCCCCCCCACACACACACACACACTTGCATTAAATCGATGGGGGGAAAAAAACAGCTTCACCATTTCACAGGTCGGTCGGTTACAATCCGGACAAAACGTCTCTTATTTTGTGGGGGAGAAAATCCCTCCTCAAATCCATTTTGTGGAGAAGTGCCAAGAGGTGCGAGATCCTGCATTTCCCCCACTAACCCCATACCCGCAAACTGCTCTTAGATATCAGTGTAGTCAACATGAATATAAATTAAGACTTAGCATTTAAGAGCGCAAATATACACACACACACACACCACAGACACATCAAGGCTAATTGAAAACAATGCAATATTTGGGGAGGGCGGTTTCAGGCGTTGAACCCAGCATTCCGCCAGTGCTTCGGCTGCAGGACAATTGTGAGTTGCTATACGCTGGGTCAGATAATTAGCCCTAATTACTGTACTAATCTTCCTCTCAACCCGGCTCCTCAAACCTTCACACCGAGTAAACGCGCCCCCACTCGAGATGTTCAAGAAACTCAAAGGCAATTTGCGGTGCTGAGCGAGAACGAAAATCTTAAAATGAAAAGGGAGACGTTTTATCACACTGCAACTCCATAAGCAAAATAGCGGGGTACAGGTGAGGGAAAGAGGGGTGTGGGGGCTTGTTTGGAGTATAAACACCGACCCGGACTAGTTGAGTCAAATGTCTGTGCTGTATCTCTACTACACTACGCTATGCAAGACTTAGATAATTGTTCGGCAAAGGAATCAATAGGGAAGTGGGCAAGAAGACAGAGGAAGATTATTTAGTTGGCATTGTCAGACATTACATTATGTATATTTATTATAATAATAATCCTTGTATTTGATATAGCGCCTCACCACGTCGTTGAGACGTCTCAAAGCGGTTCATGGAATACATTCTGAAGTATATATTGACTGTGCATTTTGTGGGCGAAACTTGGCAGCCAATCGGTAGAATATTGACGAGAATAAAATGTCATCACAATTTTGGATTGAGCAACTAGGTTATGTTGAAACCTATGCTCAAGGTAACCTTTTGGGCTTGGGTGGGGCAATAAGTTAAACACAGGGCCTTTCGCCTCAAGCACCTGAACTCTAACCCTATCATCCTCTCAGGGGCAGCAAAGTGACACAACTCTCCCATCTGCTATCTGCAAGGTCATCGTGCTGGAGGGACCAGGTACCTCAGTTCCCAGTGGGTGTCGACACGCAGCACAGAGACTGACCCAGAGGATGACTCCTGGTTTGGGACGTTATGAGTGCCTCCAACCACTTTAATCCCAATTTTTTGGGGCAGATGGGTGGGTGTCAGTTTACTGGTCTGCCCCTCCAAGTCCACCATTGACCCAGGCTGGCTTGTCTGTCATCAGCAGTGCCCGCCTGGTTCAGGAACCGGACAATCGAGAGAGACTACCATAGGGGATTGACTCTGTTCCGGCATTCCCTTGCTGGCTCAGCTCCAACGAGATCCCGCTTATAAATATTCTGCACGATTGGTTCAAATGGTCCCTCCAGAAAGGCCTATTTGACTGCCCTCGTCCTTCCAGAATATCCACCCCATTGGTTTCCCGTCACAGCACCAAAGCAGTTTATTAAATGACACTGGAATATTGCCAGTCTCCTGGTCCTCACCCTTCCTGGTACACACATTACAGCTGTTACCTTCGCTGTAAATTTTCAAGGAACTGCTCTTTCATAACCCCTACATCCTCCCCTCTTCCCCCCATTTCCAAATACAATGTTGGATCAAGATAATAATAATCCTTGCATTTGATATAACGCCTTAACACGTCATTGAGACGTCTCGAAGCGCTTCGCAGGATATACTGTGAAATGGATTGACTGCCATTTTCTGGGCAAAACGCAGCAGCCAATCGCGCACAGCAGTGTCCCACAAACAGTTGTGGATTGAGTAACCAAATTTAGTTATTTAATTTTTTGAAGGAATTATTATCCCTTGGAAAGCGATCCGACAATCGACTAACAAGCAGGTTCCTACTTAATGCAATGTAAACAGAGACCTTTGGAAACTTGCATAAGGTTTCTCAACATCTGGGAATCAAACCCAGGTCCTTTTCTTGCGAGGTGAGTGCGCTGACCACTACGCTACGGAACTCCACATCTTCCTTCCTCGGAAGATATTCCTTCCTCTCCTGTTCTCTCTACCCACCATCCTGACCTCCCCCCCCCCCCCCCCCCAACACCCACGGCATTGTAAGCATTGTCCCAGCCGAAGCACATTGACAGAAGAGGGTGGCGCCATTCAATGCAGATTTGGGTCGGGCTATGGAATGCAGTAAACATGCCAGTGAAAGGGAGGGGTGGGTGGGGGGCTGGAAAAGGCACATACCTTCAGCAGGCTCCTCTGTGGTGGAGTGGCAATCTGCACAGAAATGGAGGTGCACATGCATGATTAAGGAAGCAGCACTCATTTTTGACTCTACTGACAAGCAGATCTAACTTGGCTGTGTTTTTTTTTGCTTGGCTTCTCTCGGCTGACTGACTCACACAAGGACTCGCCTCTGCTCCCTTGCCACATACGCTGAGCTCCGCCAAAGCAAGCAAGCAGACACACTGGATCGAGGAGCAAGGGCTATTCATTCCGTTGCAGGTGTGGCTACTACAACTGGGCATTTTTCCCCGAAGGGAAGCACTTTGGGCGATGTCTTGCAAAGTTAATGACCGCTGAGAAAACCAGAGCCCCTCAGAACTCGGTAACATTGAAAATTCTGACCCATGTACTGTATTATTCATCAGTACTCGCAATCCATTGGTCCAGACGGCTGGAAAACAGGGGTTTTGCTCTCAAAAGAGGAACTGACTCAAAAATTGGACCCCTAACATAGGAAAACAGAGGAAGCCATTCAAACCATTGAGCCTCTTCCATAGTTTAAGACTTGCAATGCTTTTAAACCTGGGGATTTGATGCGAGTTCTTAGTTGTAGCCCCAAATTCCACCTCGCCCCCGCCTGCAAGACTGTTTTGTCATGAAATTTCCAAACAAGCAGAATTGTGGAAAATATTTAATGAATGGGGGTTCTTCCTGGTGTCTGGCCAACAATCGGATTAAATCAGTCGCTCCCCAGGCTTCTCCCCACTCCAGAGACCAGGCTCCTCCTCCCTCCAGAGGGCAGGCCCCGCCAGACTCCTCCCTCCAGAGGCCAGGCTCCTCCTCCTTTGAGGGACAAGGCTCCTCCTCCCTCCAGAGGCCAGACACCTCCCCCTCCAGAGACCAGACACCTCCCCCTCCAGGGACCAAATCCCTCCGCCTCCATACAGGCTCCCTCCCCAGTGACCAGACATCGCCCCCTCAGACAGGCTCCTCCCTCCAGTGGCCAGGCTCCTCCCTCCAGAGGCCAGGCTCCTCCTCCTTCAAGGGACAAGGCTCCTCCTCCCTCCAGAGGACAGGCTCCTCCTCCCTCCAGAGGACAGGCTCCTCCTCCCTCCAGGGACCAGGCTCTTCCTCCCTCCAGAAGCCAGTCACCTCCCACTCCAGAGGCCAGACACCTCCCCCTCCAGGGACCAGCCCCTCCCCCAGTGACCAGGCACCTCCCCCCAGACAGGCTCCTCCCTCTCCAGAGGCCAGGCTCCTCCTCCACTACAGGGGTGGGGGGGGCAGCAAGACCGAGCACATCAAACAAATTAAAAAAATACACACATTAATATTCCGGCATTTGAGGTTTGAAGAGACAGAGGCTGGGGGTGGAGGGGGGAGAAAAAAAATCCTAGCATACTTTTCACCAAGAGTTTCAAAATGCCCAGATGTGGGAGGAAAGGCACCCAAGGGATCCTGTACGGCAGCAAGCAGCGTTGGAAGGAGCGGGACATGGGTCAGACCTCAAAGCTGTGTTTGCGTTTAGCAAAGGAAGCCCACTTTGCAACCGGCGCTTGCTTTTTCTCTTGACTTTTTTTTTTTTTTTTTGGACGGCCACTCTTGCTCGGCGGACGACAGCATCGCAGAGCGGCAACACACAATAAGGGATTCACACAAAACACACGTCTTGCTCTCTCTTTTAAAAACGTCATGGTTAAAAGACAAAGAATAGTTAACAAAGCAGGTCCCACACGTCAGAGAACTTTCCTTCCCTTATTTTTTTTTCTCTCTGTTGGGAAGCTACGCCATTAAAATAATAAACCTGGTAAAATACACAAAGAATATCCGGGGTGGACCGATTTGTACTGCTGGCGCCTGCAAAATGACAGAACTGTGTTTCTATTTTATTTGGGATTTGAAGGGAAAGGAAATGAATTAGCCTCCAAAAACAGGGACGTTGCCAACACCAATACGTAGCAACCGCATTCGTGGGGCAACCGTCGACCTGTGCTGCTGGGGTGGATTTCTCTGGGACGTTAATTCAACACCGGAGCCAAAAGCTTCACACGGCGAGGGTTTGGTCACTGTCTTGTGTTAGAGAGACCCGCGGCAGATACCATATCGTGGTGAGATGCTTGGGAACGGAGTTCTGTCCGGCTAATGCCTGGACCCCCGAAGGGTTCCCCGTTTGTGACTCGAGAGTCCTCACTCGGAATTCCCGTTGGAAACGGCTCCCCTTTTATTTCCCACTCTCGGTGTATTCCTGACGCACCAGGTAGCAATGTGTGTATCGGTCGACCCCGTTGCACAAGCTATTATAGCAGACGGAAGTAGCGAGCGCACGCCCAGAGACACACACATACGCGCACACACACATACAGTCATGGACATGAAACAGTTAAGAAAGCAAGGGTGGGGAGGGGGTGAAAGTTTTTGGACAGCATTATATAAGAATGGAAAAAAATTCCTGAAGAGGGCATGTCATTGTAAGCAGGTTGCGTCCCCCAGGGAGAGAGCACCCACTCCATTCCAACAAGCTATCTCTGGGATTCCCATGTGTAGGTGGGATGCATGGAATTCTCGGCTTGGTTTGGATGCTCTTAAGAACGGTGATGGGTTTCCGCACGTATCAGACACCCGGCTGATCCCCAATAAACGAGGTTAAACTCGGTGCGTTTTTAAGTTGTCTTTGGTCAAGGAGGGAGAAAGAATTTTTTTAAGTCACACGATTTGTTTGGACGTGAATTGGTCATCTATTTGCCAACAAAGCATATGGTCCTCCTGACTAAAGGCCCTTAAACAAGGCAACGCCAAATACTCACTGTGTCAACCGAGGACTCAGTGGGGGAGGTTTACAGGGTGACCAAAAAGTTTTGATACCATTACAATGTCTAATAAGTCTTAAAGAAATAATGATATATATATTTTTTAGATAATAGGGTAGTTACCACAACTTTTTGGTCACTCTGTATATACACAAAACAATGGGGACAATTTTGTTTGGTCAGCCATGTGGCTGACACATGCAGTAACTCATGTCTAAGAGTATCCAAACCAGACTACTTGAGAGTGCCACCTACACAATGTGTGCAGGAACTTGTGTTGGTCTGGAACGCAGTGGTGTGTGTGGAGGAATGAGGGTCGCAGTCTGCTCGCCTAATCCCGGAAAGCATAGGAAGAGCTGTAGGTTGGCTTGAGGTTTGCATCCAGATGTGAAATCCAGATGTGAAGTCATAATAAAATAGCGCTTGCATTTGATTCCGCCCGAAACGTCTCAAAGCGCTTCCCAAGGAACAAGGGACAAGTGTGGTGACTGCGTATTTGTGGAGAAAATTTGTTCTGGTTTGAGCACAGCATCTGGGGTGGGGGAGTGGGGTTGGGGGGGGGAAGAAAGAGAGAGGAAAGAGGGGGAAATCTGGAACTTTGTGACTGACGCCAACAAATATGTTTGAATTTTTTTTAAAAAGAAACGTTTTGGCTGAACATTAAAGCACGAGGAAAGCAAAGAGGAACAGCAAGCGGAGCAGGAGAGATTGAGCACAGAAGCTGCTGACAGTGTGATGGAACGATACTAAACTGTAAACTCGGAGGGGAAAATGAATGGGAATAAAATGAAAATAAACCCTTGGTAAATTGACCAGAACAGGCCAGATGATGGTGAAACAATTTATAGACCGGGAACACTAAGTCCTACACCTTCGTTATTATACATTATTCAATTGGCATCTGAGTTGTTTCTTCAATAACCCTGCAAGCTAAAACCCTAATGAGGAGGGTGGTCCTAGCTGGAAAGTTTGATTTCTTAAATTGCCATGATTGCTATTAGCTACTGTTCTAGAGACTTTGGGCAGAGCGAGGCCATTCGGTGACACTGTTATTAGTTTTGCTTTTTTTTGGCCGGGCTTTCAGCCTCTCTGCCCCCATACTCTGGAACTCCATTCCACGGTCCCTTCACCTCGCTTCCTCCCTCGCCTCTTTCAAGGCCGGTCTCAAGACCCTTCTCTTCAATCGTGCCTTTGGTCGCCCTCCCACCTCTCTGCCTTCCCTCACCCCTACCCCACCCCTCCCCTATGCTCGGACCCCGACAACTGACTGTTCAGCACTTTGGGACGTTCTCCCGACGTGAAATTATAAATGTCATTTTGTTTTTTTAATGTGAAGAAAAAACGTACCCTGTTTCCCAGCTCTCTTCCAAAGTAATTACTCTTCAGGTGCTAATCCAGTTGTCCTTTTAGACCATTTGTGGCTCATGCCATGCTCTATCCATTATGTATCTTCTGCTGAAAGCAATCGCTTCTTTCTGGGAGTACGGTTCTATATGCACTGGTCAACCCTACCACCACCCTCTCCCCAGTACCAAATAGTCTGTATGTTATAATCATGACTGTGGTCAAGCCTTGAAGCTAAGAAGCCATAGAAATTTACAGCACAGAAGAAAGCCATTCAAGGAATCAAGGCTTCCGGTGTAGCTGTCTGTACTCCTGGCTAAGTCACTTTAGACGAGGGCCCAATTATTCAATGTACCAAGGGTTAGAAAGAAGAGAGGAAAGGAAATGATAATGGTCACTCACACGCAGCTCTGGATTTAGAAGTACGGCGCGATGAAGATGAAGAACAATTCTCATTTGGATTTATCCAGTATGCTCTGTGATCTTGGTTACCTTTCTTGCTGGAAGAGGTAGAGTCACATTGAAAAACGTCCTCACAGCTGTCACTATGCAACCGTTCCTTCTGGAGGAGTTTGTCTACTCTCTGAATAATACAGTCTAAGCTTTTATCAACGTTAAGCCATACTTTCTCCTAAAGGAGGAAAAACATTGAACCAGTTATACAAAGTACTAACACATCAACAACAACAAATTGGCAGTTATGTGGTCACGCAGCCTCATGCAGGGTAGCGTCCCAGAGCGCTTGACAGTGGCGGAACACGACTCCGAACCGGGGGAAGGGGAGAGGTGACCGTAGGCACGGTCGAAGAGAAAGGTCTTCAGGCGCGAACTGAAGATGGGGAGGGAGAGAGCAATGCAGAGTTAATCAAATATCTATGGAAGAAATAGGTCGACTACTGTTTGAGGCTCAATGTTCCTTTTTTGCCCCATTCTCCTCGGCTCAAGAAGCAACTGACCTGCCTCCCAGGCCACTCGCTGTACATATCTGACAACAACCACTCAAGACCCAGCTATCAGCATAGGACAAAAGCAGATCGATCAACACTTTAGCCATCCACTGCATAGTTACTGGTTACCCACCCCATCAGCATTGGCCACTGCACTGGAAGTATTAGCAGGTTGGCAAGAACCAAGGCTTGGGGACCCCAGAGTATTCGTTGGGCTAACTGCTAAGAGTCTAACCAGCTAATGCCACATAGCTTGCCATTGATAGCCCTGTCTGGCAAGCTTTCCCGCTGCTTGTCCAGCTAGGACCACCCTGCCTGTTAGGGCTTTGGCTTGCAGGGTTAACAGGAGCTGAGTGGGATGACTTGCTGCCCCCAGTGACTGGTCTGGCCTTCCGGGTCCTGCCGATGAGCCAGGCTGGTTGAGCTGTCATCATTTGAGCTGAGCCAGTTCAGCTCGAAGGTGACTCCACTTTCCTCCCCACCACTGCACCAGCATCAGCCATCCACTGCTGCTTTCAGCCTTTCTGCTTCCCCACTCTGGAGTCGCTCTGCCTTGCCCCCTACAACCCCACCTTAAAAACCCGCCTTAAACCCTATCTTTTTGACAGTGCCTCTCAGGATCCAGGTCAGCTGTGTGAAGACGTTTCTCTCCCATCCCACCCCTACCCCCCCACCCAGCATGAAAGGCCGCTATATAAATGGCAATTGTTATTTCTTCAGCTGGACCGCGCCTCTCTCTTTCTCTCTCTCTCTCGACGAGAGTCATTTTTTGTTCACTTTCAGCCTAAATCTCAATGCCATCACTCTTCTGTGAAAGGCATTTTATTGCACTGCTACCAGCGTGACAATTGCCATTACCCTCAAATAAAATCCTAAGGAGGGAGGAACAGCAGGCCATTGAGCCTATCTAATCTTCTCCAGCATTTTATCAGATTACATCTGATCAGCAACTTAATCCCATTTCCCTGTCCTTTCAGCATCTCCTTAGATATCCCGGCCAAACAAGTATTCAGCTGTAGAACCATAGAAATGTACAGCACAGAATAGAATAGTCCAATAGAATAACCTTCGCTTCCAAAAAAGAACCACAGCGAGAACCAGCGTCAGGCGCACTGTTGAGCTGCTTCCCATGTGCTGTGTTGACTCTTTTAAAGAGCAATCCTTCCAGTCCCATTTACCTGCCCTTTCCCGCTCTACCCGGGAATCAAACCCAGGTCTCTTGCTTGTGAGGCGAGTGCTCTAACCACTGAGCTACAGGACTCCACGATGGCCTCATTCTGCGCTGTAAGTTCCTATGATTTTAGTTGGGAGCGAAAGAATGGCCCGTTTCCGTACCACCATGTAGGACTTCAATCAGGAAGGAACATATCCAATATAATAACCTTCACTTCCAAAAAAAAAACCACAGTGAGAACCAGCGTCAGGCGCACTGACCAAAACAGTTGAGCTGCTTCCAAAGTGTTCGTCACGCCTGTAACGACCTTTCACTGCGGACTCACCCATTCCTCCTCGTGCCAGGTGATGTGCAGGGAAGAGCGGCTGTTCTTGCCTGTCCACTTGGCCACCAGCGTGTCCTGGTCATTCCGCAGCATCACCTGATCAGCTTCCCCCAACGTTGGCGAGGACCTGGAAGCGATGTAATTGGGCCGGGCAGCGTTCAGGGCTTCTACTGCGTTGCCAGAAGCTTACAATCACACACCGTGACCAGCTGCCTGGTCTGTAAACCACAGACAGGAGAACACAAAAGTCAAATCATTATAGTAATAACAACGATAATCCTTTCATTTGATACATATTTTATCACGTCGTTCAGACGTCTCAAAGCGCTTCACAGAATATACTGCAAAGTGGATTTACTGTGTATTTATTTGAGCGAAACACAGCAGACGATTGCGCACACTAGTGTCCCCACTGTAAGATTATATTTGTGATGCTTAATGTTTTCTTAAGGCTTTTAATTAATCTTTATATACTTTTAGAATGTAACCCACCCATAATATTTTAATAAGGTGGGTTTGATTTTATGACTGGCTTAGCAGGGGTTAAAAGTAGCTTTGCTGGATGGGCTGAGGTTAGCTTCTGATTACATTTCATATTTTTCTGGGAAGATGTTCGTTCCTCTGAGATAATGAGCAATCGGGACCTTGAGCATAGATGAAGGAACAATGGACCACAACAAGAAAAGGCTACAGCCTCAGATACCTGCCTATCTCAAAGCTGGAAACAAGCAGACTGTGGAAGGCCACCCAAAACTTGTCCCTATATCTCTCTTTCTCTCTGCAAAGAGCCTGCTCAAGGTCACTAGCAGCTTGAGAAGGATGGAGGCTTCATTCTCTATGACAAGCGGAGGCGGAGATAGAAACACATAAAATAGAGATGTAACTTTGGAGTAGTTGGGAGTCAATGTAGAGGGTCAATGCATCTTCCCAGAGGAATCGGTTAATATCGATTTTACTGCATCTATGGTCTCAGTTAGAGCTTGTGTGACTTACTTAATAAACTTTAGATTATTACACAACCATATCGGTCATCTCCATCCGAATCTCTTACACCACAAACAGTCGTGGATTGAGTGAACAATATATTTTTTCTTGAATGGATTCTTACCCCGGTAAGCGATCCGCCAATCGACTAACGACCAGGATCCTACTTACTGCGAGGTGTGTGAGTAAGAAAACTTGACTAAGGTTTTGCCCTGCAGGGAATTGAACCAGGGTCCTCTCACTTGCGTGGCAAGTGTTCTAACCACTATGCTACTGGATGCTGGATGTGTCACTCACAAAACATACCATCAATCCGCTTTACAGTACGTAAATCTTGTGAAGAGCTTTGGGACATCCTCCCAACATGAAAGGCGCTATATCAAATGGAAGGATTATTATTATTATGATACACCGTGGAGTGGATAGGTTAGATGATTGCTATATAGGTTAGGTGATTGGGAAGGTAGGTGGCAGATGAAGTATAACGTAGGGAAGTGCGAAGTCATCCACTTAGGTAGCAAAAACAGTAGAGCAGGTTATTTTTTAGGAGAGAGATTGGAATGTGTTAGCGTCCAGAGGGACTTGGGTGTCCTTGTACACCAATCACAGAAAGTTAGTCTGCAGGTGCAGCAGTAATTAGGAAGGCAAACGGTATGTTAGCATTCATTATGAAAGGGTTAGAGTATAAGAGTAGGGAAGTCTTGCTGCAACTGTATAGGGCCCTGGTGAGACCACACCTGGAATACTGTGTGCAGTTTTGGTCTCCTTATTTAAGGAAGGATGTACTTGCCTTGGAGGGGATGCAGCGTAGATTTACTCGGTTAGTACCAGGGATGAAGGGGGTAAGTTATGAGGAGACGTTGACCAATTTGGGCCTAAATTCTCTAGAATATAGAAGAATTAGAGGGGATCTTATAGAAACCTAAGATCATCAAAGGGCATAGAGTAGATAGTGGAAGATTGTTTCCCCGGTTGGAGAAACTAAAACCAGGGGTCACAACCTTAAAATCAGAGGCAGCCCTTTGCACTGAGTTGAGGAAGAACTTCTTCACTCAAAGGGCAGTGAATATATGGCACTCACTACCCCAAAGGGCTGTTGACGCTCAGTCCTTGAACATATTCAAGACTGAGATAGATGTATTTCGTATTGCAAAAGGGATTAAGGGATATGGGGATAAGGCAGGGTCAGGTTATGAGCTGGAGTTAGATTAGAAAATTAGCCATGATTGAATGGCGGGGCAGGCTCGAAGGGCCGAATAGCCTACTCCTGCTCCTACATGTTATGTTATGTATTTTGTAGGTGTACACGACAGCCAGTTACAGCAACGTACCCCACAAACAGCCTTCTGGCAATAAATATGTGGAATTTCATTCTGGTTTGACCACAGTTACAGTAATGGATTACTGTATGGTATATGTCAGACCAAAAATAGAATCACAACATTTTCAGCAATAAAAGTGCCATAGTGTAATGATTAGCTTGTTCGCCTCGCTCAGGTTTGATTCCTAGATGTTCTTAGGCAAGTTTCCTTAATCCACACGCCAATGTTTACCAAGCAGAGAGTAGGAACCTGGTTGTGAGTCGATTGGCGGGTCACTTTCCAGGGATAATAATCCCTCCAAAAAATAAATAAGTGGGGTCCTGTAGCTCAGTGGTTAGAGCACTCGCCTTGCAAGTGAGAGACCTGGGTTCAATTCCCGGCAGGGTGAAACTTTGGGCAAGTTTCCTTACTCCACACGCCAAATAATAATCCCTCAAGAAAATAAAACAATAAGAAATTGGTCACTTCAAACCATGACTGTTTGCTGTGTGCAATTGGCTGCCGCATTTCGCCCTCAAATATACAGTCAATTCACTTTACAGTCTATTCTGTGAAGAGCTTTGAAGACGTGAAAAGCGCCATATCAAATGCAAGAATTATTATTATTATTACAAATAAATATTTGGTCACTCGACCTCGACTGTTGGTGGGACACTGCTGTGTCACCTCCAAAATATACGGTCAATCCATTTTACAATATATTCTGTAAAGCGCTTTTGAGATATCTCAATAATATGATAAGGCACTATATCAAATGCAAGGATTATTTTTATTAATTTTATTATTCTTATTGTAATAATAAAAGTCTGACTGGTTAATAGCAGGTACCTTGTCTGCCAGGATTGCCAGGGTTCTTTCCAACCCGTTGGCTGACCGCTCCTTCGCCGATCTGGACAGTCGCTCTGCGTAGTAACTGACTTGCGTTTTAAGGGTGTTAATGCTGGCTATGATCTCTTTTGCCCTGACTATGTCTTGCGGTATGTACACTATGGACTGGGAGCTGGACGATGAACTGCTGGAAAGAAGAGAACATGAATTAGCCAAGCTCGGAGCGTCCCCATCTCTCGCGCGTCCGAAACAAAACGGGGATTGGAACAGAAAAGGAAATTCCTCCCCACAAGGACTGGAACAACAAGAGGATGAAAATTGCATCGCTGGGATGGGTGAATTGGCCTCTTTGGTGTTAATTTACACATGTATCGAATTTAGCCATCTTCTGTAAATTTAACGCATCAACTGGTCTCCAGGATTGTAGTGAACAACTGCCCCCACATTTCCCTTCGCCCCAACACCTTTCTCAAACTTTGGGCTGTTAAACCCGCCACACTGTATGTTGGATGTCCATATTATGAATTCCTGGTTAATGAGTTTGGGTAAATCTGGCGCTAAATTCAATACACGTGTTAATTAACGCATCACAATTTCCATCCCAAAATGTCCTGCACTCTTCTGCCTTGAGTGAGTCTCACGAAGTTCCTAAGTAGGTGTCTGACAGCCTGGCTCAGTTGGTAGCTATTTAACCTCCAAATGAGAAAGTTGTGGGTTCAAAATCTCGCTCCACATCGAGACTTTGAGTGCACAGTCTAGGCTGACACTCCAGCACAACATTGGAGGAGCAATGCCTTGTTGGAGACGCCATCCTTCGGACGAGTTGTTAAAACATTAAACCGAGGTCCCATCTACCTGTTCAAGTGGATATTAAAGATCCTTTGGCACTATTTGAAAAAGGAGTGAGTTTCTCCTTGTCTCCTGGTCAACAATCCCTCAGGTAAAATTGGTCATTCACTTCACGGCTGTTTGTGAGACACTGCTGTGTGCAAATTGGTTGCCTCATTCACCTACAAAATACTGTCCACTCTATAGTCAACCCTGTGAGCCACTTGGGCTAACCAACAGCTACCAAAGTGTACAATGCTGCTATTCTTTGCTGGATCGAGCTGTGAGATTTTTAATATCCACTGGATACCGCACAAAAAAATCCTTGCTTTTGATATCGTGTTTTATCACATCATTGTGTCATCTCAAAGCGCATCACAGAACGTACTGCAAAGTGGATTCACTGTGTATTTTTTGGGCGAAACGCTGCAGCCAATTGCGCACAGCAGTGTCCCACAAACAGTTGTGGATTTAGCGTCCATTTTTTTTCTTTTGGAGGGTTTATTGCCCCCGGAAAGAGATCCGCCAATCGACTGACAACCGGGTTCCTACTTACTGCTAGTTAACAAGGGTGTGTTGAGCAAGGAAACTTGCCTCAGGTTTCGTCCTGACCAGACGGCGAGTCGAGCGAGATAAACACTATGACTCCACAATAATCTGTATTTATATAATGCCTTTCACAGGGGTGGACCAGAATTCACCTGATACAGAAGGCAGCTGCAACGAATTTAGTCTGTCAGACTAAATTATGATCTCAAGTGATGGTTTGGGGCTAAAAAAAACTTAACACATGTTTGGGCAAAAAAACAAAAACTACCATTTAATATCAATTCCTGAGGAAAGAGGACACATTTGTTTGAAGGGTTCAAACGGGGATAAAAAACCCCAGAAGTTTGAGTAAAACTTCCAAAGAATCTTTCTTAAATTTACTTCTGGAATTCATACTTTCATAAAATGAATGGAAGTGCAATTCGGCTAATGGGAGGTTTATAAAAAAAGATTTGCCAATATGGTAAATTTAATTTACTTTAGTGTTTTTCCTTCGATCTCTCTCTCTTTCTCTCCGAAAACAGATGGGAAAAACTCTAATGGACACACAGCTAACATACACGTAGACTGTAAGAGCACTTTGTCTGCACGCAGCTGATTTTCATTTACTTGTTGATGTGCACATCTGCTGTTTTCGTCCATCAATGGCATACAGAGGCAGCTCACTCCAAATTTGGCCACTTTGTGGAGAACCAGCCCAGAGGAACCCACATACCACTCTGCGCGCAAATCTGGCACAGAGTTTGGAAGTCAACTGGAGTGGATTGGGCAGCCGAGTGCTTAGCAGGAGATAAAAGCCATCACATTTGCGGGCGCAGCACATCATTGAGATGTCGCAAAAGCGCTTCACGGGAATCACTGTAAAGTGCATTTCGCCCGCAAAATACGCAGCCAATTCATTTCATAACATATTCTGTGAAGCGCTTTGTAACTCTCAATGACGTGAGAAGGCGCTATTATCAAACGCAAGGATTATATTATTATATTTTGTAGGTGAACTCCGCAGCCCAACTTGAACATGGTATAGTCCCGCAAATGGCCACGTTGTGAACGACTAATTTTGTCTGAGGGATCGTCAGCCAGGACACCGGGAGAAACTCCCCCGTCTCTTTTCAAGTAGTCGCACAGGATTGCTAACGTGACCTTAAACAGGCAGATGGGACCTTGGTTTAATGTCTCACCTGAAGGACGCTACCTCTGATAATGCAGTTCTTCCTCAGCGCTTCATTGGAGTGTCAGCCTAGACTGTGATCTCAAAGTCTCAACGTGGGGCTTGAACCCACAACCTTCCGACTCGGAGGCCAAAGCGCTACCAACTGATATATGGACTGGCCTCAGCCCTGGTTAGTGCATTAAACAATCTGCTGCGTGGTAGAGGAAGCCATCACAGAGTTACCAGTGTGGGTGGGTGAGTGGAGGGTGCACATCTATATACAATGGACAATACACAAAGCCCGATAGCAAGAAGCCACTCTGTGGGAATCAAGCGTGAGATGAGAGGGTGTCAATCCATCCTTAGGAACCTTACCATTTCCTCAATGTTCGACCAGCATTCGACAAACTTTGATTAAGTTCAGGCTGAAAAAATCAGGGTCCACAAAACGCTGTGTTTTAACAGACACATGAGCGGGCATGCCAGAGATTGCCATCACACGCCTTCTAGGATGAACTGAAGGGGTGATGAGGCAAAGTCACTTATCAAGTTCAGCGAGAACTGAATAAGATGCTTTGGGTTTACTGAGGTGATTCAGTAGTGCTTCACAAGGAGAGAATGAAAGTGACAGATACCGTAAGAGCTCTCTGCATCCCGATTTCATAGGGAGCCCATGCACTAGGCGTTAAGAGGATGGTGTTTTATGTTAGGGCAAAGCCTCTCTTTTCTAATGCAGTTGGGATGACGAAGAGCTTGAAGGAAAACCAGACCTAACAGGCAGACACACACACACACAGACAAGACAGAGACGGGGAGATACACACACACACACACACATACACACAGGCCACAGGAGAAATCTCTCCAACATCCAACAAGTGGGAGGGCGACGGGTCTTAAAGAGGATTCTTGTGCCGTGTGGATCTTGCGTGGAATCATGGCTATTGAGTGTGTCGGTTGCTGACTCACATATAAGAAACAAAATGCCATTCCCACAAATCCCAACCACCCCATTAATGAGCCAAACAGGAATGTCAAATTTCAGGTTTGCCTCAGATTTCTGTGAACGTTTTACCACGAACAGCTCCTTTGAGTCAATTCAATCTCAGGGAGACACCACCCCTCCACCTCCCTCCCTGAGGATTTTATGAAATTAGATACTGAACAAAGACTATGTGTGATTTGATAATTATCACGTTATTAATAAGAATATTCCTTGCAGATGATACAGCACCTTATCACAAGAGGACGTCTTAAAGTGCTTCACAGGATTTTACTGTAAAATGACTATTTTAATAATAAAATCACTGCATGGCTGTTTGCAATGTCCCACAAACAGCCATGAAATGAATGACCAATGTTATCTAAGGGATTGTGGGTCAGGACACCGAGAGAAACTCTGGTTCAGTGCAAGAAGATTGCAGGGACAGAATCAATTGGATGTTTAAAAGGGAGACTGACCTATATGTGGGAAATAAGGGCAGAAAAAAGGTGAAGGGAAAAAGTGAGGGAGTGCGATGAAAAGATGATCCAATAAACTAGCGGAATAGGCTTGATGGAGTGAATGCCTCTTGTTCTTAGGAACCTGTTCCTATAGATATGTAGGTGTTTGTTTTTAAATGCTTAGCAAACAATCCCATTTGACGTTAAACACACGGACACACAATTCAGTGAACAAATGCAGAGCTGCTTAAATGCACAAGAACGTTTTACGACATCAACTGACGGGATAAAGTAACGCAGACTCTGAGTTGGAAAGAAAATGAAACAGGAGATAAAATGAACATGAAACACACACACACACACGTTCTTAGTAAGTGTGTCAACAGCCGGGAACTCACCAGCTCTCCTCATAAATGCTACGGGAAGAGAAACGAAAAAAAGCAACACAAACAAACAAGAGCAAAAGGGGGAGAAAAAAAACAAGTGCAAAAAAGAGCGTATTACAAAGCGAGGCATTGTTCTCCCGATATCAACAAATACTTTAGCAAAGAGGTCAAACCCCAGAACTGTAACACAGTCAAGTCGACAAACGGTTTAAGCCCTTAAAGAGTTAAAAAAAACACTTAGACGTGTAACCCACTTTAGTATGCAGGTTATGCTGCACACTGAGTGAGTCAGCGGTGTTTGAGAGTGTGGAAGTGCAGTGAGGAACACTGCGGAGCAGTAAGTCTCATTTCTCCCTCCTGCTCAGAGATATTGTTAACGCAAATGCCTAACAGCCAGCGTCCCCCAGTGGCCCTATTGGGTAAAAGACACACAGGAAGTCGGAGAGTATCAGGTCAAGAGAGCAAGAGCCAAGTCTTGGGGACCCCAGAGTGTGAGTTGGGGTAACTACTGTAATTGGAGTCTAACTAGCCGAAAACAATCAGCTTGCCATTGAGGGCACTGTCCGGCAAGCAGCGTAGTTTTAAGGGTATATTACACAGCAATAACCATTCCCTTGACATCAGCCAACACTCAGCATGGAGATCAACTGAACTCCGGAACTGTATTTATAACAGTCAAGATCAACACTTGTTTTAAGCACTTCCCCAAAAAAGCTTTGTTCCTTTTTAACAGTGTGCTCATTTAGACTGGTAACCCATTTTAGCATGTAGTTTGTGCCCGCTGTGTGCGAGTCAGCTACACGGTGAAAAGAATTGCGAAAGTTGACTGGAGTGGAACCGCAGTGCAGACACTGAAAGGATTGTTCTTAAAGGAGCCGAGACTGACGCGATGGGCCCAATGGCCTTTTCCCGTGCCGTAAATGTCTACGGTTCCACGTGTGGCAACCGTGTCCCGTCTAGGAGATGGTATTCAACTTGCACTCCCGCGTTCAACACGGAATCCATCCTGGTGCCAGGCAACACGGTGCCAGGCGTGACCTGCCAACACACACTGGCGAGGCTGATACATCCAAATGGTTACTCGGGCACCATCCAGCATCATCCCAGTGAGAGGAGCATAGACCGGGAGCAGAGAGGTGGACGTCAATGAGGAGAAAGTTGGGAAAACATTTAAATTGAAAAAAAATTGCCTAGGAGAGCGAGGAAGAAATCATTCTGACAAGGTCAGTGGGATGTCCGGTCCCAACGATACCAAGTACACTTTTTTGGCACAAGCAGCAATTTCTGTGCCATTCCTTAATGGACGAGATTGAGGTTAGGAATATCCTAGCTTTCATGGAAAAAGATAAAAACATAAGGATTCCTAGACGAAAGAAGACCCGAGTTCCATCCAGTTCGCCTTCCACCATCCTGACAGTCGCATGACATGTGTGATGTCCCAAACTACATACTGTATCCCACAATATTATTTCCTAAAATAAATCTTTACGACATGCGAAGGATAAAAGCACTGACATTTCCCCCTCTCTGACTTTAAACCACACACGCACGCAAAAAAATAAAGCGGGTACGAGAGAAAGGGAAAGTCACTGAATCACGTGTTGTTTTGCAGCGTTCTTTAGTAACTAATGAAGTAATTGAGAGGAAGCTGTTAATTTAAACAGGTCACCTTGCTAACACTTGCCTTTTCTTGGCTTCCTGAAACTTCAGCAGCAGTTTCCTTAAGCCACCACTCTTGAACGCTTGGCAGTGAGCTGCTGGGGCTCCGATGGTGACTATATCATAGGTCTGATCTGTGGGGCAGACAACACAGTAATAATAAATAATAATCCTTCCATTTGATATAGCACTTTATCACATCTTCCAGACATCCCAAAGCGCTTCACAGAATATACTGTAAAGTGAATTGACTGTATATTTGTGGGCGAAACGCAGCAGCCAATTGCGCACAGCAGTGACCCACAAACAGTCGTGGATTGAAGTGACCAATTCATTATTGTGTTTTTTTTTTCTTTGAGCTATTATTATCAGGCGTGTGGAATAAGGAAACTTGCCCAAGGTTTCGCCCGGCTGGGAATCGAACCCGAATGGCTCGTTTGTGAGGCGACTGCTCTAACCACTGAGTTACAGATCTTCGTTATCTTCAGGGCTTAAAGTGTTATCTTCAGGGTTAAAAACCATCAGATTTAGACTGTTTCAGCTGTTTAATCAACTTTTGCTGATTCCAGCAATTTCAGGAAGCAGGAAAGCTACCATATCTAACAGGACGGCTGAACAGTTGAGCCGAATGGCCTGTTCTGTGTTGTATATTCTAATGTGTAACAACTGCAAAGAAAAGTACACAGCACAGCTGTCCATCATTGAAGTTTCAACTTGGATTTCGCAGTCAAAGAACCCAAGCAAGAAATTTCTGGTCTGAAGCAAGAGACTTTTCGTCTGATTCACGACTATGCTATTGACCTGTCTGTTGTATTTGTGTTAATTGAACTAGCAAACTTTACATTTCTTATTAAGTAAAGAATTTTCAAAGCAGGAGTTGCTGAGTGTCTTTGGTTCCTCTGTTCTCGGATCCTTAATTAAAGGAGGGTTATAAAGAATAAGACGGTCTTATTCTGCTCACTGCCCAGAATCCAACGCGATATTTGCAGCAACTTCAGAACCTGTTATTTTTTTTGAACGGGTTGTAACGCACAAACCCCCCAAATAACTTTTGAGAACATTTTGCCTCTCACGAAAAACAACTCAAAGGTTTCGGGGGTCACCAGAACGATCAATGCCAAATTACATTTGTACCACGCCTTTCACGTCGGGAGGACGTCCCAAAGCACTGGACGCTCAAGGATGTGCGCCCGAGCTGGGGGTTGGGATCAGGAGGGTTGGAGGGCAGGGAGGGTGAAGGTAGGAGGGTGACAGTCGAAGAGGAGGGTCTTGAGTCCCCAAACCCCACCACCCACAACCCACTCACGGCTATTACCTGACCCGGCATCATCCTGGACCCTCATCCGTTGTATATGCAAATTTGTGGGTACAAATTCTAACTTCCTGTCAGCTTTTAAACTGCTCGCTTTGAACGACGGGCCTGTGGGGCACAAGTTTAAACCAGTTACGCATAAAATTATTTTGTGACGACAACGGTTTGCACTTATGTCGCGCCCTGCGTGTTGCTAGCTAAACACACGCAATCTTTTTGATTAAGGGCTTTGCAATGGGACTGTGTGCATTTTCTGGGCCAGTAACGAAATAATAACAATATTTTCATTTGATATAGCGCCTATATGCGGCAGCTAATTGCTCACAGTAGTGTACCACAAATAGTCGTGGACTGAAGTGACCAATTTTTTTTTCTTTAAAGGCATTATTACCCCTAGAAAAGCGATCCACCAATCAACTAACAACCTGTTTTCTACATAATGCTCGGTAAACCGGAGCGTGTGGAGTAAGGAAACTTGCCCAAGGTTTCGTCCTACCTGGGAATCAAACCCAAGTCTCTCGCTTGCGGGCGAGTGCTCTAACCACTGAGCTACAGGACTAGTTATCTTCAGGGGTTAAAGTTAAAGTGTTATCTTCGGGGTTCATGTACATTGGTGCCAGTCAAAGAGGCGGGGGGTGGGGGTGTGGGATGGTTGTCACACAGTAGAACTTGCTGCTTTCATCTGCTCAGCAAACGACCCAAAAAAATTGTCAAACTTCTGCCTGACCTTTGTACTGATGCAGTTCTGTTAGGTTCTCCTGGTAGGTTATGATGAGCGTTTGGTACTGAGTAACAATCTGTCGTCGTAGGTTCTCCCAGCAGGGTGATAATTCTCCAAGGTCGTCCAGCTGACATATCCTGCAAGAAAGAAGGCAGCCGTGAAAAGAGACATCTCGGCGGAGGCTCATAACATGGGCTCCAAGTGGGTCGTACTCTCGCCTCAGATTGTGATTGCATTGGGGTTTGAGCTCACGGGGACACTGCAGTGGTGTAACTGGGAGAAAGCTTATTAAACACCAGCCCGGACCAGTGAGGGGTGGGGGAGGGGGCGCGGAATGGGCTGTTTCCATGCTCTACAGTGTATACCAATCTATGGGTGTAAACAAGAACAAAATAACATTTGTATAGAGCATTTCATGTCGGTAGAACGTCACAAGATGCTGTAAACCACAGTATGTCACAGCCACCACTGGAAGCTCTGGGATCCTAAGATTTGGTGCTCTGGATTTTTTGTTTGGAAGCTCGGTGTCTCGGCCACTGAATTCCCGTTGCCTCGCACCCGCTCGTTCCGACCCTCACGGTCCGCGACAACTCTGACCTCTCTGCGTCCTCCTCGATGACCAGTTTGACGAACTGCCGGGGGATGTGAAGAGACAGCGCGCTCTCTGCCATCTGCTCCAGGATCCGGAGATGGTTCCCGTCCGTCGTGGGGAAGCGATACATCCGGCAGATGACTCCACCGAACACTGCAAAGAACAATAATAAAAAAAGTTACCCTTGCATTTGATATCGCGACCAGACAACTGCAATCGCATCCACCTGCAGTCAAGGGTAAAAGCCCATCAACGACAACAACAAAATTACATGTGTAAACCGCTTTTCACATCACGAGGATGTCCCAAGGCGCTGAAACCCGGAAAGCCATTTAACCCACTAAGCACTCCGCCTTGTTGCGGGAAGAGAGATGAGCAGTGCTCAAACAGAAAGCTTTGCCCCTCTCTCTCGGCTGTGACCTCACTCTTGGTTTGAGGAGACAGGAAAGGCAGCAGAAGCAGGTGGGGGAGAGACACGGAATTCACAAACACCTTTCGGTCTCAGACACAAGAACGTTCAGCTTGACGTACCTGATTTTAACAATGCGTCCTTCTTCAGCGAGGAGTGTTTTGAGCGAACAGCCAGAGATTCGGTTAGACTTTCGTCGACCGGCAGAACAGTCTGGAACATCACAGAAGAAACACGGCAGTTTTAATGTTGTTTTCTCCATTTTCGCGTGACATTTTTTCTGCATCGGCGCAGACTAGTTGTACGTTCTGTTCCCCAACTGTATCGCTCTGCGTAACAACTCTGTTTAACTCAATGTAATTTACCCGTCCGTTTATGGTGTCAGGTGATCTGCTCGCAGAAAGCCTGTCGTCAACCTTGTCTTCCATCTGCCAAGCTATTACCGTGATATTACCCACACGCTCGTGTTCAGCAGACCTGTGGTTGAGACACAGTAAACATTAAATCACATTAAATCAATCATGAGCTGGCCTGTTTTATTCAAATTTGCCCTGTTTATCCTTCGACTCTTGAATTGTCAAACCACAACTTAACTCGGCTGCACAGCACTGATCTGGTCCAGTTAGGATCCCCCCCCCCCACTCAATTTAGGTATAACAACTTGCTATAGCGCCCTTCATTCAGGGCAACGTCTTGGAGCGCTTAAAAGGTTTTAGACTCCAGAGCTGTTCCCAGCCCCCTCCTCCATCCTCGTTATATAAATGCAAGTTGTTGTCACAGAGCCAGTGGGAGGTCTCTCTTCCCAAGGCCAGGGCTCAGTCAACTGAACAGCAGAGAAAGTCATCACAACCCAGATGGAAGAAAAATGACTGACCGCAAGGTGAGGTGTAATCGATGATACTTTTCTTTCAGCAAATCCTTCACAATGTACGTTGCAGAACCCAACAAGTACATCTGAAAGGGCAAGAACGCAAGGATTCATTAGGCAACTCTACATGTGCTCGTGGCCTCTTAGTTCATCGACTCTCATATTAAAACTAGAAAAAATAATAATCTTTCCGTTCTGTGCGTGACGCCTTTCACATCAGGAGTCGTCTCAAAGTGCGTCACAGGATTTTACTCTGAAGTAAAATCAAATGTAGTGCCAGTGTATTTTGTAGGCAAATGGGGCAGCTAATTTGTGTGTACAGCAATGTCCCGCAAACAGCAATGAAGAGAGTGATCAATTGGATCTGTTGGTCAGGACACTGGGAGAAACTCCCTTCTCTGTTTTGAATAGTCAGATGGTTGTGGGTTCAAGCACTAAATTAGGCCTTTGAAATCACAGCCTTGGCTGATACTCAAATGCAGTAGCAAGGATTGCTGCATTATCAAAAGTGTTGCCCGTCGAATGAACCGTTAAACCAAGGTCCTGTCTGCTTGTTCAGGTGGGCGTCAAAGATCCCATGGCGCTACTTGAAAAAACAAAGGGTTTTTCTCCTGGTATCCTGGCCAACAATCCCCCAGATGAAATTGATCATTTATGAAATTGGTAATGATTTTCTATTTTATTACTGAAAGAAGTAATAGAAAAACATCTAGAACCTGAAAATATAATAAAGAATAGTCAGCACAGATTTCAAAAGGAAGTTCATGTTTGACCAACCTCATTGAATTCTTTGAAGGGGTAACAGAAAGAGCGGACAAGAGTAATGCGGTCGATCAACAACAACAACAAAATTTCATTTATAGAGCGCCTTTCACGTCGGGAGGACGTCCCAAGGTGCTGGACAGTTGGGTCGGGATCCGAGCAGCGGGGAAATGGTCGGGGTGAGGGGAGGGAAGGGAGGGAGCGAGGAAGGGATAGAGAGTCCAGAGTGGAGCTGAAGGCACGGTCAAAGAGAAAGGTCTTGAGACCGGCCTTGAAGGAGGAAAGGGAGGAAGCAGCGAAGGCACTGGGGGATAAAGTTCCAGAGCCTCGGGGCTGAGAGGCTGAAGGCCCGGCCACCGATGGTAGGGCGGTTGGGGCGGGGGATGTGGATCAGACCGGAGCCAGAGGAACGGAGGGTACGGGCGGGTAAGTAGGGGGTTAGTAGGTCGGAGAGGTAGGAGGAAGCAAGGCTGTGAATGACCTTGTAGGCGAGGATGAGGATCTTGAATTAGATGTAATATATTTGGATTTCCAAAAGTCATTCGATAAGGTACCACATACTAGACTAATGAATAAGGTCAGAGCATGTGGAGTCAGGGGAAAAATAGCAGAATGGATAGCAAGCTGGCAACAAGACAGAAAACAGAGGGTAGGGGCAAAGGGTAGCAACTCAGACTGGCAGAGGGTGGGAAGTGATGTTCCACAAGGATCGGTATTGGGACTCACCGTTGCTCACAATTTACATTAACGATTTGGACTCGAAGATCAAAAGTACAATTTCAAAATTTGCGGACCACACCAAATTGGGCAGAGTAGTTAATACAGAGAAGGACTGCAACAAATTACAGCAAGACATTAATAAACTTGCTGAATGGGCATTTAATTGGCAAATGCATTTCAATATAGATAAGTGTGAGGTGGTACATTTTGGTAGGAGGATTAAGGAGGTCACATACGCCTGGAAAATAAAAATCCAAATAGGGCAGAGGACCAAACAACAACAACAACAAGATCCCATTTATTGAGCGCCAAAGGGAACTAGGGGTACACATACACAGATCGCTAAAAGTAGCGACGCAGGTTAATAAGGCCATAAAAAAAGCAAACCAGGTTTTGGGGTTTTGGGTTTCTAGAGGGATAGAAATGAAAAGCAGGGAAGTTATGGCAAACTTATACCGAATCTTGGTTAGATCGCACTTGGAATACTGTGTCCAGTTCTGATCCCCACATTATAGAAGGGATATAAAGGCACTGCAGAAGGTGCAAAGAAGATTCACAAGGATGATACCGGAACTGAGAGATTATACCTATCAGGAAAGGCTGAACAAGCTTGGACTGTTTACTCTTGAAAAGGGAAGGGTGAGAGGTGACCTGATAGGGGTCTTTAAAATTATGAAAGGTTGTGATAGGATAGACATAGGGAAGATGTTTCCACTTGTGGGGGAGACCAAAATCAGGGGCCATCAATATAAAATAGTCACAAATAGATTAATAAATAGGGAAGTCAGAAGAAGTCAGAAGAAATTTCTTTACCTAGAAAGTGGTGAGAATGCGGAACTTGTTACCACAAAGAGTATTTGAGACGAATAGCATAGATGTATTTAAGGGGAAGCTCGATAGGTACATGAGGGAGAAAGGAATAGAAGGTTATGCTGATAGGCTTAGTTGAGGAAGGGCAGGAGGAGGCTCATGTGGAGCATAAACACCGGCATAGTCCAGTTGGGCCAAGTGGCCTGTTTCTGTGCTGTATATTCTAACGTATTTCACTTCACGGCTGTTCGTGGGATTTTGCTGTGCGTAAATTGGCTGCTGTGTTTCAACTACAAAATACACAGACATTTTACAGTACAATTCTCAGACGTGCTTGAAGAAGTCCTTCCATTGTGAAAGACACTGTATCAAATGATAACTCAATGAGACTGATCAGTGGGATTCAAACCAGTCTTTTGTCTTCTCTGGTATCAATAAACAGCAGGTCTGCACATGAGATTGACAGCAAACAGACTGACACTTACGGTTCCCTGAGACCGGTCCTTGACGTCATACACTGAAAGTTTGATTTGTGTCATTTGATTAATGAGAGAGTCCTGGAAAAATGCAATGCTGCTTAGAAATATGGGGTTACTGGTACCCTGCAAGAGAAGGAGAAAAAAAATAGATCAGTACATTGCTCCATCCATGGATGTTATAAGTCTTGATGGGCTATTTGGTCAGCCAGGTATGTGACTCACGCGGAAACCCATCACCGTGCTTAGGAGTATCCAAACCAATCTGAGAATTCCATGCATCCCACCTACACATGGAAATCCCAGAGATAAACTGTTGGATAGAATGCGCTCTCTCTCCCTGGAGGGATGCATCCTGCTCACCTAATTCTGGAAAGTATTAGGCACAGGTAAGCAAGAGCCAAGGCTTGGGGACCCGAGAGTCTGACCAGCAAAAACCACATAGTTTGCCATTGAGAGCTCTGTCTGGGAGGCTCGGACCACCCTACACGTTAGGGCTTTGGCTTGCAAGGTTACCAGAAACTGAGTGGGAAGAGTCTCTGACCCTAGTTTAATGATAGTGGCATTATATAGCACAATCCTTCACATAAGATGACTTTTCGGAACACTTCACAAAGACAGGGTTGGACGCCAAGCAGGGCGGAGAGTCTTTTGCCGTGCGAGTGCCTTTATGTGACAGAGCGCAAACACTATAAGTCAGTCTGTAATAATTATGCCAGTTACAAATGCAGTTTACATAGATAGACTGTACAGCATGGAAACGGGCCAATGGGCTATGTTTATGCCTATGTTTACGTTCCGTGAGTTTTCTCCCTCTGAACTAGGAATCAAGCTTATAAGAGAAAATTTGTACATCAAACCCTAAGGCGTCTGACACCCTTGCGATTGGCGTCAAGAAACCAACAGGATTCACTAAAAGTCAATCATTAACAGAAACCCCACAGGGTCTGCACTGTAGGAAGTGCTAACCTGTGGATGGATGTTAACCCATTAAACCTTCATCCTCATATGCCTATCACCCCAACTTTCCCAGGTTCCACTGGCTCCCTATCCCCCAGCACATTGATTTCTAGGCCCTCAGCCTCATCAACAAATCCCTTCCGACCCTAGAATAGTGGTGGCCAACCTTTATGGTCGGGCCAACAAAATATATTTTCTTGATTGAATATTTCTAGATTTATGGCATAGATCAATAATGATAATAATCCTTGCATTTGACATAGCACCTTATCACGGCGGTAAGATGTCTCAAAGCGCTTCACGGAATATGCTGTCAAGTGAATTCACTGTGGATTTTGTGACGTGTTTTGGGACGTCCTCCTGAAGTAAAAGACGCTACACCAAATGCAAGGATTTTTGAGATTATTACGCTAATGCAAGTTTTTGCCCAATAAAATCCTGTGAATTGCTTCGAGGCGTTTCGATAATCATAGAATCATAGAATCGTACAGCACAGAAAGAGGCCATTCGGCCCATCGAGTCTGTGCGGCTCTTTGAAAAGAGCAATTAATGTCAATCCCACTCCCCAGCCCTTTCCCCATAACCCGCAAACCCGTCCTCTTCAAATACCCGTCCACCACGTTTTTAAAAGTAGTTATCGAATCGGCCTCGACCGCCCTTTCAGGCAATGTTCCAGATTCGAACAACTCGCTGCGTGAAAAAATTTCTTCTCACCTCCCCTCGGCTTCTTTTAGATATTATTTTGAATCCATGACCTCGAGTCACCGACACACCCACCAGTGGAAACAGTTTTTCCGTTTCTAACCTATCAAATCCCCTCATGATTTTGAAGACCTCTATTAGGTCTCCTCGTAACCTCCTCTGCTCCAATGAGAATAATCCTAACCTCTCCAGCCTTTCCTCATCATCACGGTCCCTCATTCCTGGTACCATCCTCGTAAATCTCCTCTGTACCCTTTCCAATGCCTTAATATCCTTCCTATAGTGTGAGGCCCAGAACTGGGGCAGTGTTCTAACTGAGGCCTAACCAGTGTTTTATATGGGTTAATCATAACCTCCTGACTCTTGTATTCTATGCCCCTATTTATAAAGCCTAGTATTTCATATGCCCTTTTTACAGCTGTATCTACCTGTCCTGCCACCTTCAAGGATTCATTTACCTGCACCCCCAGGTCTCTCTGTTCTTTTACCCCCCTTAAGATTGTATTACCAGCCTATATTGCCTCCCCTCATTCTTTCTACCAAAATACATTACCTCTCATTTCTCTACATTGAAATTCATCTGCCATGTGTCGCCCATTGTACCATTCTGTCTATGTTTTCCTACAGTTGGCTCCTATCCTTCTCACTGTTTACCCCCTACCCAACTTTGTGTCGTCCGCAAACTTGGAAATGGTATTTGCTATACCCAAGTCCAGATAATTTTTGTATAGTAAGAAGAGCAGTGGTCCTAATTCCGATCCCTGGGGAACACCACTGTACACTTCCCTCCAGTCAGAAAAGCAGCCGTTCACCACAACTCTCTGCTCTCTGTTTCCCAGCCAGTTCTGGATCCGCTGCCACTATCCCTTTTATTCCATGGGCTTCTATCTTTCTTACAAGTCTTTCATGTGGCACTTTGTCAAATGCCTTTTGAAAGTCCACATAAACTACATCAACTGCACTACCTTTATCCACGCTCTCCGTTACCTCATCGAAAAATTCTATTAGATTTGTTAGACAAGATCTACCTTTTCGAATCCATGTTGGCTGTCCCTAACTAACCCATATTCTTCTAAGTGAAGACTTATTCTGTCCCGGATTATAGTCTCCAGGAGTTTCCCCACTACTGATGTTAGGCTGACTGGCCTGTAGTTCCCAGGTTTGTCCTTCAGTCCCTTTTTGTACAGGGTCACATTGGCCACTCTCCAGTCCTCTGGCGCCACTCCTGTGTCCAACGAAGATTGAAAAATTGTAGCCAAAGCCTCCGCCATTTGTACCCGTGCCTCCCATAGTAATCTTGGTTGCATCCCGTCCGGACCGGGCGACTTATCTACCTTCAGCCCAGTCAACCATTTCAGTACTTCCTCTCTTTTTATACTTATCCTATACATTTCCTCTATCCTCTCCTCCGATACTGCAGCATTTGGTGCATCCACTTCTTCAGTACATCAGCCATGCCTTCTGCCTCCACAATAAGATTTCCGCCTTGGTCCTTAATTGGCCCCACCCTACCTTTGACTAACCTTTTTTTCTTGATATGTTTGTAAAATATTTTAGAATTCCCTTTAATGTTACCCACTAGCCTTTATCGTATAATCTTTTTGCCCCTCTTATTTCCTTTTTCAAACCTCTTCTGCACTTCCTATATTCTATTTAGTTGTCTTCTGCATCTTGGGGTTGACATTTGTCATACGCCTCCTCTTTCTGCTTCATTCTAGATACAACTACCTTCGTCATCCAGGGAGGTTTGGATGCCCTACTTTTCCCTTTTGTGGGAATGTATTTATTCTGTCCCCGAGCTATCTCATCCTTGAAGACTTCCCACTGCTCTTTAGTTGTTTTACCTGCCAATCTTTCTTTCCAGTCCACCTTGGCCCAGTCCCTTTTTAACTCACTGAAATTTGCCCTCGTTCAGTTCAGTATCTTCACCTTAGATGGTTCCTTGTCTCTTTCCATATGCACTCTGAATCTAATGATGTTATGATCACTATTGCCCAGATGCTCTCCCACTGAAACCTGCTCCACTTTCCCTACTTCATTCCCCAGAACTAGATCCAGCACTGCTTCCTTCCTCGTTGGGCTGGAAACGTACTAATCAAGAAAGTTGTCCTGTATGCATTTTAGGAATCTTTCCCCCTCCTTCCCCTTTGCGCTGTTGTTTTGCCAGTCTATGTTGGGATAATTAAAGTCCCCCATTATCACGACTCTGTGACTCTATGATGTGCCAAGGCCCTATATCAAATGCAAGTAAAATTACCTATGTCATTGGTAACTGACCTCTATAATCTCGGTCTGCACGTGTTTCGTCCAGAAGGCCTGTGGAGGTGTGGTCACACTTACTGCTACAAAACTATTGGGTTTTCTGTCCAACGATGGAGTGCTCAGTTCACTGCAAGCTGGCAAGATAAACACAAAGACTGCATGGTTATTGATAAATCAGAAGTCCAGCACCTGATATCTTACTTATAAATGCAACAGGGGTATCAGCCTGGCTCACTTGGTAGCACTCGTCCCCTCCGAGACAGAGGATTGTGATTTCAAGCCCCAAGTTGGGACTTGGAATTCATATTCGTGGAATCCTGTAGCTCAGTGGTTAGAGCTCTCGCCTCGCAAGTAAGAGACCTGGGTTCGATTCCCGGCAGGGCAAAACCTTGGGCATGTTTCCTTACTCCACACGCCTCTATTTCACCAGCAGCAGTTAAGAACCCAGTTGATAGTTGATTGGAGGATCGCTATTCCGGGGGTAATAATTCTTTATATCAATAATAAATCGGTCACTTCAATCCACGACTGTTTGTGGGACACTGCTGTGCGCAATTGGCTGCCACATTTCGCCCACAAAATATATAGTCAATTCACTTTACAGTATATTCTGTGAAGTGCTCTGAGGCATCTCGAAGACGCGATAAGGCGCTATATCAACAGCCTTGGCGATGCAAGACATCATCTTGAAGGATGTGTTAGCCAACTAATTTTACATCGTTACGGGAAACAGTGGAAGCAGAAAGTGTCGATTCATTCAAGAACAAAATAGTTAGGTTTCTGTGAGGAAATAATATCTCGGAAACAATATATAGTCTGGGACACGACATGTCATACGACTGCCAGGAGAGTGGAAGGTGAACTGGATGAACTTTGGTCTTCTTTCGCCTAGCAAATTAATAATAATAATAATCCTTGCATTTGATATAGGGCTTTTCATGTCAGGAGGACGTCCCAAAGCGCTTCACAGAACACACTGTAAAGTGAATTGACTGTATATTTGTGGGCGAACGCGGCAGCCAATTGCGCACAGCAATGTCCCACAAAGAGCCATAGATTGAAAGTGACCAATTTATTATTGTTTTTGGTTTTGGAGGGATTATTATTAGGCTCTGTGTGGAGTAAGGAAACTTGCCCAAGGTTTCGCCCTCTGCCTGGAATTGAACTCAGGTCTCTCACTTGCAAAGCGAGTGCTCTAACCACTGAGCTATAGGACTCCATAAATTCTTAGGCTCTTATGACAAGTAAAGCAGAATCTCTTATTAACATCTTGGATGGATAGCAGCTGGGATATTGACAGTGTGTCGACTTAAGTGGTAGTGACTAGTTAAGCCAAGGTTGAGTTATCAGCAGTTTACTGTGTGTCATCGTTCAGAGAGACAACCCCACGTGAAGCAAGTTGTTATATTAAAAGATTCAAAGAAGAATACACTTCACACAATTCATTTTGAGCTGAAAATACATGCAGGTTCCAGACAATGGAAATACTGGCTGACAGGTAACAATTATATCCTAAGGATGAGAAACAGATTTTTTTCCATTGGCAACTCACCCTTCAATGTCAGTCTACAAACACATACACACACACACGCTGCTCTAATCCAAACATTCCTCCAATTCCACAGTGTCCTACATTAACACTTCTCCCTCTACAATTCAGGCGGTTGTGTTGCCATTACTTTAACCAGGCCCTCAATAGGCCGAATGGCCTCCTTCTACGATGGCAGGGCAGGTGGGGATTTGCTGATGGCAATTGAGGAATTGAGGAAGCACAAGGGGGCGAGAAGCGGTGAAGTTATTTAGTGCAAATCTTTGATAAAGAATTTTAACTGTGATTTTGTTTGTTGTTGTTGTTATTAACAGGGGAGGAAATGATCCAAAACATGCCGCTGTGATCTCAGGCTGACAATGTGTTCTGGCAGAGTGGTCCGAGGTTGGGGAGGGGAGGAGGGGGAAGGATCAGTTTCACACCTGAGGCTTTCCCACTCGTGCTTCCTACAAGCTCTCCTGGGAGGGACGGTGAGCAGGTGATACAGAGACAGTGAGCGGGTCACATACGAACATCAGAAGGGAAAGGCAGGCCATGTTTCCGAGGCTCTCATACCCACCTCCCAGCTGTGTCACGGAAAGCACCTGGCAAGCTGTCCGCTCTCCAAATAATAATCCTTGCATTTGATATAGCGCCCTATCACGTCTTCAAGACGTCTCAAAGCGCTTCACAGAATAGACGGTGACGTGGTTTGACTGTGTATTGTGTGGGCGAAACGTGGCAGCCAATTGCCCACAAACCAATAGTGCTCACACTTTGTAGGCATAGGTCAACATGAAGAACAAGGCGAAAGGAAATGCACTACGGAATGGCTGCACCCTCCAAGATGTTACTCTATGTCAGAGTGGTCCAACTGGCAGCCCGCGGGCCACATTCAGCCCCATCCCTATCCAACCCCCTCACATTTCATCTGGCCCACCCACTCCCTCCATAACCCGTAAATGTTCTTTTGTTTCTGTAAGGGAAACACAAAAATATTGCTAATGTGGCCGGCGGACGTCTTTCTAATAGGGCATCCAGCCCTCAGCAGCCAAAAGGTTGGACCCCCCCCCCCTCACCCTGCTTTACGTGAAGAGAGTCCCCTAAGCCTTGGCTCTCGCCAACCTGTGCCAAATTCTTTCCAGAATTTGGGAAGCAGGAGGCGTCCCTCCAGGGAGATAGAGCGCATTCCAATCCAACAATCTACCTCTGGGATTTCCAGGTGTAGGTGGGATGCACGGACTCCTCAGTTTGGTTTGGAGACTCTTAAACACGGTGATGGGTTTCCGCGTGTGTCAGACACCCGACCGACCAAAACAAGTCCTATAAGAGATGCAAGTTATTGTTGACGATTTCCAGCTTCAGGTTCAGTGCCGAGAATGGCAGCCTTAGATGAACTGCGGTGGGTGAGTGAGACTAATTGGATGGCTCTTTCAAAGAGTCAGCACGGGCACGATGGGCCAAATGGCCTCCTTCCGTGCTGCAGGAGTGTCACGATTCACTCCATGGTTGTTTGTGGGACATTGCTGTGGGCTGCCATGTTCACCTACAAAATGCAATCACTACATTTTCCAGTAAATCCTGTGAAGCATTTTGCTAAGTCCTCCCAACGTGATCAAAAGCAAGGATTATTATGTATTGTTACGGTATTAAATCTGGCAGTGTGTCCACGCACAACTCCACCAGGGGGAGCAATAACAGGCGTAACCGCTGACATTCTCGCAACTTGTTGTTTCAGAACTAATTGGACCTTATATTCTATCATCTGTTAGCAACGGGAAATCACTTTAAAACGACCCATTTAAAGCATTACAGTTTCGTGGCAAAATATCTGGTCAGTTTAAAGCATTTCCTCCGGAAATGACAAGCCTCCAACTGCAGTAACTGTCCAAAAAAGCATCTTACTCCATCCTTATTCGCTTACTCTGCTCCCGACTCCCCCACCAACCCCCCCACACTCCCCACTCCATCAACTCCAGCCTGCACTGGTGGCAGCACTATGCCCCAAAACTCTGGAGCACCCTTCCTCTATCCTTCCGCCTTGCCCCTTCCTTCCCCATCTTCAGGTCAGGCCTGAAGACCTTGCTTTTTGTCTGTTCCTACGGTCACCTCCCCCTCCGCCCGGCTCGGTGTAGTGCTCCGCCACTGTCAAGACCTCTTGGACGCTACCCTGTGTAAGTGAGGTGTGCTATATAAATGCACGTTGTTGTTGCTTCTTGCCCACCGCCCTGCTCCGCTCCACCATAGGTCACTTAATCCACGACTATTTGTGGGACACTGCTGTGCAATTGGCTGCCACGTTTCTCCCACAAACACACAGTATATCCTGTGAAGCGCTTTGAGACGTCTCAACGACGAGATAAGGCACTTTATCAAAATGCAAGGATTATTATATCAAATACAAGGATTATGGGGGACGAGCTTTCAGCCTCTGTGCCACCCGCTCTCTGGAACTCTTTTCCAAAAGCCTCAGTCCTCTCCACTTGCTCTGCTTCCAAAATCTCTCTCAAAAACCTCTCTCTTTGCCCACGCCTTTGCCCAGCTCCCCTCTGTCTCTTCACATCTCCCTCCCAACTTGGGCTCCTACTCTATCTTTATAAAGACTATAAAGTACAAATTGTTGTCGTTGGTGGTGGTGGTGACTGTGTCCTCCATTATTCAACACGATTTAGATTTTGCTGTTCTGTTCTCACGTTTACATTTATTGTCGGTGAACCTCAAGTCGGCCATTTTATTTTACTGAGCCCAAAATAGCTGACCTTTGGATCATTCGGTCTCTTCCGCTTGCGCAGGTGATGTCAGACGCGACCGACTGAACCAGGAGGTGGCCATTTTGGGGTGAGAAGGCGGGCAGCGTGCGGGAAGCAAGTCGGTCGCCTGCGCGCATGTACAGCGAATGAGATCCACAGCGCAAACTGTTACAAGGCATTATAAAGGGGCTGAGCTGCAATGGAGACCCCACTATCTCCCTCTCCCAATTCCTCTGCAAGGATGAGATGACTGGTGCAAAATGATTTGACATAATTTATGACAAATGACTATCCTATGAAAATGCCCACCATTTCAAACGATTGTAATCCCCCATTGAGGTCTGCCCAGTCTGCTAAGCGTAGAATTGTAATACAATAATAATAATAATTATCCTTGCATTTGATAAAGCGCCTTATCACGTCATCGAGACGTCTAAAAGAGCCTCGCAGGATATACTGTGAAGTGAATTGACTGTATATTTTGTGAGCAAACCTGGGCAGCCAATTAAGGGTACCTACTTTATGCTAGGTAAACAGAGGCATGTGGAGTAAGGCAATTATAAAGCCTGGAAGGCGTACACAAGGAGGGCAGAGGAGGAGCAAGGAGAGGGGAAGTGGGGAAGGGAGAGGGGAGAAGGGAAGGGGGTGGTGGGGGGAAGGTTAAAACAAAGGTTAGGAAGGATAGAAAGAGACAACATTTACCATACACCAAAACTACTCACCTAAACTAAATTCCAAAATGGGTTCATCTGGGTCTTGGGCGTTGGCTGAAAATCAAAGAGTAGAGGATTGTTAGTAAGACCAGGCATTTTGCAGTTTGACTCAGGGTTAAGACATACGATCCACCCAAGTCCAGGACTGTGGTGACCTCCAGTCTCACATGTCCTTGACTCCCAGCAGTTTCCTTCAGCTGTGTTTTGTTTTAATTTGGTCAGACAGGTGTCCTGCACAAATCCATCACCATGCTTAAGAGTTTCCAACTTAAACAAAGTTCCATATACACATGCCACCCACACATAAACATTGTCCTGGGTCTGAAATGCAGTTTACATAGATTTTAAACACCGTGCTTAGGGGTATCCAAACCAAACTGAGAATTCAATGCATCCCACCTACACATGGAAATTCCAGAGATAGACTGTTGGAATGGAATACACTCTCTCCCCAGAAAGACACATCCTGCTTACCTAATTCCGAGGGTATTAGGAACAGGTTGGCAAGACCACGGTGTGCATTGGGGTACTGCTGGAGTCCAACCAACCAAAACTGCATAGCTTGCCATTAAGAGCACTGACAAGCTTCCTGCTACTCGTCGAGCTAATGCTTTGGCTTGCAGCGTTAATAGGAGCTGAGTGGGACAAATCCTTGCCCCTAGTGACCGGTCTACCCCTCCAAGTCCTGCCAATGAGCCAGGCTCAGGAACGACCAAATCCGCCACAGGGATTCCAACACTCCATTGACAATCAAATTACTTTGGAACCAGCTCAGCTCCAAAGAGACGACGCTTACCTCTCCCCTCTCCTTGCCCCACTCCCCCACCCCAAACAGGCGGAAGCCACAACAATGAACCACACAAAAAAAAAGACATCACCATATAAAAAGACTGACAACTTGGACACGATGTGCCAGGTGGGTGTTAAAGACTCCACGGCACTATTCAAAAATGGTCTCCTGGCCAACCATCCCCCAAATAAAATTGGTTATTCACCTCAACATCAACTTGCTTTTATATGACACACTTCACGCAGGATAGTGTCTCGGAGCGCTGTACAGTGATGGGGTTGGACAACGAGCAAGGGCAGGTGACAATATGCATGAGCCCAAATCTGTCGCTTTACAAGTGTTATTTGTTGTTGTGGTTAAAAGGGAAAGGGCAACATGTTTGATGGCAATGGGACTCAGTTACACAAGCACAATAGAAAGCTTCTCACCAGCCAGGGTTAAAACTGACATATCAGTGGGCAGGTCAGCGGCGGAAGCTCGCTGCATGCCTCTGGTATTGCCGCCTCGCAGAGGACTGTGCTCCCTCGCTGACATCTTGTCATGAGTAACTCCCTTCGACCTTCCCCCAGCCTGTTAATCTCTCGGAGAGGTTGAGCCGCAGTTTCCCCTCTTTATGTCGACAGAAGCCGTAGCTGTAGGGCTGGATTCCTGAAACAACAAGCCCAACGGGTGTTACTTTTAAAAGGGTTAAATCTCTCCCCCTTTCCTTCCCCACCACCCACTCACCACACCCTCCCCACCACCCCACCGAGTGCAAAATCATCATTCATTAACAAGAAAAGCCATAGTTTTGTGCAAGTTGAGCTCACCTGATACTGGCACCAATCTTGAGCTCGAAGTACAATCTACTTATACAATACAATACAAAATATACGATATAAAACCCGAGTGTCAACATTGAAATTGATTCATTTCAAATGTCAACACACACACTATCATTAAGCAACTGCACTATGTGTAGATTTTTGTAACGCCTTTCACGTTGGGAGCACAGCTGAAGGAGCTTGGCTGTCCTGGCTGGGCACCTTATCTGGGGGTGGGAGGGGAAGGTGACCAAAGGAGAGGTCAAAGAGGAAGATCTTAGAGATGGACCTTGAAAGAGACGAGACATGGGGGCAATTTGGAAGGACTCTGGGATGGAGTTCCGGGGGAGGGGAGGATAGAATGAAAGCTCTTCCGCTTATGATGAGGCACGTAGGGCGGGACACATAGCAGATAACGCACTACTTATCAATAGAATGACTTGAAAGCTGGCTAGCTGGTCCCACAGAAACACAAAGTTAGAAACATAGATGAGCTGCAGTGACTTCACCAGAAAAGATTGATATAGGAGCTGAGGTCAGCTGCAAGCAGGCCACAGGAAATAATGATTTACATGCATTTGGGTAACACAGGTTGCAGTTTCGCATAATAATAATAATCTACATTTGATATAGTGCCTTTCACGCAAGGAGCATATCTCAAATTGTCATGAGATTTACTGCAAAGTTTTATTGACTGTGTATTTCCTAGGCAAACACCAATTTGCGCAGAGCAATGTCCCACCAATTTCACCAGGGGGATTGATGGCCAGGATACCAGCCAGCCAGAATTGTCGAGCGCAATGGGATGTCTTCCCAGTGTGAAAGGCACTGTATAAGCGCAGATTCTATTGTACTGTATTGTCACGGCGCACTCTCCATTCACCACAGGCATCACCGTGGAGTCAGATTGACCACAGACAGACACTACTTATCTTTCTCTTATAATCACAGAACATACCCAATAGTACAGCAATGCTTCTTGCTTGTTACATGTTCTCTCACTGTAATAGTAATAATCCTTGCATTTGAATGTGGCGCCTTATCACACTGTTGAGACGTCTCAAAGCGCTTCGCAGAATAAATTCTACAGTGAATTGACTACACTTTGTGGGCGAAAGCCGTCAGCTAATTGCACACAGCAGTGACGCACAAACAGTCGTGGATTTAAGTGACCAAATTATTATTATTATTTATTATTTTTTGGAAGACATGTTGCCCCCAGGAAAAGCATTCTGCCAATCAATTCACTTTACAGTGTGTTCTGTGAAGCGCTTTGGGACGTCCTCCCGACGTGAAAAGCGCTATATCAAATGCAAGGATTATTATTATTATAATAATCGATTAACAACCAGGTTCGTAGTTACTGCTAGGCAAACAGAGGCGTGTGGAGTAAGGAAACTTGCCTAAGCTTTCACCCTGCCGGGAATTGAACCCCGGTCCTCTAGCTTGCGAGGCGAGTGCTCTAACTGCTGAGCTGCAGGACTCCGCATGAAACATCTCTAGATGGTCAATACACTATACAATGCTCGGTGACAATTGCTGGAGCTTCTCTGAACCTTCCAAATGAGTCAGGATGGAGTTAAATAGAAATGATCAGAATTAGGGGAATGGTGTGAGAAAGGGGAAGCATCTCCAGTTGATTCATTTTGATAGAGAAACTGAACTGAACTCGCTGGCTCCCTCTCTTCCTCCCCTCGTTCAAGGTCTGTCTCAAGATCTTCCTCTTCGACTGCTCTTTCAGGTAGATCACCTCTGAGACAGATGGTTGTGGATTCAAGCCCCACGTCGGACTTGTCTAAGGTGACACTCCAGTGCAGTGCTGGGGGTGTGCGCATGGTTAGAGATGCCGTCCTTTGGGTGAGATGTTAAATTAATGTCACGTCCCATCTGTCTGTTCAGGTGATGTTAAAGATCCCATGGCGCTACTGGAAAAGAGAAAGGTTTCTCCCGGTGTCCTGGCCAAGAATCCCCTAAATAAAATTGGTCACTCGTTCCATGGTTGTTTTTTGGGCCATTGCTGTGTGCAAACTGCTTGAGGTGTTTTGCCCAGAAAATACACAGTCACTGCACTTTACAGTATATCCTGTGAAGCACTTTGAGACATCCCAACAAGACGACAAGGTGCTACATCAAATGCAAAGATTATATTATTGTCATTATTCTCCCGAAGGTGAAAGGTGCTGTATAAGCATATATTATGATTAATATTATTTTTATTATTATATTGTATTGCGTTACTTACATAGAGTGGAGAGGGTTTTGCTCGTGTTCTCAGCAAGCGAAGATGCTGCATCTCTTCAACTTAAACAACCCGCTGCTTTCCATTCTTCAACTGAGGAGACAGAGAGAGACAGAGAGAGAGAGAGAGAGAGAGAGAAAACAGTTAAACACTGGAGGTTTATTTGCTTTCCCTGCTGCCGGTTGGGGGCTGCAATTATCGGGTTCGTTGCACCCGGGTAGTCTTTTTATTTGTTTGGTTTACGATCACTCACTCGCTCGCTCGCTCACCCGCCCCTGCCTTGGGACTTGCTGTTTCAGAAGCTCGCTGGTACTGCTCAGAATTTTGAACCGCCTCGCTAACACAGGCAGCAGTGCTGCTCCTGCTAACTGCATTAATCACCGAGGGAATGCAGGCAAGGAGATGCAGTGCAGTGTTGCTTGCTCCGGACCCACCGGGGTGGGGGTGGGGGGAGGAGGGGGTCGTCTATTACCTCCCTCCGTTGTAGCTGCGAGCGGGCTGCAGGGAATCAAAGCCACCAAGACCAGCTCCGAGCTGCTGTACGGATTTCACCGCAAACTGCGTTTGGTTCGCAAAGCCTGTGCGTTCCTCTCTCTCTCTCTCTCTTTCTCTCTCTCTCTAAGTACCATCCATCATTCGGCTGATTGTCTGCGTCAGAGAGTGCTCTGAAACAGTCTTTGGCTTCTGAAAGATTCATCTTTCGAGTGTGGCTGACAACGATAGCATGATTAACGCAGGGACCAGAGTGAATAACGAGAAGCCTCAGTGTTCAGCACAGCCACAGGAAGCCCCCAACCCCCACCCCTTAAAATAAACATTCACATTGACCAGGTCTCCTCGGTCTATTTTGAACGTTAAAGCTCTCATGTAGTCATTACAACAACAACAAATCAACAACAACAAATTAACAACAACAACAAATTACAATGGCAATGTGCCCACGTAGCTGATCTTCGTCATCCAAATTCACCCACACAACAAAACATATTCATAATTCATCCCATTGCTGTGTGTGGGACGTTGTTGATGCTGCCACCTTTGCTTACATAATAATAACAAGCATTTATATAACACCCCTCACATAGAGTAGCGTCCCAGAGTCCTTGAAATAATACTAATAATAATACTATGCGCACTTGATATAAAACTTTACCTGGGGCAATCCATTTCGCCCACAAAATATACAATCAATTCACTTCACGGTATATTCTGTGAAGCGCTTTGAGACGTCTCAAAGAAATAATAAGACGCTATATTAAATGCGAGGATTGTTATTATTATTACTATTATTATCATCAAATGATCAATTCGTGGAGTCCTGTAGCTCAGTGGTTAGAGCACTCGCTTTGCAAGTGAGAGACCTGAGTTCAATTCCAGGCAGAGGGCGAAACCTTGGGCAAGTTTCCTTACTCCACACAGAGCCTAATAATAATCCCTCCAAAACCAAAAACAATAATAAATTGTTCATTTTCAATCTACGACTGTTTGTGGGACATTGCTGTGCGCAATTGGCTGCCGCGTTCGCCCACAAATATACAGTCACTTCACTTTACAGTGTGTTCTGTGAAGCGCTTTGGGACGTCCTCCCGACGTGAAAAGCGCTATATCAAATGCAAGGATTATTAATTGTTGGCCAGGGGAAACTTGCTTCTCTTTTCCTATAGCACAACAACGGAACCTAGTCTAGACTGTGAGCTCAAAGGCCGGACATGGAGCTTAAACTCACAACCTTCTAAATCAGCGGTGAGGGTGCTATCATTTGCATCGTACTGTGTGAAAGGCTTGAATCCAGACTGATATACGATAGTGTTAAATGATAGCAGCACTTAATGTAACCGTTTCCACTAAATGAAGTGTTGCTACCATTTAACACTCTTATGTGTCTGTCTGGATTCAAGCCCCACGTTGTGAATTGAGCTCGCAGACCGGGCTAACCTTCCAGTACAGTAATGGGGGAGTGTTGGATTGTTGGGAGCGCTGTATTGTTGGGTTTCATTCTATGGATGAGACATTAAATCGAGGCTCTGTCTGCCTGCTCAGGTGTATCCCACGGCACTATCGTAAAAGAGAAAGGAGTTTTTCCCAGTGTCTAGCCCAACAATCCAACAGATTAAATTGGTCATTCACTTCATGGCTGCTTGGGGCATATTGCTGTGTGCAAATTAGCTGCCAAATTTGTCTACAAATTACACAGCCACTTTACTATACAGTAAATTCCAAGAACCGCTTTGAGACGTCAAGACGACATGATAAAGCACTGCACTAAATCATTATAATACAGTGACTGTGAGGTCCTGTAGCTTAATGGTTAGAACACTCGATTCGCAAGCGAGAGGACCTGGGGTTGATTCCCGGGCCGGGCGAAACGCTAGGCAAGTTTCCTTACTCCACGCGCCTCTGTTTACCTTGCAGTAAGTAGGAACCCGGTTGTTAGTCGATTGGCGTAAAGCTTTTCCGTCAATAATAATCCCTTCAAAATTAAATGAATAAAAATTTGGTCACTTGATCCACGACTGCTGTGTGCAAATCGCTACCGCGTTTCGCCCACAAAATACAGTCAATTCACTTTATAGTACATTCTGTGATAAGGCACTATATCAAATACAAGGATTATTATTATTATTATTATTATTACGAACTCTAAACCAGCTCTTCATTTTGAATTGACACCATGTGCCCTTGCTGATCACCTCTTGACCATGCTGAATAAAGTATTGGAGTTCAGCTTGTCCGTACACCTTACGATCTGGATTACTTCAATAACATCAGCCAACACTCTCTTACGATGTCTGGGATTTCTCCTCACTCTGCCCTGCTGGAGTTCCAGTCTTAACAAATGAAGCTTCAAGTTAGACTGTTCAATACTATTTACATTTATACAGCGTCTTTCACATCAAGAGGACGTCCCAAATCATATAAACCTAGGCTCCTTTCTCATTTAATTTCCTCACTGTTCGTATCCTCATCCTCATGGGGGGTGGTGGGGTGTGGGGAGAGATGGGCTATTTTGCTCTTGATGAAGCTAATGTGTACTTAGCATGTAATTTGTTGTTGTTGTTGAACATAGCCGTCAACAAGTGCGGTAAGCGACTTTGCTCAAAACTCCTGAAAATAAGAGTAGAAAACGAATCATAACATCTGACATGATTACAGCATAGAGTTACAAGGAATGAGTGAATACAGCTATCAAGACAGAATGGACAGGTTGCAGGATTTCTTTCTAGACTTCAGACAATTCTGAGAGGTTTAACATACAATTGTCTTTGACCAAAAACCTGTGAAACCTGTCTATTCAGGTGGGAGTTAAACATCCTACCTCGGAAAAACAAAGGAAATTCCTCCCTGTGTCCTGACCAACATAAAATTGGTCTATCACTTCCTGGCTGTGGGACGTTGTGATGTGCAAATGTTCTGCCACTTTTGCTTTCAAATACACAATTACCAAACTTTACAGTAAAATTACTGCAAAGCACTTTCACAACATCAGTTCGGAAGAAGAAGGCCATTTGACCCATTTGATCTCATTCTTCCAGAATACCCCACTGTCCTCCCAACACAGCAACAAGTTGCTTTTTAACAACAACAAATTGTGTTTCTATAGCGCCTTTCATGTCGGGAGGACATCCCAAGGTACTGGACAATAAGAGGTTTGTACTCGAGCTTAAATAAATATAATAAGTCCCAGTGTCCTGGCCTCAGCCGCCCTTCCTTGGCAACCTGTTCCAGCTGTTCATCATCCGCTAAGTAAATAAAAATGGTATCTTCCTAAAACAGCATTTTGCAGCTCTAAACCTGTATCCTCTTGTTCTACTGTCTAGGTGCGTCTTGAAGTATTATTCTGGGTTTGAGACTTTGACTACATGGATCAATTACAATGATTACTATTAGTAAAGGGCATGGACAACAAACAGGGACAGAATTTCTGCTGGTTGGTTAACACCAACTGGAGGGATGTGTGTAGTGGTATCGCTCAGGGGTCGGTATTGGGACCATTGCTCTTTCTGATCTATATTAATGATCAGGACCTGGATATAGGGAGAACAATTTCCAAACTTGCAGATGATACTAAGCTAGGAAAAGCAGTTAATGGTGAGGAGGATAGCACCAGACTCCAAGAGGGCTTAGACAGATTGGTAAAATGGGCAGAAACGTGGCAGATGAGATTTAATGTGGAGAAATGCGAAATGTTGCATTTTGGTAGGAAGAATGAGGAGAGGCCATATAAGCTGATGGTACAATCTTAAAGGGGGCAAATGAACAGAGAGACCTGGGGGTTCACATGAGCAAATCTCTGAAGGTGGCAGGACAGGTAGATAAAGCTGTTAAAAAAGCATACAGGATACTGGGCTTTATAAATAGGGGCATAGAATTCAAAAGTCAGGAGGTTATGTTGAATATTTCTAAAACGCTGGTTAGGCCTCAGTTGGAGACTGCGTTCAGTTCTGAGCACCACACTTTAGGAAAGATGTTAGGGCATCGGAGAGGGTGCAAAGGAGGTTTACCAGGATGGTACCAGGAATAAAGGATCTTAGTTATGAGGAGAGGTTAGCGAAACTAGGATTATTCCCCCTAGAGCAGAGAAGATTAAGAGGGGATTTAATAGAGGTTTTCAAGATCATGAGAGGATTTGATAAGTTGAACTGGGAAAAACTGTTTCCACTGGCATGTGGGTCAGTAAACCGAGGACACCGATTTAAGATAGTTGTTAAAAGAAAGAGGGGAGGTTAGGAATTTTTTTTCACCCAGAGAGATGTTCGGACCTGGAGTGCATTACCTGAAAGGGTGGTGGAAGCCGATTCAATAACAACTTTTAAGAGAGAAGTAGATGGGTATTTGGGGAGGACAGGATTGCAGGGCTATGGAGAGAAAATGGGTCAGTGGGATTGAGTTGGAAGCTCTTTTAGGAGCCGGTGCAGACACAATGGGCCGAATGGCCTCTTTCTGTGCTCTATGATTCTACGGAAACAGAATGATTTAGAAATGACAATCCAATGTGCTTGTGGGAGCCAAGTCCTTCACCGCAGCTAACCTTTCTTATCCCAATACTCCGCTGCCTCTGTGTACCCTTCACATATAGTAGGCTCCTCATGCAA